CGAAATGCTCCCACCGTTTGGCGGTACAGCCTTCCTCGTCGACCAATTTGTGTCTGTTAGCGCCATTTAAGGCGATCCTCGCCTTCGGGTACCCGTCCACGTCATAGGAGGACCGGCCCGGGTACAAGGTGACGCCACCACCGGTCGTACCGCTACTATATCCGGAAGAATGGGACATTTTTTTTAAAGTACCACTTTTGAAATTACACTTACGTGCTGTGTGAAAAAAAACTCGAAAAAATGAGATAAGTACTACAAAAAAACAGTTAGTTGAAGTTGAGGATGACTTCAAACAAAAAAGTTTACAAAGAAAGTCAAAATTTCAAATAGGAAACCTGATATAGAGTTTATTTGGAATACTTGGTCACCCTGTATACTGAAACTTCACAAAACACTTTAAAGTCTTTTAAATGAATCAGGATAAAACAATTTACGTAATTCACGCACTTTATAGTCTTTTAAAAGCTTTTAGCGAATTGTAGTGATGTCGCGGTTGGAAAAAATCAAGACTATTGCAAAAACGCGTCGCATTCAGATGACCGGGTCAAGCGGCCGATTATTAATTGGTCTGTGCGAGCAACAACTAGGTTTTCGTCTAGAAGGAGAGATCGACGAGGTGAAAAAGCACCAAGGCAGTCCCGCTCTTCGAATTTTCGATTTAAAGAGTGATACGTACCAGACGTACCGCCAAAACGTAAACAAGCTGGCTGGAGTTTACGCAGAGTGAGCCATAAACAACACCAGGAAAATTGTTGGTAAAAAATTAATATGCACGTCGATTGAAAAAGAACAAAAAAATGGCGTCTTGGGAGTCCATGAGATTGCATTTATATTTAAGCTGCCCTATGGATTTGGGCCATAATTTGATCTGATATTACTGGTGGAGTTCAATACAAAAATACCCAGTTGAAATATTAATTTCAGCTAAAATGACAAGTAATCAAATTATTAAGAATTAAGGTGACTGAAATGGTACGTGTAAAAATACTATCAAAACATCGTTTTAAAAAACAATGATGTCATTTAGCGACAATTTAAAATTCCGCTTAAAAATGAACAGAAACAATTTCACAAGATTCTTAAGCATGTCTCGCATAAAAATCACTCTTCAAACAAATCTTATTTGGTAATTTTATTTCGCATATTCCAAGAGTTTTGTATGAATTGAAATGCATTTTATATTCAATAGTAACGGAATCGCTCGATTACCCTATAAATCAATTAAATTGATCGATATATTCTTATCAATTATCAAATACGATAAACTGCTGCATCTGTAGCCACATACAAGGCAAATAACTACACTATGACCCTTGTTAAGGCTATGACTAATATTAATTTCTCCTAAACGGAAAATGAAACATTATTTCGAGATACCAATTACATGCTGGTGTACTATAGGACTTTCGCGGTTTGTTCTGTATCGATTACCACTTCAAGTATACTTGACATTAAGTTGAAAAAAGTTACTTAACCAACTGATAGTAGCTATCACAAGAACAAACAACTGTTGCTGATGATGCAAGTCGCTAAAAATACAACGATATATTAATGAAATTCAACTTAACAAGAGTTATTTAACGTATAAAGTGCATTTAATGCATATAATATTGCCAGTGGCGTAACTATACAATTAGCAAGTTAAATTCAGCTACAAAGAATATAAGAGTTGATCCAAATAAGTCATTTTTTTTTTCTTTAGCTACTTTTAGTTAACTCCAGAATACAACTAGATACTTGGTTGAACTATTTTGGGGTAATGAAAAGAGGTACCCACTATCCACCCCTTGCTACGCCAATGGAAAGCTACTTAAAATTATTCTAGGTATTTTTTGAAGTAGTCGGTTGTTGCGTTTTGCATAAATTTGCAAACCTGTCCGTAAATATTGCACTTGTCAGCCTCGATTCGATTTTTTAAACCGATACTTTCCTACGTTTTGTAACTTTTCAATTTGATATGTTTTTAACACACACGTATTTCTGCAAACTGTTATACTAATAATTATCACTGTACTTGCAAATTTGCAGCTATTTGTTCATGTTATATTTTAGTAATATTTCATAGTGCATGCGATTAACAAAAACTGGTATAATTTAAATCACAACCAGATATTCAATCTATACAGGGTTTTCCACTTTTTAGTGACAAGAAATATTCTAAATATTTCCAGAGTATTCCTGCTCTTTTAATAAAAACTTTCAACGCCCTGTATTTTTACAACAAATCAATTTTTAAATCAAAGTTCTATCAACTGTTAAATTTCTGCAACCTAATGCCGGACCACCCTGTATATACATAACTGATTTAGCCATGACTATAAATAAACATATATTTTATGTTGTAAAAGTTCATTTCAACGGGAAAATTAATAAAAATTACATTAATAACGTTAGAAATAAACCATTAACAGTTTAATAGCTTTATCAAGTAATTTATCTGTATTTAGCTTAATATTTTATATAGATGTGGATCATTCATGTCAAAAGCTGCGCCTGTGTTTGGTTTTTGATTAAATAATTAAGAATCTATACTAAACTTTTATTTATTTTTATTGACTGCAGAAAACATCTCTGTTTTAATTATATTTCGCAAAAATAACTCATTTTATTAAAAAGAAAATTCAAAATGAAGTAGAGAAATTTACATTCCCGCAATTTTTTTGCAAAAGAATTGGCGCTAAATTTAAATTTGCGCACTTTAATTTTAATTAATGCAAATAGAATTAAAAAATTAACTTTTAAGTCATACGAAAATATTAAATTATATCAAAAAATAGAAAAAATACAAAAAATATGTCCAAATATAAAAACAATATCCCAGACCATTCATTATTCATATAGAGTGTTCCACCGTGTAATGTTACACCTATCAGATGTATGGGTATTTTTAGAACTGATCATATGGGTACATTCTACCTCCCTTTTACTTGAACCATAACAAAGTAAAAGAAGGAACTTTTAACGTGCAGTCTTAAAAGTAAAAACAAACTTAATATACCAGAAGTGACTGTAACAGCAACATAAATAAATAAATAAAAAGCAAAACATACTTACATCTAAGGAAAAGGACTCGTTTGATATCCTGGTTACCAGCATTATAAATTTTTTATTACATACAAAATTGTGATTAGACGAACACAAATACACTCAAAAACAGCCACATAAAGGAACCCGGTGATAAACATACAAACTTTTCGAGGAATTCCTATTCGAACGCAACGATTTTAGGTTAGAACGACCAAGAAGAGAAGGCAACCTACCATTCGACCTGCAATGTGGTACCCTGACTGCTTCAAATTAATCAATATTGCCTTCTTCCATTTAAAGATTTGAATTTCGTGCTTCAAACTGACTGCCAACATAGCAGCGGTATATGTTTGGTTGCCTAAAACCACTGTTTTTTGTAAAAAAATTATAAAATTCCTTCACCAATTTGTCGATAAAATTATTAATTAATTTTTTAGTTTCCCTTTTCTCGATAAAAGCACAGACAACATAGTATCTTTGTATATGTATTACAAGGATAGTATACTATGTTCTCGTGTACATTTTAGCACCCTGTGGCTTAAAAGTAACGTTGTTAAATAAAATATTACACATTTTAAATAACACTTTTTCCTACGGTTATCTAAGGAATTAAAATTAAATATTTATTTGTTATTTTTTTATTAATTTCTTTAAAAAAATTTTTTATTAATCCCCTTCACCATTTTGTCACTTAGAACTTAGAATTATTAATTGTGTAATTAATTTTTTAGTTTCCCTTTTCTCGATAAGAGCACAGATAACATAGTATACTATATTATCTGTAATAATAGCTTACTTACTGCATGAGAAATAATAGGAAAGAACATAACTAAAAGATATAAATAAATTAATGGTAACCAATGGTGTTTTCTTTTATTGTAAAAAAAGTTTCTATTTGGTTAACAAATTTGTTTTCAACATTATAACACCCTGTAGCTCAAAAGTAACGTTATTAAATAAAATATACATTTTAAATAACATTTTTTTCTGTGGTTATCTATGGAATTAAAATTATATATTTTATTATTATTTTTTATTAATTTCTTTAAACATTTTTAATAAATCACCTTCACCATTTTGTCGCTATTAGCTGTACAGAATGTGATCCAAAAAAGAGCTATTTCAAGTTTTCTACTTTTTTTTGTAAACAATAGGGGAAGTAGCGGACATTTTAAGAATACTTCTACAGTTATACAGGGTGATTCAAATATAATTATATATAAAAAATTTATTTTTTAATGCATTGCTGTATTTTTCTTGGCGAGAAAGATTCTTACCATAAAAATAAGATAATATCGTAGTTAATGCCACTGTTAGTAGGTTTCTATTAAGTGATTTTAAAATATAAAGATTTTAAAATTAAATACACATTTAAAGCACTTTTAAATTTGAAAAATTGGTAATTAATGCATAGGTGAATCAAAAATATAATTTTACATTAAAGTTGTATTTTTTGAATGTAATGCTGCATTGTTTTTGCTGACAGACAACATACAGAGTGAATAAAAACTAAGTATAACTACAGACAGCTTTTTTTGAGTAGACGTATACTTTCATTTATTTTTGAGAAGCTTGGAAAACGACAAATTAGTGTCTTACTAAATATACGGAATTTTCTATTAAAGATACTATTTGTCCATATTTAATGAAAGAAAGATTAGTATTATTATTTATCGGAAAATACAATTTTTATTAATAAAACGAATTCTTTTAGGTTGAAAGGGTAAAAATAATACTGCATAGGTAGTTGTAAAAAATATATTTTTTAAATTTTAATCAAAATAAATTGAAAAAAATTTGTTATGTAGTTTTTTTAATGAAATTCTCAAAACGGAATAAAAAATCTCGGAATGATAAAAATTTAATTGTTCTCGTGCATTCATTATTCAACGCCATAGATTAAGAACGAGAATCGAAAAATAAAACCGAAACGGGTCAGGTGAGGTATTGGTCAAGCTTTGGCTTTGTCTTTTAGCCGATCATTTCTTCACTATATATAAAACCACTCGATTTCCGACCATCTTCTTTAGTACCATCGATTATACCGAGTGTCGCGTATCAGTAGTGCCACATCTATCGATATGAGAATAATAATCGTAAGTACTTATCGTAAACCAAAAAATTATTTTTTTCAGTGAGAATTTTTAATTTAAAATTAATTAATTTTTTTAAATAATATTTAAGCAACAAATTACAGGTAGTTAACTAATGAAGCTTTTATTTTGTACACTAAATTATTTTCAAACAATCAAGCATTGAAGTATCAACTATTGAAAAAAATGTTCTAAAGAAAACCAATACTGAAGTCCATATGACTTAAAATTTAGAAATTTAATTAAAATATATTCGACTTATTTTTTGAACAAGAAAAATAAAATGCCTCAAAAAAGCAAATCATCGCATTTTTAATTAAATTTTGACAACATTTTAATATACAAATATATGACCTGTACTGTAGTCAAACTCTGGATCAGCAATATGTCCACCGGAGAAACAGACAGGAACACAAGCATACCAAGGCTTCCTCCAAGGATCTCGTTCTAAAATTACAAAGTAACTGATAATGCTTTCCAAAAGGCTTAGCAGGAATAAAGTGGGGGTTACAACAGGTCTCACAACAGGACATATTATAGCTGTCAAGTACTTGTTTCGAGGAAGTCTTTGCTGCAGACTCTGGGATAAAGATTCTGAAACAGTATGGGGGCACTTAATATGTCACTGCGAGGCTCTGGATCGCAAGCAGGACTTTCTATTTTGGAAAGTATGACTAAAACCGGAGAAAATATGCTCTTATCCTATTAAGAATCTGCACAAGCTGGTGCAGGGTACAGGGATAGGAGAGTAAATAAAAAAGTACAAAAGATTAATACATTCATTCAAAAAAAATCACGTTATTAAGTTGACGAATCAGAATCAAGTCTTGAGCGACTATTATCTTTTCAGATATACAAGAAAATCTTAACCTTGCTGCTTAAAGTGCCTCATTTAATAGCCTTGCTCGCTTTTGCCATTAAAATAACTTTGCGACGCGTTAATTTAAGGTTTTAGTAAAAATAAAATACCATCATAATTGGGGTGCTTGCACTTTTTATATGCGTTGAAATCAAAGCTGTCCAGCACGGTAAGAAAGTGTCGATCAAAAAGGAATAAAATTGTTCTATACAGAGTGTATATAAAAAATTAATATTACATTACACTAAAAATAAATAAAATAAAAATACAAAAACAAACATTTAAATTTAAGTCGTTAATTTTATATGTAACGAAGATTTAAAAAGGCGGTATAGCGCAGATTTTGAGGTCGGTTCAACGTCCCACTAAGTTATTCTGGCTATCATTAAGCCAACATAAAAATATCATTAAATATTGTGTTGATTACAGACGTAAAAAATACTTTTAAATTCTTTTTGAGCACGAACTGGTCCTAAGCCGAAGTGATTTGTCTTCGGGTTCGATATTTTCTTATTCATATGTATATGTTGGAAGTAAGAGCTAGTCAAAAAACTATTTAAAATGTTCTGGTCGCACCCGATTCAGTTATGTGGTCGGATTTTTTCTCGTGTCTTGAATAATAATGAGTGCAATAAGTCATTCGGGCAGCGGTATGTATGTATGATGATTTTAATCGTAATGTATCGATAGAGATGATCTTTTATTGAAGAATATTATCACCTAAATATTTACTAAAAAGTCCAAATTTGCATAAAGATTTCTTAAGTGACACACTAAGGAAGGAATTTGGGATATCGTCCTTTATGGGGGTTAAATTAAGGGTGACAGTTTCTATGAAACTTTGTAATCTCTGCTCTTTAGGATTTATAACACTACCGAGCAGTGGCGGACCAAGGGGATTAATATGTAAAAAACATATGTATACGCAAACTATAAACAGTATAAATGGATGCAGATATTTCCTTAATAATCAATTATCAGGCCCAGTAATTATTGTCAATTTTATTTTTCAATTGATTTATCGATTTATGGATTCATGGATTTATGGATTTAAAATAAATTTGTTTTTTCTTAATTTTTCTTCAAGCCAAAAAATCGATTAATTTTCTTCTAGGTAATTTTATGACGGATTTTACGACGATGGAAAATATGACGTCTTCTAGGTCAGTAAAAATAATCAATAATCAATAATCAATAATCAATAATCAATAATCAATAATCAATAATCAATAATCAATAATCAATAATCAATAATCAATAATCAATAATCAATAATCAATAATCAATAATCAATAATCAATAATCAATAATCAATAATCAATAATCAATAATCAATAATCAATAATCAATAATCAATAATCAATAATCAATAATAATAATCAATAATCAATAATCAATAATCAATAATCAATAATCAATAATCAATAATCAATAATCAATAATCAATAATCAATAATCAATAATCAATAATCAATAATCAATAATCAATAATCAATAATCAATAATCAATAATCAATAATCAATAATCAATAATCAATAATCAATAATCAATAATCAATAATCAATAATCAATAATCAATAATCAATAATCAATAATCAATAATCAATAATCAATAATCAATAATCAATAATCAATAATCAATAATCAATAATCAATAATCAATAATCAATAATCAATAATCAATAATCAATAATCAATAATCAATAATCAATAATCAATAATCAATAATCAATAATCAATAATCAATAATCAATAATCAATAATCAATAATCAATAATCAATAATCAATAATCAATAATCAATAATCAATAATCAATAATCAATAATCAATAATCAATAATCAATAATCAATAATCAATAATCAATAATCAATAATCAATAATCAATAATCAATAATCAATAATCAATAATCAATAATCAATAATCAATAATCAATAATCAATAATCAATAATCAATAATCAATAATCAATAATCAATAATCAATAATCAATAATCAATAATCAATAATCAATAATCAATAATCAATAATCAATAATCAATAATCAATAATCAATAATCAATAATCAATAATCAATAATCAATAATCAATAATCAATAATCAATAATCAATAATCAATAATCAATAATCAATAATCAATAATCAATAATCAATAATCAATAATCAATAATCAATAATCAATAATCAATAATCAATAATCGATTATCGATAATAATCAATATCGATTTATTGATTTATCGATTATCGATAATCGATAATCGATAATCGATAATCGATAATCGATAATCGATAATCGATAATCGATAATCGATAATCGATAATCGATAATCGATAATCGATAATCGATAATCGATAATCGATAATCGATAATCGATAATCAATAATCAATAATCAATAATCAATAATCAATAATCAATAATCAATAATCAATAATCAATAATCCATAATCCATAATCCATAATCGATAATCGATAATCGATAATCGATAATCGATAATCGCTAATCGATAATTATTTATCGATTTATCGATTTATCGATTTATCGATTTATCGATTTATCGATTTATCGATTTATCGATTTATCGATTTATCGATTTATCGATTTATCGATTTATCGATTTATCGATTTATCGATTTATCGATTATTACTTAAATCTTTTTCGATATTACTTAAATTGAATTTGTATTTCCTTAATGTAAAATTTTCTTCTCGATAATTTTATCAACAAGATGAAAAATATGACGTCACCTAGACTCCTAGGTCATTTTTCAAAATTTAATTTAAGCGCTCAGGCGAATTTCTCATTTAAAAAAAGCAACGAAAGGGCTTTTCTGTGTTTCAAATAAGCCCTGAGAATTAGTTTTATGTAACTGTTCGTATCATTAACTTTTAACTTAGTTATATTCAGTTTTGAGATGGATGTAAGTCTATAAACGATATAGCTACGATATCGATTTATTGATATATCGAATTATGGTACTAATATATCGATACCATAGCCAAAAATTGTTAACCAAATAGAAACTCGTTTTTTCAATAAAAGTAAACATCATTAGTTACCATTAACTTATTTATATTTTTCAATTATGTTCTATTCCATTATTTCTCATGCAGTAAGTAAGCTATTATCACAGATAACATAGTATACTATGTTATCTGTGCTCTTATCGAGAAAAGGGAAACTATAAAATTAATTAATAATTTTAAGTGACAAAATGGTGAAGGTAATTATTTAAAAAGTGTTTAAAGAAATTAATAAAAAAATAATAAATAAATATTTAATTATAATTCCTAAAATTTTTACGATTTCAGTCCTAAAATGCTGCGTTTTACAGACGAAGCATTTTAATATAAATATAAATTTATATAAACTTTTTAGCTTATATTTATCTGCAGAATATACTGCCAAAGTTTCGCGAATACAATAATTAGGACCACCCTGTTAATTAAACTTTTATCAGACAAATATTGTTTCCTTTTTTTCAAATTACTTTTTTAAGTTTGTTCAAATTACTTAAAATACGATTTATTTAAGATTTTCTATGTAGAAATCGCCTCTAGTAAAAATTTATTAAAAAATGACAAACAATAATTAGTCTAGCTCTTGCATTTTGCATTGGCTCATCACTAATCCAAGAAGACCATTTTTCAATTTTGATTTGCATAAATTCTTTTTAAACAAAATTATTAATATTTTTTTCTTGAATTTCAGATATATTTTCTTCAGTTGCTGGTTTCCATCTGTTGTCATCCACTTTATCATTCCTTCGAGGGTCTGTATCAACCATTCGCCTATCCGTACTCGTACGGCCTCAACTATGCGCCGCAATTGACATCTTACAGCTCGTATTTACCCACTTATACCAACGAATACATTCAAGATTACGCATCTGGAGGCCATTCAGCCGTTGAACCTACTTTGAATCTGTTGACGGAACTACCTTATGCTATGTCAGATGAGTATGTCTCATATTATATAGCAAATACAAACAGAAGTTTAAAACCTGTGATTTGTTTAAATACTGTTTAATGGAATGAAAACATTGCAACATTGTTGAACATTCTCAAAGTTTATTCAATCATATAGGGTGCCGAAATGGGTCCGTACATGTTTTCTATCAGATTTTTACTACATTTTTTATGGAATATGCAGGTTAAATTATATTTGATTCACCCTGTATATTTATAAAAATATTTTTGAAATGTACGCTACCATTGTCCGTATATTTTTCAAAAAATATTCAGCAAAAATCCGAAATAGAAACTTATGAAGCTTTTTCGCAATACACCTTGTACCGCTAATAGTGACAAAATGGTGAAGGTGATTGTATAAAAAAGTGTTAAATAAAGAGCATGAGAAATATTTAATTAATTTTATAATAATTATTAATATAATTTAATCCCTTTTCACGATAATCACAGGTTTCCTATAATCACAGGCATTTTTTTAATCGATTTTGAGTTAAAGGGAATCAAAATTTTAGAAAAAATAATTTTTAACGGAATAGAAACTTCCTCTGCATATCTATAATATATTTTTATGGTCTACTCTACTTACAGTTGGGGGTTGAAACTTTTGGTGTTTCAACAGCAAAATAAAACATTAAATCACCACAATACACCAAAACACTTTTACTTTTACACTGAGAGCGCGTTTCACTACTGACTAAAAATCTTAAAATTGAGTTTTAATCATCTGCTGTCCGCGGGTCCAGTATAAAAGTTAAAGTGTTTTTTTGGTGTATTATGGTAATTTAGTATTTTATTTTGTTGTTTACTCTACTATAGGTCTTATATTTATAATAAACAATATTGGAGTAAAAACCTAAAATAGAAAAACTGATTTGAAGCTTTTTAGAAATAGTTAATAGTGACAATATGGTGAAGGCGCTTCATATAAATTCTCCCTTGACCCTAAATTAAACATCGACATTATTTTATTTACTTACACTGTAAATCTTTTTTTTTGTATTTAAGAACATAACTGTATTTTAATTTTCATTCTTTTTTTTGTTGATACTTTTAGATTTTCAGTAATTCCGATGTTCGTTGTGTCAAAAAACACAATGAAAACAGTTCCTCAGGGTGAAATAATATCGGTATCGAAAAACGAACCTGCCCTGACAGTGAAAGTAAACCAGAGTGCAACTATTAAATGCACTCCTGCAGTGAGGGTAACCCTTGACAAGCCCATAGTGGTAGGAAGCCTAAAAAGCAACATTCTGTTCCCATCTGAAATTCAGATTCTGCACGGGGAACAAAGAATACCTATAAGAATAGGGGCTGTAATAGCCCCAATGTCTCCAAATTTTTATGTGTCTCAAGAGACACCAGTAGCTATTAATGTAAGTTATTAACTTGAGCTTAAATTTATGTACATTTTTCTAACAAGTATTAAATTTTTCAGGTTGTATATGCTGTACCAACAAAGCCACTTAAAATTACAATAATTATCAAACAAGATGACGATACTTCTGAAACTACGAACAAAAATGATAATTCGGGTGGTAATGATGTAGAAAACAATGCCCATGTAGCTTTGAATTTGCCAAACTCAGATAAAGAACAGGAATTCAACAGTAGTATTCCTCCAGCAGCTGAGGAAGTATTACAGAACCAATCATCTACTGGTAAATAATATAGAGCTACTTTAAAAATGTATTTGTCAAAAGATTTAAGACTTTTTTCTAAATTCTTTTAGCAGAAAAGCCCTTAAATGGATTTGGTGCCCTCAGTAATGTTCCTGATTACATTAATAACAACGACGCCATTGTAGTACCCGACGGAGAAACACTGGTAGTTGAGAGGGAACCAGAAGTTTTACCTCCAAAGAACATCACTATCATAGAATTTCCTGAAAAAGAAGCCGCACCTCATATCGAAGTCGACGAAGAAGACGACGAATTAGGTAATTAATGTGAAAAATAAGCTTAAAAAATAAATTTTCGACGATATTTTTTTATAGTCAACAGAAATCCACCACAAGTACTTGCACCAGCTGGTATAGTTCAATCAACTCAGCCTCTAACGCATGAAGAACCGTTCCATAATGACAAAGAATCGACATATTTGGAAACTCTCAGGGAAGAGTCTAAGAAAAAGAGAATATGAGACTTGGCAAACAGTATTAAATAGATATACACAATGTGCGTCACTTTTGTAATAATTTTATTTATTAAATTTTGTAATTAAAACCATTTAAACATATAAAAAGAGTGTTTTTAATTTATATTTTAATTTAGTTTCGCATTTAAATAAAAAACTAACGCTGTCTGTCTTAGCAATCACAGTACAGATAACAAAATCACATATAAACGATATAAAATATATTTAAAATTTAAAAAAATATATTGGGCAGGCAACCATATACATTTGTTGGTTATACATGGCAAATTATTCATTTGAAAGTACATTTGTTAATACTGTTATGCAACTCTTAATACACTTGTAGTGTTTTATAAGTTGCATAAATAATATTTTGTTAGTATGCAACAAGTTATATAGCTAAGCGAATATTTGCTTTTGTATAACTATTTCTAACATATACAACTAGTAAATCACTTTGAGATATATTTGGTTGCATAATAAAACTAGTAAATCAACGTATTTGTAATAAATAAATGTATGGAACTCCTTAATCACATGTTATGTATTACTAGTTGTCTGTTATATAAATATTGTGGTATATATTTAGTTGCATAACTTAATCTTTTTATTTTTTATTTCATTAAAGATAATTAATATTTTGCTTTTAAAACTTTCTTTTTCGTATTATCATTTATCTACACAAATAAAACAGTTTACAACATTTTAGTTAAATAATTATCAAAGACTCAAGAATTCTACGTCATTAGTTCACTATTTCGTGTTATCGTAATTTGATAAAGAGTTTACACAGTGAGATTTGATAAATACCGCAAATTATCCTGAAACGGTCAACAAAACCAGTGATTATTACCAGTTATTACACAGAAAAACGTTTGTTTTCTACTGTGATATCATTTCTGAAGTAAGTTATCAAGTAATTTCCTATTTATTAATTGAGATATATAGGTACTGTTGCAATACCGGTTTAAAGTCATTAAAAGTATGATTTTTTAATTTGTTTTGTACTAGGTATTTATGAGTTGAATTGCATTACACAATACATAGGTTGATGCTATTTTACAATTTTATTATCGGTGACAATAATATATTCAATGAGATATCTATGAGATTCTTATTTTAGAATTAAATTATATAATAATTATAAATTTATAGTTGAGACATTTAATAAGGAGTTTATTTTTGTTTGTAAAACAGAGGTATCATTGACCGTAGTTTAATCAATTTTTAAGATAATACTTCATAATTTATTATTCATAATAGGTAATTCTGTAGATTTCCAGAACATATTTATATCAAATATGCTGTAATTATTACAACTAAAATTGATACAATAAATTGTGATAACTCATATATAATATGATATCCATTTTATTTTTTATCAAGTAGGTAGGTAGGTATTTCAGCATAAAACCACAAATCAAGGCAATTTCTCTACATTCTTAATATAATGGGCCCTTTGTTGTTTAATAATTCAACAAAGGTTCAATGTTTTTTTCGTTGTTGTTTGATTGGATCCCGTGTATTTTTACCTGTGTAGGTATCTGATTTGTTTTTGATTTTCTAAAGATACACAGGGTCTACCAAAAATACTTTTTTTAATTTTTGCTAGATACCTCTTATTTTTAAAATATGTATTAGGTAGAAATCATATGTATACAGGGTGTTTCAAAAAATGTGTGCCATCTCTCTTGGGGAAATTATCCTCTCGTAAAAATAAGATTTATTTTTCATATTAACATAGGTTCAATTCTGCTTTGTTTCTTAGTTACAGGGGATTAAAATCTTCAGCTTTTTTTCGATTTATTATAATGTTCTTCCAAGTGCTTTTAGCGATTCGAATGAAACTTTGAGGGTAAAATTTACTATATAAGTGCGACATAATATAATGCTAAAAAAGTGTGTCTTATAGTAACTTTTACCATGAAAATTTCATTCAAATCGCTAAAAGCACTTCGCAACAAAATGAAAAAATCGTTTTTTTTTTCATATATATTTGGAAGTAATCGCATTTTTTTAGATTTCGAATCATGGTTCTTATATGGGACACTGTGTATACAAAAAGTGCGACGATTGAACTGTACTGAATATTAGAAAATAAAATAAAAACCATCTAAAAAATAAGTCTTAGTAGGGTAGCGAATATACTTATTGATCGACCCTTGTATACACCTATACTTCTATGATCGTACTCAAATCTGTATGGAGTATATAGGTATCAAAAGGTACGTTCAACAGGAGTGACAGGATTGAAAAAACGCGCTGCTTTACCGCAGGTTGGCGACTTCTCAGAATATCTCATCGCGCGCCTCAGTCTATCGCGGACACTCTACATCGTAACTCGCGTATAAATACCTACGCTATATCTCGCTGCAAATCGGCAATTTTTCGACAATAACCAGAGAAAAACTTTCAGGAAATGGTAGCCTCGAAGTCGGAAGACAATGGCGGCGTTCGAGAGTTCCAGTTCCAGCAGAAACGGGTGGAGACCAATTGGCAGGCCTTCAAAAGGCTCATCTACGATCCGTCGACCAACGCCGTTTTCGGTCGTACCGGAAAAAATTGGGGTACGTACTTAATCATCATAGGAACGAGAGAAAAAAAACGACGTCATGGCAAGCTTTGAAATCACCATCGATGATATTTTTATCCGGATCGTTCTCTATATAGACGATATCTTTAAGATTTGTTCCTAAATATTTATTACTTTTTAATATCAATTTTTAATAAATTACTTATAGGGGTTATGGATTATCTTTTCAGAGACCACTTTGACGCCGTTTTTTACAGTATATGTGTTTGTGTGAGATAATCTGATGATGGATGAATGAGTTTTTCATCATATAGATAATACTTATCACGCGTTTTTAGATAAATTATGTTATACAATCCTATAAATCGATTATAAACAATAACATACCAATGAGAATCAATAATTATTTATTGTAAATTCTTGGTAATCCCAACGCAAATTTGTTTTAAATAAAAACACAAAGTCGTTAAATTTACAGAATTCTTAATTAATTGTTGAGATTTAATTCAATAATCAACTAGTTTTAGTGTTTAATAATTACCCTATCGCCAGGCTAATAAAAATAAGAGTTTTGTCTAGAATATACAGGGTGCTTATTCGATTCAAATAATATCTGAACTCATATCGACATTTGGATGAAAATTGGTGTTTGGGAGTTTTTTAACATGAGAAATTTGATTTACTACTTAGATTATCTACATCACCCTGTATCTTTGAAACGAAGCGTTGTGGGGAATTAATTTATACTTTCAGAAATTATTTTTTACTTATTTTTATCTGCAGAATATCCTGCCGAAGTATGTCCACCCTGTTTAATAGAAAACTCTTATCAGTATTTTTGTTAGAGCATTCAAAGATACAAAAAGAATCAAAATAAATTATTCAGCCTTCTATCCACCTCCCACTACATTCAAAATATTTGACTTAATTTTATTTTGGAACGGAGTCTATTTTAAAACCATCCAAACGCATGCTAAAGAAAGGATTTCCTGGCTTGAGCGTATAACGTCCGCATGTTAAAATAAATTTGCCAAAATTGAATTAGTCATGTAATTCATATCTCCAAACACTTTCTCTTAAGAATGCATTAAACTGAATCAGGCTTAAGGAAGATGACTGCTCTTTTTTTAAGGATATACGTCGTTTAGCGCAACTAGAACTAATGTTCTTTTAATTTATTGAATTTTCACGTTTTTGAAAGAGATCTTAAACACCAAAAAAGTTTTTAAGAAAATTGGTAAAATTCAGCTTTATTATTCCAATAACATCCTTGACATATAAATGTTCAAATCATATTATTGTTATTAAATGCATAATATTTCGAAAAAATAACATCTTTGTACTTTAACTTTACGAACTAATTCTTTCACACTGCCTAGCAACAAAGTTGCTATCACATTATTTATTTAGATATAAATCTAATTTTTTTATATTACAGTGTTAATAGATTTTATTTTTTTAAGTAGCATGTCATCGTCATATTTCTCAACAATTTTGATAGAAAAAAAGAAATACATAGACATCCAGCTACAAATTACATAGCTACATTATAAAAAAAATGAAGACATATTAATTCATACTTATAAATAATCGTATAAACTTTGAGGGATACATTTTCGAAAAAAAAATGGAATTAAATGCAGATATTTTAATTTAAATTGTAGCTAAATGAATAAAATCCAATTAGTTAATTTGTTATTTTATTTATTTAATTTATTGAGAGACCATTTAATTTAAATTGAATTACAAAAAGTACAACATTGGATGGGATTGTTCAAATCACTTTTCTCATATAGTTATATATGGTTTAGAATGATTGGAAAACCCGTTATATAACTCGAATATACAGGGTGATCCACTGTTTCGAATGTAAAAGGTTTTCAGTGATTAGTTTTTCATCATAGAATACTGTACCTACATTTTATCATTTATTATACAGTTTTTATTCAACTTTATGTATTTTTTATCTAAGTATATTTTATTTTTATTTAAAATTATACTTAGATATTGAAACGAAAAAATAACTCTAACTAACTAAAATAAATAATAAATAAATGTATCCTAAAGTAAAAAAATCATCATTACATCCTAATATAAATTTACTCTAGTATAAGCATTAATTTTAGTGTATTGGAACTAATTTGTTTTCAGTCTGTAATTTTTTGCACTAAAGCGCTAAATGAGAACATGTATTACATCAGAGAGCAGAATGACACTTTAAATCTTTCTATATAATAATAAAAACTTAATTTTAAGAACAAATATTCAAGTTTATAACTATTTGAACTAAATATTATTTTAGTGTCTTGGAATTAGCGGTTTCATCTATTATTCTATGCAACAAAAAGTAGGTTTTTAGATATTGTATTTAAGCTTATAAATCAACTCATACACGATATCGATAAATTAAGATAAAAAAAATTAAATTTTTAAGTTATTTTTACATTTTTTTATGAAAAAAAAATATTAGCTACAGGAGGACTAAGGAAATTTATTAAAATAAAATAACATTGCTTTAAAATGATACCAACTAATTAAGGAGCTTATCGTAGACTATTTTTAAGGCAAATTGCTATTATAGCCATTTTTACATGACACACACTGTATTTTGTGTATAAAAAGTATAAGAAGTTTTCGTTTAAAAGTTTTTGTTTAATTTACACCAGTTGGTTTATACACCCTGTAAAGTTTTCTTGCATGTTTAATATTTTATTTTTTTTATTATAACGAATATAGTAATATGTAAACAATGTTACCCTCACATGTTCTTAATTACATCAAGTAAATAATATGTAACAATTAAACCGGTCGGTGTCAAATAACATAAATAATGTGTAACTTAATGAGGAAATCATTGTCATCGTAGTTCCTAGACATGAAAGATGAGCGTGGAGTCAAATAGATCAAACGAATTATACATATAATTTAATCATTCTCATGGTCTGCACGCGTTTCATTTAAAACTCCCAGACTGTTATTAAAGGGTTAAAATGGCGTAACATACAGCTGAAAGAGGGCGGGAAGGGGGCCTGAAATAAAGGGGAGCCCTATAGAATGAAGCAGTGGCGTAACTATAGGTAACCGAAAACCCCGTTAAAAAAAATGAGGAAAAGATCTTTTATGGTTCATCGTCTGTTACTGAATCTAACATTATTTTTTCTTCTTTACTATTGGCTCTTAAATAAAAATTCCGTTTTTTTGCAGGTCAGCTTCTCACATTTTACGCTATCTTCTATCTGGTTTTGGCCGCGTTGTTTGCCATATGTATGCAAGGATTGTTTGCTACACTCAGCGATACTGAACCAAAATGGCGGCTGGAAAGGAGTCTTATTGGTACCAACCCTGGCCTGGGTTTCAGACCTATATCAGAACGAACAGAAGAAGGCTCGCTGATATGGTATAACATGACCAACAGCACGCAAGTGGTCAGATGGGTGAAGCTAATAGACGAATTTTTGGAACGTAAGTTCTATACAGAGTATTATTAGCTGTGTTCACATTTAAGAAAAGTATTATATCTAGTTTTGATTCACTCTGTATATAGCGAGCAATGTTTCCTATTTTAGTATGATTGATTTTGAAGAAGGCACTATCATAGAATACTTCCAGTTTAAAAACAATAATAATCTGTTAGTAATCAGTTTTAAGTCTATTTAATGTTTAGATTTTTTAATTTTTGAAATGGTAATTTTTTATATCAAATCTCACTGAACAAAAAAAATACACTATTTTATTTAAAAACTGGAATTTTAATGATATAGAGATATTACTGGGTCACCCTGTATAAATTTCATTATATTTTTTATTGAAATACGTCGGTGTAATTAAGTCAAATACAGGGTTGTATGACACAGAAAATAATGAAAATACATTTAAATAATAGGTGGGTATATTTTTTGTCAGTGGAAGTTTAATATAAAAATATATTTAATATCAAGTTGCGTGCTAATAGCTAATTAAAGTAACCTTTTTATTAATAAATTAGTTGATATAAATTGAAAAGTTTGGTTTGAATATATAAATAGGAGTATCACAGATAAAATCAAGCTTTTGTTATCTCCTTTTTTTGTGCTTTACCGATACACATATATGGGTCACACATAATGCAAATAAAAAAAAATTATGTTTAATTTAGTAAAAATAAAAACTATTCCATGTCGTTTTGAGCTATGACGAAATCACGCAAGCTGCCAATTATTAAACACAGAGTAACTAAAAGTCTATTATGAAATATGGAGAGTCATGAACATGTACGTACTAATTCTAACTCCTAGCACACAGATTTTACCATGTTAATGATGCTTATAGTATATGTAAATATTACTATGAGAAACTTAGCAATGGGTGTATGGTTAAATAAACCGGGTGTATGTACAGGGTGGTTCAAACTTACCGCTTAGAATTAATATCAGGAAAAAGAATATTTTTTATTATTTATTAATTTGAATGACTTTACTATTATTCATGAATGCTAATATGCTTTGTATAGTATCTAATTTTTCTTCTATACTTTGCAATAGAATTGTGTATACAGATTTTTAGAAAACAACTTGTATATACATGTTTTTAATACGACAAAACCCTGTAAATTTTAAAAGAGTGCGTTTTTGCAGACTTCGATATGTTTAAAATTATTTGAAATGCTGCCAAAGCTTATGATGAGTATCAATTAAATTATTTTTAGTTTTCCATAATAAAAAATCAATGAGTATTACAGCATTTCTTAGGTTTTAAATATATTACCACGAAAATTAAAAAAATATCAACAAGATATAACTATAATTTTATTATTTATTATTACTAGAGTTTCAATTAAAATGTTTGATCGTACCACGAAATAGACACGGGTTTCTGTGACGCTGAACCTTGAAGTTAACCTAATTCATATTTCTGAAGTTATTTCAGTATTATTTTTTTTTAATATACCATATTTTATTAAAGTTAGAACCTTAGAGCATATAACATTAATAGACACCTAATTTACATAAGCGACTTGAAGCCGACATTGTAAATATTTATGACGTCATTTCAGGGCAAAAAGTAAATTTATGACGCTAAATTATATTGCATTTTTTCCCAGCATATAACAAACCACAAACTGGTGAAAACTACGTGAACTGTGACTTCGATAAGCCTCCAGAAGCGGGCAAAGTATGCGTTACGGACGCTTCAAAACTTGGGAACTGCAACAGGAACAGGTCGTACGGATACAGTACTTCGTCCCCGTGCTTCTTTCTCAAGCTCAATCGAGTAAGCATACCAGCGTAATGATCACTTAATATCTTGCAATAGTTTCTGTTCTCGTTCCTAGATCTTCGACTGGACACCGGACTACTATACGGAGGTGGTATCTGACATGCCACAGGATTTGCAAATGCATATTAAAGCGGTAAGTGGTCTAAGTGTCTAAGCATTACAGATTTTTATCGTTGATATTTTTTTCTATGTACTTTTAGGCTAAATCTGAGGAAGAAAAAAAGCAAATATGGGTTTCTTGTAACGGACAAAGCCCAATGGATGAAGAAAACGTCAAAGGTTTCAATTACTACCCGCAAGGGTTTGCTGGGTACTATTATCCATACAGAAACGTCAAAAACTACTTGAGTCCTATCATAGCAGTGGAAATCTTAAATGTTACACGTAAGTAATAACAGATTATTGTTATTTATAGTGTACTGTTTTCGCTTTTATTCAAAATTAATTAGCTAGTACCGAAAGTAACGAAAAAACCGGAAAATATCCCGGTCCCTTAAGGCGTGGTACCGAAATTCCCGGTTCCGAAAACCCTACACCCAACGTTTCACTTCATACGTTTTGCCTGAACAGGTAGAACGTAAGGTAAAATATTATGTGTAGACAAGGCTTAAATCTTTTATGCAGCAGGAAGAGATTCATTATTTTTGTAAAAAAGAAAAAGATTTTTTTCTAAAGATTTCTTTTATACATAAATTCAAATATAATAGTACAGTTAAGGGATTGTTTGTGTGGAATGTCCCTTTCATTTCCACAACGTGATATTAAATTAAATTCCCAGTAAAATTTAGTGCGTCTAGCGGAGCATCTGACGTAGAAATTTATTTTTAACTCAACCTACATTATCCAGAAAACACCAAATGATATCCTTACGATTCCAAATTGCTTTACGAAAAATATCGATCTCTACTTATTCTTAATACATTTTATTCCAAAAATATGTTTGGACTAATTTTCACAAATTTTTATTCAACTTTTTAGCCGACCAACAGGTATGGTAGGCTATTAAGATCGACAAAAAAAAAGTTTTTTTAATTTCACTCAAAATCAGATTTGGATCATAAATGACCTAAATACAAAATATTTTTATGGTGTCTGTCTGTCCGTCTGTAGGTAACACGATAACTCAAAAACCGCTAAACCGATTTCAACCAAATTTGGCACAAAAATACTATGGCAGCCGAGAATCTGGCCATTAGTTTTTGGTTGGGGTGGGGGGTTGGTAAGGGGGTATGGGAGGGGGTTAAAAATTTTAAAGAATCGTAACTCCAAAATTACAGTAGCTAGCGAAACGCGGTTTTAAGTTTAAGATAGGAATAATATTTGCAACAAAATTTGTAATAACATCAAAATCAGTCAAAGTCGCAGTTTTTGAGATAAATGAAACTAAAAGAACTGCCTACCAACTTTTTATTAACATATTTTAGTATGGGCGGCTATACGTGCCTCCCGGCACCAATTTTTTTTTGAAGGGTTTCTTTAGGAATTTAAAGTAAAACCAATGCTGATTTTTTTTTCAAACGATGAAATTAAAAGCACACTACGGAATTCAAATGAATTTACTGAAAATCATGGATTTGTTAGTATTATACCAACAGTAACTCTTAAGACTTTTTTTTTCGTGGGGGAAAATCTGCAAACCAGAGACCGTAAGTGGTGCTGTCGCATGTCGGGGTGGTTGAGGTACCTTACCGACTAAAAAACCTCCACAAACCGCTTTGAGTATCTCCCCAAGGAACTACCTTTCGGCATTACTTCTGGGGGAGGCAGTTTTATTGTGATGTTACAGGTAATTGAGAACTTCAGTCAATTAATTACTCTTGAGACTAATAATTACGCACCCTTATAAGACTCACCCCGTATAAAGGTATTAGTGAAATTATTTTTTCAAAGTGAAGAAATTAATATTGAACGTACCTATATCAATTTAGGGACAATAAATTAATAGGGTAAACAATTAGTATTTTCTTTTTACATCGAAGAAATAAAGGAATTATAAGGAATGGATGTGTCGGTAGTCGGTAGGGATTCGTTTAAGGGCTATATTTAGCCCCGCTGGTGAGAAATATTAAGAAATATACACGTCGAGCGTATTCCAGGGTGTGGTACGGTCAGGATAAGGCCGGCTCAATCCGGTTCAGTTCCTTTTTCCTGCCCTTCGAGCCCGCGGTGACGAGACAAGAAACACAACGAACTTGTTTGCTTTTGCTTGTTCTTCTGACGTCCCAAGTAATTGATTACAAATAAATTTCAGCCTCGTCGTTATATTTGTACTGGAGGAGATCTTTAAAGCCGATAGAAAAGTTAATTGCATTTCGGTCGTTAGCATAGAGGCCATCGAACGACAAACTTCACTTAAGGATAGATTAATTTTTCTGTTTTGATTAAATGTAGGTACATAAAATAGGTACACAGCTTTTAAATAGGGGTTTGTGTACATAAGGGTGATTTTGAAACAATTATTCCTTGAAAAAATCATAGTTAGTTTTTTATATTTACATGAGGTTTATACAGGGTCGCTTTAGCATTCATAAAATGGGAGTATATCAAGTCTGGAAATTACACAATTTTTGTTTAACGTTTCAATTCTTCAATTTATGTACATCTGCGACCCTGTATATTTTTAAAGAGGGCTGCTTTACTTATTTATTAATAATTTGTCCTTTTTTTTTCATTGCAGCTAATGTAATTGTGAGTATTGAATGCAGAGCATGGGCCAAGAATATCGAATACAGCGGCAGCGCATTGACAAGGGCTGGATCAGTCCAATTCGAGGTCCAAGTTGATGCTGACACAGTCAGCACTAAACTCGTCACTACCACAGAAGAGACTCCAGCCACTACACTTCCTACTATCACCACCTCATCATAAAAATCACCCATATCACCCATGGCTACCGTACTTACTATTATATTATAAATTATAACGGTCTTTTTGTCGTGTAAGGTTGTGCCTTAAATGTATTACACAACTATCGTGGTTGTCTAGATACTTATTTTTATTGTTTACGTTTAATTCGTGTATGTTATATACTTCGAAAAGCTTTAAAAATGTATTTAGTTTACTTATGTTATGTACGTATCAAAATTTTAAACTATTTTTTCATATATGTAAGTCGATGGTTTGAAAAACTGTTTAAAAGTAGTAGTTTTAGCGCGCAACTTAATATGGTTATATAGGTAACCAGTAATACGCCGGTATGTATCTTGTGTTGCATAAACTCTTTGGCGCGATTATTTAAAATCACCAAGTATTTTTTTAAACCACCTTAATTTGTTTTTTATGGTACTTAAGGCTTAAATAGCGAAGTCACGTGTGTTTCTAGAATTAATATATTAAAAATAAGTAATTATTTTTGTAAAATGACCAAAAAATCAGCTTAGATTTGGTACAAAAGTTTTACAAGAAAATTCAAGATTTAAAATTACCTTAATTTTAAGTTAAAAGCTTATAAGTATTCTGTGTTCTCTGTACTACTATTTTATTTGAAAAAAAAACATTAATCAAATAGGTATATTCTTAAACAACTATTGTTTATTTTAATTTTAAGTATAGTACTTCAAAGCTTACTTAAATAAAGAAAAAATAATAAAGTTACGTGTGTTTTGTGAGATTAGAATAAATAAATAGTTTTGTAAAATTAAACTTACAAAACAAAGAAGAAAGTCAGTTTTGTTTAAAATAATTTTATTTAATTGGCTAGATAACCAGTAATACACATTGATGTATTGTGGGTTGCAGTAGTTATACTTTTCTTAGCGCCATTAGTTTAAAATACAAATACTGTTTAACGGAGACGAGGGCAAAGTTAGTTTTCTTATATAGCTATTGAAAAAAAAACGCACAATTAGTTATTAGTTAATATTCCAATTGTGGTGTAGCCTTTCTCGCATATTTAGATCTCTTTGTAATTGAGTCCATTGTTGTCTCTGCGGACCCAAGTTATCCCTGCTAATTTCCTAATATCGTGGTCCCATCTCAGATATGGTCTTCTTCTAGGTGTGTGTATTATGCTGTAATTTTTGTGGTCAATCTATTGTTCGTCCTTCTTGCCAGATGTCCTGCACTTAGGGATTTGATTCTGTAGATGACATCTATTACCTGGGGTTCTTTTGTCGTATCTACCCTACTTTTACGGCCTTTCTTTGTTATACCCAGCATATTTTGATCCATCGAGCGTTATGCTTTTAATGTTCAAATGTTTGTCAATCTTTAGTAAATTAATTATTACCCTTAAATACTAATGTATTTTATTTAATTCATACAATGTTGGATTACTATACTAATTTTAGGCTATACAAAAGAAGTACAAAGTCACAAAAACTATAAATGCCCTAATAGTAGATTAGATCATAATAGTAAATAGTTTTATACATACAATAAAATTAAATTTGCATTTAGGTACCCCCAAAAAGGGTCAGTTTATTGCCTACAGTAGACAAATTTCGGCGAAATAAAGTGATAAATGATTTGGACTTTTGGATATTAAAATTTACAAGTAGTCTGGTTATAGTCATGATCTCGGTTGTGTGGAATTATTTTGAAACATGGTAAGGAGTGTATTATATCTCAAAATATCTTGTTAATTATAATTATTCAATAAGACAATTTATTTTTATTCATAATAATTTTTATTCAACAGGATTCAACACCTAGCAGATTTAAGAGTCTTTCAATGCCAACTACAGACCTACAATTGAGACCTTTTACTGCAAGACACTCCACACCAATTTTGGAACGTAAAAGACTGGTGAACTTAGAAGACTCCCGAGCTTACAATAACTGGTGTAAAGCTCTTTGGAAACCGGCGCAAAAAAATAGGTTTATAGTGAATGGAAATAGAATAAAAACAAACATGGACAACAGCATAATTTCTGGTAAGTTTTAATTTATTTTAAAGACATTTTTTGTATATATAATTTGTGCTTTTAGGCTGTCTCAATATGTCTAGTATAAAGCCTAAAATAACAGATAGACCTGTTATGGAAGAAGATTCAATTATGAACAAACTAAAGAGGATATGTAACGGAAGTTATAAGGCTGTAGTTCTAAAAATGACTTCGATCTTTAATAGTGGTAGCAGAAAGAAAGTTCCAAGTCGTACAGTGAAGAGTCCCTCTAAAAAATGCAAAAATATGAAAAATATGGAGTGTTTTGAATTGTTAGAAAGTGAAAAAGTACCCGAAAGAACTGAAGAAGTAGTGCCTAATAATCAAATGTCTTCGAATAACGATATATACTTATAAGAAAGTATTTTATTTTGTATATACGTGTAATATAAACTTAATTATTTAATAATCACCAAAATAGAGTAATTAAGGCCTTTGTAAATTGAATGTATTACTTTTTTTTAATACAATAAAGATTGTTATGTTTTTTAAATAATTTTTATAAAATACATCAAAGTAATGTTATTTTAATCAAGTATAATGAGCATACAAACCAAATTTCCTTAAAATTTTAATAAAAATCCACTACTATATTTATTAATTTCCTTTTTTATATTATTTTTTAATTTTGAATGTTCTGTGTCAAATATCTCTTCTTTTCTTAAAAAATCCGTTCTGTTAATTAAATTATATTCAATCTCGTGCTTTAAATAAATAACTAAACTTTATAATTTGTATAAAATAAGATTTTTAAATATATTAATAAGAAAGTTTTTCACAAAAGAAAAATAAAAACAACTTTTGACAATTTGCTAATTAAAAAGTGAGGTTAGCTCACGTCACAGGCAAATGTAATATGGCGTCCGCTACTTCAGAACAGAATCAGATGTCAGCAAAAATATTGTGATTTAAGTTAATTTTTTAGTTTAATTCCCTGTTAAAACAAAAGTGCGATATATTTTTCGGTCGTTACTGTGCCAGATCCATCATCTTTGTGCAGCGTTATCAAGGTAAATCATCTCTTACGTCCTTCTGCAAAACGAATGGATTTTTTTTATTTTTACCTTTTAGATATATGTTTGCCATGTTTTGGAACTAAAAAGCTGATTTTTCGTTTAAATTAGAAGAGTATTTGTTGGTAAATGAAGTACCAACGGCCGCGATAGCTCAGTGCATCTAACTTGGAGTTTCCAAGAATCTACTGAAGAATTGTTGTCATCTCCTTACAGGTGAACACCTTAGGCCATCGAACTACCTTCAACGATATGGCCTTCAATGAGGTAAGTTAGGTCTATTTTCTAAGTTTATTAGGTCCTGGCCACGTATTTTTTCCATTTTATCAACAATTTACTTGCTGACATAGTATAATAGGTATATTTCCAATCCATTGTGTCAATACATGACACCAGTGGATATAAAAGGTTTTTCATACATTTTCCTTAAAAGTTTTGTAGTATCTAACTTAGATACAAATCTGAACATTTTAAGTTAATTTCTTTTACGTATATTTTATTCATTTTAAGTCAAAAATGACATTTGCCCAGCAGATGTAAGTTGTACATTTTCGTCAGTGTGCTAGCATCTATCTGGTTTTATTGCACATATAATTTTTCCTGAGGTAATAACTATTATAACATATGCTCTACCAAGTCATATGGTACAGTATGAAGCTGTTAAAATCTAAATTTAATCCATGTTTACATCGTGTCATAACTTGGCTTATTCAAAGCGTTCTATTACATATATTTTTCAAACTAAAATCCGCATTTAAGATACATACAGAACAGGTCAAACTTGTATTTAATTTATACACTATCGCTTAATTAGAATTTTAAGACTTAATAATTTTTAATTATTGTCATGTGTGGTTGGTGATGTTGGAATTCGATCATTTTAGAACTATCTTAAGCTGGCTGATTGCTAGGGGTAATAAAGATAGATCTAAATGATCTATTTAAATAGTTAATCAATAGAATAAATAGTGTGATAAGGATCCGTTTATATTTTTAATTTGATGTTATAAAAGTCTTGGTTGTATGTTTTTTCTAAGAATGAAAATTAATTTCTTTGTTATATTTTTTTTATTTTTAGTCCTATTTTCTTATTTTTTTTATCAAACTGTATATAAATATATCAACTTTAATTTGTAAACTCATCAGTTTATTAGAAACTTTAGTATTTGACTTATTATACAGGGTTAATCGAAGAGTAAGTTGTATCCTATGTTATAGGGCTTGTTTCTCTCTACAATTTCCTCTCTCACAATGTACCGTTTGTGTCGGGGAAGGGATCATAGTTTCATAGTTGTCGATTTTCGAAAGAAATCAGTACATGTATATTATTTCGTATATTTTTCATTTTATTGATTTTATGGAAAGCACTGTTCATTAAAATGTTGTATCCTATGTTATAGGGTTTGTTTCTCTCTACAATTTCCTGTCTTACAATGTACCGTTTGTGTCGGGGAAGGGATCATAGTTTCATAGTTGTCGATTTTCGAAAGAAATCAGTACATGTATATTATTTCGTATATTTTTCATTTTATTGATTTTATGGAAAGCACTGTTCATTAAAATGTTGTATCCTATGTTATAGGGTTTGTTTCTCTCTACAATTTCCTCTCTCACAATGTACCGTTTGTGTCGGGGAAGGGATCATAGTTTCATAGTTGTCGATTTTCGAAAGAAATCAGTACATGTATATTATTTCGTTTATTTTTCATTTTATTGATTTTATGGAAAGCACTGTTCATTAAAATGTTGTATCCTATGTTATAGGGTTTGTTTCTCTCTACAATTTCCTCTCTCACAATGTACCGTTTGTGTCGGGGAAGGGATCATAGTTTCATAGTTGTCGATTTTCGAAAGAAATCAGTACATGTATATTATTTCGTTTATTTTTCATTTTATTGATTTTATGGAAAGCACTGTTCATTAACTAGAAATTAAATGACCGTGGCATGTTCATTTCGGTCTTAAAAATTAACCAAGGCACATGTTGACATGAGTCAAAAAACAAAATGCTTAGGAGATATGGTTGTGATCGAAAAATAATGTTTTAGGAAAAGTTACTCATGAAATTAAAAAAAAGTTAAATGCATTCCTAATAATAGAGGAACCTTTTACATTGCTGCCCATTCCTTGATGAAAGTCAAATTGACACGAGGTGGAAAAGTCAAGGACTGTTGTCTGGGCGAAATGAAAGGCTTCCTGATTTTATTTTCGAACTAAAGGTGGTACCTCAGACAGAATGAAATCCGATGGCAATGATGTGAACGCGTTGATATTGTATTATCGGCGTTACGAATTGTTTGTAGCAGAGACAAACAGAAAAAAAATCATTTTTGGTCACGTACTTTATCGATTTTGTGGTTTCTATTGAAAAACTCATACCACGCAGTACCTCGGTCGGCGTAGAAAAGATTTTCAGTATTATACAGGATGATTTGTAGGTTTTTACTCATATTTTGTCAGAGTAGAATAAAAAACTTCATATGAATGTATGTTCTAGACTAAACATCATAACTTTTTCGGGAAACAACCCAGCTAGGTTGAAACACCAGTTTCCGATAGATCACCGAAGTTCAGCGACGTTAGAAGAGATAGGACTCATATTTCTATTCATACTGTCTCTACAATTTTATAAATCGTTTTATATGAGTATATTTTACTTATATGTTATTTGCAGTTAGTCTGATTATATAAATTCGTTGGTTTATTTGGTTTAACTGCGTCCAGGGCCGTAATGAAAATTTCTAAACTGCTCTCAAACGAGCGCCTTCCGTTTCCTCGTCGCCTCCGATTAGTTCTGTCTGTTTTTCTGTATTAATCATCGTACCAGGAGCCGGTACGACCACCATCGTCACATACGAAAAAAAACTGCATATTATATCGAGCTCAAAACAGAGGAAATGGCCGATGATCGAGTAGGCAGTTAATCTAAACCCGTAGAAATGAAAAACATAGGCTACACTTTCTCGTTTGACTGCCATTTTATGTTCTTTTTTTTCTGAATTGTACAGGGTCATTTTCGTGTGTTTTACACGGCTTACATGGCATCTTTGTAAACTACTCAAAAACAGAAGAATTTGAAAATGGGACACCCTGTATAGGTTGTCTCTTATTTAGAGACACACTATTTGATATATTATGTAGGTATTTTATTTTCAAAATTAAAATTACAAATAAATATTTTTTTTTTAAATTCACAACAAAAGTTGTAGAACCGGATAGTATGTGAGTGGCTGAAAACGCATATTCTAAGGTTGACGTAAGCATCAAAGATACCTTTAGATGCCCACCAAGACGTCCAATAATAACTTAAACATATTTGTTTAATTACGGTGTTCGCTATTTTGAATTATTAGATAATAAAATCCGCGTATAAAAACGTACTTACTGAAATTAGTCACAAAAAATTTGTGCAAATAAAATTGTGTTCGTACAATGTTTGTATTGTATTTTAAATATTTAAAACACTATTGGCCTTGATTTTTAAATGTTTAATTCCTTTTTTGTTGACCGCAAAGTTGAAAATTATATACATAATCAAGAGTGGTTATGTTAACATAATAATGTAGTTTGTGTGTATATTATGTATTATTATATGGAATATAAATATTCGTCTTAAAAAGAAGTATAATTCCCAATTTTTTTTAAATAAATGTTATGATATTTGACCTAGGCATAGGGCTAAAATATAGAAAATTTTGAGAAGCACCGGAATATTGAATGAAATATGTATGCGTTGTTGTCAGGTTGTCTTAAAATTCTAATGTTTCGAAATTTAGCAATACTACAAGTAAAGAAGGTACCGTATGATCGAAAAAAAACGCGTCAAAGACAAATCGATGATAATTTTGACGAGACCAATCTCTATAAAAAAAGCAACTACACATTTGAAATCAAACTGGCCGAAAGCACCTTTAAAAATAAAAAAGAGTAGTCTAGGGATTGACCTCGCCAAAATTATCATCGTTTTTCATTCCTCGGCCGTCTTTGACACCGTTTTTTTTTTATTAAAAGAAACTATAACTTTTTTATGAACGACCCTCGTAAGTACCAGCAATAAACAAACGCATACACCTTTATATCGTATTATTATAGCGTGTTGCTTTGGAGTCGTACCAACCAACTGCAAACGCTGTGATACTCGAACCAACACAACCATTCGAAAGTCGTACTACGTACGTACGCTCCTGCTGTTACCAGTTACCACTCTTCAGTGTTCCTCCACCTCCGGTGCAGTACCGATCGATAGGACGGCGGTACGCGTCGCAATTTTTTACGGTTTCTGTCGGTTCCCGGTTTAACCACTTCCGTAAAAGTGCACCACAGTGAATATAGTGGTACCGAGTAGTACCCTAGACGGATAGTAGCGGATTTTTATGTGTTTTTCTCAACCAGTGGTTAGATGGGTGTTTGGTACTGTTTCCGAAGGAATTCGGTGCGATAGGAGTGGTCGACGGTCGTGACAGTCGTACCAAAAGCCTTCAGTAGTACGGGAAAAAAGTCGAAATAATAAAATACACTCAGAAAAAAATAAGCTTGTGTTAAAATAACCCTATAGTAGTTTTTGGGTGTATTTTGTTAAGGATATCGCAACATATTTTTGTTTACTGTTATATCAATTTGAAAACAGCTGTTCAGATCTTACGTAGTTTCTGTTAGCGAAAAATCACAAAGAAGGTTTATAACACATGTACGGTGCGATCGAAAAAAAAATCGACGTCATAGTACCCGCGTAAATAAGCGATTAATGGTAATTTCTGTCAATTTTTGACATATATTATTGTTAATGTTTAAATAAATGACATAAAGGGTTTGGGTTTAAGAGGAATTATGCTGGATTATTATCGTTTCAAAGGTCACTGTGACTTGTTTTTTTTTCCTACTATTTCTATATATTTACTTCAGATAATGTATAGAGTGTAGCCCAACAAGAATATTTTGATTGATATACCAAAAAATACTTTTCTGGAAAAATCTGAAAGGTTAGGGTCAATACTAATATTTCTGATGATGATTTAACTAAAATATTTTCAAGATTGCGGTACTTATACTCGATACATTGTTATAAAATACACGGTGTCCCATGTCAAATAGTAGTGAAAAATATATCATCTAGTTTTGATTCGCCCTATATTTATTATAGCACAAAGTGTTCATAAATATTGCCATCATATTTTATAAAAAAGATTTCAGTAAAAATCTCGTATAAAAAATCTGATATGAGGATTGGAATGGATCACCCTGTATACTGAATATTTACCGTTCAATGCCAAATTAATACTAAGACTTGATAAATTTAGCTGTGACTTTCTTACTGATTATTACAAAATAATTTTAAATCGATTGGTTTATGTGATTTTAATTTGTTTATAATTTTAAAACCTATATATTTGCCCACGTATTCGTGTAGATTTTTTTTAAAAATATCCCAGGTTATTTAATTATAGCTAACTGACCGTATTTGTCGGGTTTCGCTTTTTATTTCCTTTAATCTTGCCGCTTAATTAACTTTTAATGATGGCACTTTGTCGATTTCATTAACTGTACATTTTGAAAACTGCAAGTTAATGCTACATGGTCATACATTTTTTGTTGTTATTGCTATTGCATTGAAAATTGTATTTTCTATTCATATGAAGACTAAAATAGATTTGTATTTATACAAAGTGTTTCTTAAATAGTGGTAAATTAATCATGACTTGTTCAGTAGTTTTTTAAAAATTATAATATTGGTTTTACTTTTGAACGGAAGGTGTTTTCTTTAAACGTTTTTTTTTTCAATCATGTTATTGTGGCTGGTGAGCGACAATTAGGAATATAGGCCATGTAAGAAGTGGCAACGTTGCGGGCTCTTAGTACAAGGTCAAAAAATATTCTGAGAGAATTTTAGATGAACCTGCAGCCCTAAAAAGTTTCTTAAAATATATGTATATTAAAAATTTACTGAGATAGGGATGATTAATTAATAGTTTTTCGGTATTCATAGATTTTTTATCGGAATAGATGTAAAATATATTACAGGGTGCTGACAAAATATGACAAAATAATAATAGAAATAAAAAATTGTAAATGTAATATTATTAATTGAATTTTTTTTGTTTGTTACTTTTTTCTAACGCATTTAGACATTCCTATTCTTTTAATTATGTATTCAATATTAAATTCTTCAGCTGAAATGTGGTCAAGGGCACGTATTAATGATTCTTGAAAGAAAATGTCAAGCTGCCAGATAGTTTAGTAATAACTACACTTTGAATTAATGTTTATATTTTATATACAGTTATTCCATATTTTTTAATATCGTTTTATAAAGGAATGCGATTTGATTGAAAAAATACCGTGTTTTAACACATTCATTTCTTACAACAATTAACATTCCGTAGACTTTCGCAATTCACTGAACCCATTGTAAGATTTTTTATTCGCTCATTAATTATGAAATTGTTTTAACTATTTTTTGTAACGATTCGTTGTTAATTTTTCGATTTTTTAAAGAAATCAAGGTATATACCGAGTGTTAAAAAAACTGTTAAAATAGGGTTTAAAGAAAATATTCTTTCATTGAAAATATTTATTTTAGCAGGATTTTGATGGCCAACGTATTTTTTCATAAGAAATATTGTCCAAATGACTAATCCACCCCGCCTATAAGGAAATGCTAATAATAACTTATTTGTTTTCTTTACGGTAGCTGAAGGTTATTCACTCGTGAACAGGAATGACTCCCGTCATTAATTTTTCAAATGATTTAATTTGACTCTCTAAATGCTAATAAACTGTGACAGACGGCAAACCTCAAAAAAGCGAATGCTAGTATAGATTTTTATGGCTGCAGTATAAAAAAGACAAATTGCTTCATGTAATTGATTTATGCGCCTCAAAATATATACAGTGTGTTTCATAATAAGTGCAGATATTTTAATTGATTGAAATTATTATTTTTTAGAAAACTTTTTAGAGCCTGCAGGTTCTTCTCATATTTTCTCATCATATTTTACTTTGTGTTGAAAAATAAAACCAAAAATAGGATTTTTGATTAAATCAAAGGAATATTATAATAAATTTACAATAAAAAATACAAGCTGTAAGCAAATAATAATAATAGTACATAGAGTGTCGTTTTATATTCAATGTAGTTTACTTTCTATATAATTCTAACAAGTTTCTTGGTTGAAACAGGTGTAAATCTGAATAATATGTACATTCAGGTATTTTACATTAAAAACAAAACAGCAGGAATGTCGACGCTCGTACGAAAGTACCAAAGATAATATTTGTTCACATTCTAAAGTCGGGTAATACAAGCGGCGTAACACACATTCTGAATCGGTTTGAAAGAAAGCTAGCTAGCTGGCTGCCTGTTACACACAACTAGCACTCAACCTCGCTCTACAGAAAACAATTCTCAATTATATAACCACTGTTTAACTCTTTATTACTTAAATTGTGTAATTTTCTGTAAATCAAACAAAGTCCGAAATAGTTCGAATATATTATTTTTATTGTGATTGGATAGATACATTTTGACAGCTAACAGATCATACTATAATGTATTTGTCAAAAAACTTTTGAATGCCACTGGTTTAGCCATAGAATTGTAATAAAAATCAGTAGTTTTGTTACAGGGTGCTCCAAAAATACGCAATTTTCATTAAAAAAATATGGAAAAAGTTGCTATTTGCTATGAATGTAGGTCTCGAAATGCATAGTTTTATACAGGGTGTTTCAAAAAACGTGTACCACCTCTGGTGGGGAGATTCCTCATAAAAATACGATTTATTTTTCGTATCAACATAGGTCCGATTCTGCTTTGTTTCGTAGCTACAGGGTGTAAGTTTTAAATAAGTACTCATTGATCCTCATCAAAAAATATGAAAAAAAGTTCTTATAAACATGGGTATGGAAATGCATAGTTTTACAGGGTGTTAAAACTTTTAAAAATTAGTTTTTTTGTAATTATCTTAAATACCATTATTTTTTTATTTGAAATTGCTGTATATTGGACTAATAGTAATAATAACTAATAGTGTAATAATATTTAATAATAAATTAGGTAAAATATATAATTTATTAATTTTATTTTTAACATGTGGTATTTAATAATGCGGAGTTATTGACAAACTTCTTAAAACATTCTTAATTACAATTTGAATTATTGCTCAAGACATTCTTATTAGATGTTGAATGTTCTGAATCACCGTATATGCATATACGTTCTTGGCTATCTGTATATCTAAGCATTTTCTTGCGTCACTGGGTTTGTCGTTACAACAGAACCACAGATGTTCAAAATAATAGATAGAATATTCCCAACATTTCTCTTTGCAACCAATTATAATAGGCCCTCTATTTTACTTATTTCTCCAAGCTTATAACTAACAATGGAACGGACGTTTAATACTAATAATAATTCATTACATTCAACAATATGCCGTTAGTCACAGTTATTGTATTCGTCGCAGACACAAGAGACAAACAAATAAGTACGCTTTCGAAACATTTTCCTGACCTTTTCAAACTCCCAACCCCGCGATGTAATCGTACTAATAAATACAAAAGGTACCACTAGATAGTACCCGGTACGCCACTGCATAATGTCACGGCTCTCTTACACAATGGTTCTTTGTTGGATGTGACGTCGCGATCAAAAATTTAAAGAGAAAAATAGGCAGTACCTCTTTCGTATTGTTTTGCGTATGTAAATTTTCTCAGATTTCGATATGTCTCTTGCTAGGTATACTCGTACTGCCAGAAGAGGAGGACATGGACATTTTAAAAAATAGATAGACGCATTAGGAAATAAAGTGTCAGACAAAAAATATTTTAGAAAAGAAGTCTAGTTTATTTTTTTTTAAAGGATTAATCGCCCGGTATATATGAGAATGAATAACTTTCAAACGATGCCTACTTAGAACCACTTATTTACCAGAAGCTAGTAAAATTAATCAAACAGAGTGGAGCTTAATAGATAAGTTTATGGCATGGGAGTGTACGCGTAATTTTCAATCATCAGATAAGAGATTTCTTACAAATACTGCTTACTTTTATAACGTATTAACATGTAAACATTTTTCAAATTAAAATCTTTTAAAAATTTAATTTTACAAGAAAAAAACTTTTTTACATATTTTATTTTTCAGTGCAAAATTTAGATTTAAGTAGAGATGTATGGACATATCGATATTTTTACATCGATAGTTAAATATATCGATAATTTTGCACATCCCTAATTTCAATTAATCGCCATCATCCTCGTATAAAACATAAACGAAGGTACGTACAGTACGCCCAAGTTAATGCAAAATTACTGCGAATCATCACTGAACCGAGTGACTCATACACATATACGTTTTAAATCCTAAAAATAAAATTTATCAACCAAGCCAAGGCCTTGCTAAACAGAAAATTAAACTTTTTTTTATTACACCTTCGGGCTGTTTGTGTATCGAATATCGCACATTTTTATTGTTATCAAATTGTTTAAGGTGTGTAAACAATGTTTGCGAAAAAATGTAAACAGAAGCCGTGTTGTTCAAGGCGACAAACATATTATATCTGGGTGATTCTGGTCAAAGTGTTAATTTTTTTATATTTTTTAATTGTCTGTGTAAAACGGCGTCCAGTTGACTTGGAAACGAACAATCGATGACATTTTCCATATAATTTTACATATAAAATGGCAGCGATCTTTATTTCATAGCTATCGCTAACGCCGTTTTTTTTTTCTTGATCATATAATATTGTATTAGGACAAGACCGAAAATGTTACAGTTAGAAACGAATCGCCCCGTATGGTGTTACGCGTCACAGATAAACAATTTTTAAAATACGTAGAAATAATTACTCATTACAAGCGATCAAATAAAAACAATACATAAAAATTACATTGTATTCGATTGGAGTAATACTAGTTGAATACAATCAGAATTTTTCCTTTATTCAAATTCAAAAACAGATAAAAATAACATTATTCCAGGCATATGTGAGTACCGTAACCCGATATAACAAAATGCCGACAGATATCTTGTTTGTAGGTACGATTCGTGTACCGTGAAATAATACTGAATTATTTATTTATTTAAATTATAACGATTGAATTATGTTATGAATTTTATTAACATGTTTTCATAAATTTCCATATCAAATATTTCAAAAATATACTATTTTAATGTTATTTTTGGAACTAAATTTTTTTTAATATTACCATATATGACATAAGGTATTTAATTCTATACAGGGTGGCCACATTATACAACATTACCTAGTTTTAACCATATACATACATCTTATTAACTACTCCAAGAGCAACAAAATGTTATCGATATTTATTTTATTTTGTTAACACAGTTCTCGGTCGTACCCGTTTCGTTTTTCTTTTCTATCTCGAAGGAGAACCGCTCAGGTTCTGTATGCTCCAATAAACTTTAATAGATTGGCCCGCAGATGAAAGTTCGTATATATTAGTAACGCTTTTTTTCCTTATTTTCCTCCGCAATAACAGCCAGCTAAGTACTACTCCGTGTTCGGTTACGAATTAGGCGTTAAATAAAACGGGTACTATTAATAATTTATCGATTTTCAGGTCGTACCACGGAGTGCCTTTCTAAATCATTTTTATATCAATATGCTGTTGTTCTTTCTTATTTTTTATCATAGATTAAGACTGTATTTTCTAAAAATAAAAAAAAAACGACGTTAACGTGGCCTTTGAAATAAAAATCAAGGATAATTTCTGTTTGGGCGATCTTCGTCATGGATATACAGTGCGATTCATATATATTTTACACTAAAGTTGTAGTAATTTAGATGCAATACTTTATATGTTTTTAAGAATAGTGTAGAGGCTAACAGGTATACTGTAGCAGTACCTAAAGCTTATACGGAAATTCTTCTGTCGTATGGAATGGTTCCAACGGTACTAGCCCCGAGGCACGGTACTACTTAATCGACCCGCGAGCGAGTGTTGCGTGTTAAACAATCCGTGTTTTAAAAACCACGAATTTTTCCGATAGTATTCTAATCGCGTATCATTCGCCCAGGTCGCCGTTTGAATAAATTGCCTTATTAATTAATTTGAACGCTCCGTTACTTTGACATTCCTCCATATTTTGCTTCGATCATTATTGTATAATGTTATAATAAATGAAGAAAAAGATTTAACTATCTTTCTGTCTTTGATTATGCTTTCTTATATGGGACACAGTGTTGAAAAAAAATATTTTCCTTATTAATTTAAAAAATCTATTGCTCCTAACGTAGATCTCTACATCTGTTTTTTTAATTAATAAACCACATCTAACTCTGTTATCTCCCGTTTTACAGATAAACCTTTTATTAATCAAACACAAAAATTATTATCATCATGCTGCGATAACGTCGTTCTAACAATTACCTAGGAAGGTACGTAAAATATTCTTAGTACCCGACAACAACGGATAGTTGAAAGTGAAAGTACGCGCACCATGAAGACCGCAAAGTACCACCGCACAAACCATCGGCGTACCTAGTGCTTTCTTCTCCCCCCAAAATTAATAATCTTTTAAAAATACGACCAAAATGTGGAGTTCGGGTGGTCAGACTAAAGGGGGCGCCATAACGCGTCATCCCTCCACTTTGGAACCGCTGAATCTGGGTGTCAGTGGGGTCGGTGGTGGGTTTCTCGGGGGGAACAAAAAGTGGACTAATAGGCCTGCCTCGTGGGCCGCTCCGGCAAACGTCAACATTTTTCCTCCTCAGGATAGAAATAATGGACATAATGTGCAGTCGCTGAATGGACGGAGCGGGAACAACAGGGGGTTCGCTTCTGTAAGTTTTTAGTTTTGATAGCTCATTGTTTTTGGTTCAAATAAATAGTGTTGTGATTCTTTAAGCTTAAAAATGTTTACTGATAGGCCTTGCAGTCGAACAATGTTCTTTTTAGAACCTCTTTTAGAGCGAACTGTACAAGATAACTTAATAAACGTTGCAAAAAACTCATCGCAAACTTATTTAACTTAATTATTAGAATATTTTTAACGGAAAAGCGGTAGTAATTGCCCTTTATGTCCCTTAAGTGCTGTTAAGAATGTGATTTTTGTTGATGTAAATAATAGTTGCTTTTGACTAAAAGCTTATTTGGTATGAATTTTACCTTTTTTGTGGATTCATTTCTTGAAAAGAGTGAGGAAAAACGTTTATGTCTAAATGAGGCTTAAAACGATTTGAATCACTTTGAAAACAACAACTGTTTATTACGTTTTTACAACGTGTATTCAGTAAACTAATTCAAGGTGTGTACACAAAGATTAACTGAGGAATCTTTATAGAGAAAACTGAAAAATTAAGATGCTAAAATGTAGACTAGGTATGACACATCGTAAAAATGTTTTTAAGACACACCTAAGAAAAATGTAAAATTATTTTGGATTTTAAGATTTTTTGTTAATATCCAATAATTAATAATAATAAATTAATTATTCTTACGAAATATCAGGAATTAATTTTATTTAAAAAAGTTCTCTGCAAAAATTCGATATCATTATTAAATATTTCGATATATTAAAAAAACTATTGATATTTTGAATTATCGATACTTCACATACATCCTTACAATGGACCTATATAGGGTGAACCACTCTTTTGAATCAGAAAGCGGAGTGCTGTTTAATTTACTCATTCAGTTGCTTTTGTCAAAAAATTTGCATTGCCATAATAATATATCATATTGCAATAATCGATGGAATGGTTTTAGAAATATGGCCATCTTTATACTAATATTTCTGCATACTTAAAGCTCTCTCAGTATGGAAAAATAGCAGTTTTTATAAAATTGAAATACGCATTCATGTTCTAAAATACCCTTCATTGCACGGTACATACAGGATGAACTAAAACTAGTAGTCTGCATATTTTCAAAAAAGATTGGAGTAAAAATCTCAATTAGAAAACACGATATAGAGTTTTTTAGCAATACAAAATCACCCGGTATATTACCTAAACATAATTCCCCTATCTGCTATTGTTATTAAAGACAATTATGCGGATCCGCGAATTTTATTACTTCAGTTATCGGTCTGTGATTGATTGCCTTATATGGATAACGGAATGGATCGGTTCGAATTAATGCATTGTCTTCATCATTCGCAGGGTAATGTAATGAGCAACAGTTGGCTATATTATTATTATCTAGTTAGTTATCTAATCTCGACTTGTCTCCATAGCATCATGTTTATTTTCGTATACCGTTACGATTTTATGTTCTTAAATGACAAAATGTACATTACTAGTGTTGTTTCATTATTCTACAAATTTAAAAATAAATACATTAAAATACAATAGACAACTTATCTGTTGTAACGTCAAACAATACAATTTTTTTGTATGTCGTAATAATAAAATAACTCATAAGTGTTCAAAATTAATTTTAGATTTTAATATGGTTGTTGCGAATGATTAAAAACGGTATATTTTGAGATGAATTTTCTGTATTTGACGTGTTGAAGTAGAAGTAGGCTTTATTAAGGCGAATATATTATTTTTTTCTTAACGTATATCTTAAATTTCGATTTCCAATATCATGAAGCGATTTTACCGATGATAATTCAAAATCATGTTTTTGTCAATATTACACATTTTTTATATTTTATCTTAAGAACTATTAGAGATAGATATAGGGAAAATGTAATAGAAAAATTTTGAGAAATAAAAGTAGTTTTCGAAAATGTAATAATATACCATGTCTTCCTTTTAAAATAACCAAAATACTACTATTGAAAAGAAACTGCAACACGTAATACTTTTTTTAAATTTAGATCAATGGGGCTTCGTAAAAATCTAGATTTTTTAAAAATGCTATTACTCTCTATAAACATCTCACCCTGTATATGACAGATTATAGAGATTATTATTATTAAAGTTGTAATATAAAGACGATGTAAATAGAGTTAGGGGTCCTATTCTTTTGAACTTGAAGAAATGTTTTTACATAAATCTCTGAACAAACTCGGTTATGGCTAATGATACCTGGAAATTAGTTATATTTTCTAATATTCATTGAATCTAGATTTTTTTTCCTGTTGTTACAGAAGGTCGATCCCGAGTTGATATTTACGAAACAAGAACGAATAGGCAAAGGCTCGTTTGGTGAAGTTTTCAAGGGAATAGACAACAGGTCAACGCAGGTAGTTGCCATCAAAATCATAGATTTAGAGGAAGCCGAAGATGAAATCGAGGACATCCAGCAGGAAATCATGGTGCTGTCACAGTGTGACAGTCCGTTCGTCACCAAATACTACGGATCCTATCTCAAGGTAACCTAAATTCACTAGATTAAACAGGGGTGTAACAAAAAATAGTACAGATAAAAATAAAACAAACAGTTCTGAAAGGGTTCTTGGTTCTTCCCAATATCTCTCAAATTCAATTTTCTATGAAATAAATTGTATCCTCGTTTCTGATACTAAAATATACGATATTATTATTTACATACTATTTGACTATACGTTTTCCGATAAGCATGAAAACCAAAACGCGCATTCGAGTTCGCAATGTAAAAGTTTATTATTTAGTAGAAAGTTGTTTATTAATTAACCTATATGCATTTATATCGAATATCAATTATTGCTGCCGATAATAACTAGACTTTTAACGACAGTCTTACTTGCTTTACTGCCTACATTCGTGCGTGCTTTTTATATTTATTTACACTTACACACACTTGTCAATATGTAGGTAGTAGCAAAATGTTATGAAAGTGTTTTATTAATATTACTCTTATATGTTCATATTTGGTGATAAACTAAATAGGCTAACCTTACTGTTCAAAACGAAGGTAGCCAAGATATACAAACTAGATGTAAACAGAAAATGCTAGGTTGCCACTTGTTTATCAAAAAAAAATATATTAATTGTAATATCTTTGTAATTCGACAGGGTACGAAATTATGGATCATTATGGAGTACCTTGGAGGTGGTTCAGCTTTGGACCTGATGAAAGCCGGAAATTTCGAGGAAATGCACATTGCCATCATCCTCAGGGAGGTTCTCAAGGGTTTAGACTACCTCCATAGTGAAAGAAAGCTTCATAGGGACATTAAGGCAGCTAACGTCCTGTTGAGCGAAATGGGAGACGTCAAATTAGCCGATTTTGGTGTGGCTGGACAGCTAACAAACACGACCAGCAAAAGAAACACGTTTGTAGGTCAGTTAACATCAAAATACAAAAAAAAAAATTTAAATTAATTAAAAATGAATTATCCTTGTAGGCACGCCATTTTGGATGGCTCCGGAAGTCATAAAACAATCGGCCTACGATTCCAAAGCGGACATATGGTCGCTGGGAATCACGGCGATCGAGCTGGCCAAAGGGGAACCCCCCAATTCGGAGCTGCACCCGATGAGGGTGCTGTTTCTTATTCCGAAAAATAATCCTCCCCAACTCACGGGCAGTTATACCAAACAGTTTAAAGATTTTGTAGAAGCATGTTTAAATAAAGATCCAGAGAATGTAAGTATATTTTTTTTTGTTACATAATTACTGTTTTATTTGTGGATTTTTTTTATTTTTAGAGACCGACAGCTAAAGAGTTGCTCAAATACCCGTTCATAAGGAAAGCCAAGAAAAATTCGTATTTAATCGACCTGATTGACAGGTATAAGAAGTGGAAATGTACGAGAAACGAGGAAAGTGAGACAGAATCTGAAAATTCCGACTCGTAAGTATCAAATTTTCTTCTTTTTTTATCAAAAATTTCAGTATTTGGTAATATAATATTCCTATGAAATTTATTACAGTTTAAATATATTTATTTTGCAAAAATAATGGTGAATTTGGCCTAGTGCCGCCAAATCGTGATTTATGTTGATTACAGACTACTAATAAAAAGAAGTGTCTAGGTGTTTTATGATCAAACATTAATTTATTGTATTTTTAAAAATATGTGTTTTTTTAGTAGATTATTTGTAACGAATAAATGTTTTGTTGTTAATAGGGAAGATCCTAAGCTAGACAGCGACATTGAATCGACCGACTGGGTGATGACAGTCAAGGGAAACATGAAAGTACAATCGGAAGAAATAACGGCCTCGAATCAGAAGAACATCAACTATCAGAACGGTTCGAGTTCGGCCATATCTCGATCTCCACCGACGGATTCCAATCTGAATCACTACAGATCGGACAAAAATATCCCAGTACGTGTAAATCAGCTTCTAAAAGACATTTTTGATGAATTTTTTATTTAATTTTTAGCCTGTAACGCAAACGCCCGTGACCGATAATAGAAAAGAAAGGATCGATAGGGACCATCACCATCGCACCGACAGAGACAGGGACAAAGATTGGGAAAAAAGAAGTTCGATTACTCAGGGACCTGCCAGGGATTCCAGTCCTTTGGATCATCGGGGGGATCCCAGTCTGCAAGACTCTAAAGGTAAATTTATTGAATTACCTTGATTCGAAATATATGTGTGAATAAAAAAATACATTACTGAGAGTTGTTTTTTTTTGCAGAAAATAAGAAAGCCAATCGCAGATCGACCTCTGGTGGAAAGAGCGATAGCAGGACGTCGGTGACTAGTTTCGTATACCCGTTGATAATGGATTTGGAAAGAAAACACCACTACAATGGTAAATTTATGCTACAAAAAAATTATAACCTTAGATAAACCTTCTTTTTAAAGAAAAAAAAAATCTTTTAATGTTAATACTATAGAATAAAGATCAGGGAGCTTTATACAGTGGTAATTTATTGATATTTCGTCAATTTGTAGGGCGAAACGGTGATGGCTTTCACAAATAATATGCGGTAGTTCAAATGTCCCAAAAACGAACTTTGTTTATTTTTTTATTAAAACTTTTTTAATGACAAAAAGCAATTTTTAATATTAATATGACAAAATAAAGCACAGTGATCCTTATACAGTGGTAATTTACTGATATTTCTTCAATATACAGTAAAACACAGTGATAATTTCGACAAATAATATGTGGTAGTTCAAATGTCCTAAGCACGAACTTTGTATCTTTTTTTATTAAAACTTTTTTTAATGACAAAAACAGTTTTTAATAGTAATATCACATAATAAAGTACAGGGATTCTTATGCAGTGGTAATTTACTGATATTTCTTCAATTTGCAGGAAAAAACAGTGACAGTTTTCACAAATAATATGTAGTAGTTCAAATGTCTCATAGACGAAATTTGTTACTTTTTGATTTAAACACCTTCCTTTAAAGAAAAAAAAATATTTTTAATTACAATACCAGATAATAAAGATTAGAGGTACTTATACAGTGGTAATACTGACTTTTGTTCAATTTACAGAGCAAAACACTGATGATTTCCCAAATAATATGTAAAAAAAATAAATAATAATGTCCCAATGACAAACTTTAGTACTTTTTTTATTAAACCTTTCTTCAAAGGAAAACATAGTTTTTAATTGTAATACCACAGAATAAAGATCAGAGATCCTTATACAGTGGTAATACTGACTTTTGGTCAATTTAGAGAGCAAAACACTGATGGTTTTCTTAAATAATATGATACTCGTTCGTCCCAAAGACGAACTTTAATACTTTTTTATTCAATTGTTCTTCAAAGGAAAAATAGTTTTTAATTGTAATACCACAGAATAAAGATCAAATATCCATATACAGTGGTAATACTGATTTTTCGTCAATTTGCAGGACTTTGCAGTGATGATTTCCACATATAAAATGTGGTAGTTCAAATGTCCCAAACTCATCTTCATATTTCTTTTTGATTTAAACGTTATTTTAGTGAAAAAAAAGTAATTTTTGAGTGTAATACCACAGTATAAAGATATATATGATCTTTAAACAGTGGTAATACCGACATTTTTCCTCGATTTTCAGGCCGAAACAGCGACGGTTCCCACAAATCTAGCGACGCCCTGGACGAACTGAAGAACGCGTTCGAAATAGCGGAAAGAACGAGTCCGGGCATCAGCGAAAAGTTCGTTTCCGAGTTGGTGCAGAAACTAGTGCCATCTATATCCGATCAGAGGCTGAAAGGCGTCCTCGATAGATTAAGGTAACTGTCAGAACAGTTGCCTAAAACCGACGCTGTTTAATTTTACATATTTCTTTTTTTTTTGCAGAAACGCGATGTAAAATTCTTAGCTGGAAAAACCACACAGGATCTAACACTTTCCGAACTTTTTTCAAACATGACAATATCTTCATGTCCAATTTAAAATACATATATGTTTAAGCACTGTACAGAAAAAAAACTATGAGAATATTTAAAATAAAAACGAGTTGACATTTGCCATCCGAAACTAAAATATATTTTGACTATTTTAAGTTTAAACGAGATAAAACAATCTTTCGGAAGTATTATTCACACTAAAACACATCTATTAACGCGCTAGAATATGGAAATATTAATATATTTTGTAAATTTGATTTGATTTAGGATATATATTGCCAAGTCCACGTCGAGATGATTTTTTTTTGTAAATATTGTATATTTTAATAAAACTATACTGTAAGAATATATTTCTTCACTTATATATTTTTAGGAGGTCGAGATGTTACGAGTTTCTCGAGTTTCTTCATTTTTAATGCGTTTTTATACATTTTTTTAAAAGGATCCAGAGAAATAAGTAAATATAGAGGCGTATACAAACAACTCTATATTTACTTATTTTTCTGAGTAATTAATTTTCAAGTTTCTTCTTTTCAAGTCTATTTTTTTCCATTAAATTTGAAGAACTCATAGATATTGAAAATGTGGTTTAGACATTTTTAAACGTACAAAAAATCTAACAAAGGAACTTACACTTTTATTTTTTTAAATATTATTACTAATACTAGAGAATTACCACAGAGTACGTGTTTGTTACGTTGAATTTATCGCGTGTTAAAAAAACGCCGTCGCGGTAGCTACTTGCTTGTCATTTTTATTCAACCATACTAATTATACTGTGCCATGGTATTGTAATTTTTTTAGAAGTTGAGATTTTATGTATATTTTAAAAAAATGTAATAAACCACAAATGTAACAAAACATCAACGGTGTAAAAACAGATAATGTGTATGAAAGAAAAATAATGTGCCAGGTGATGGTAAAGTATTATTTTAAAAACAAATATTGAGTTGGGTACATTTTATGAAAATTTAAACTCTAAGAAAAGATAAGGAAATAAGTGTTTTTGGTAAAAACACTGACTGTAAGCTGTTGAAATGTTTAATATTCTGCCCATAAATGTGGAATCGTGTTTAAATACTTGTAAATAAAATGAGAAAATTGCATAGAATAACCGCAGCATTCAGAACGTTTAGTTTTGTACTGTATGGTAAAGAAAATAATGTTATAACGTTTTGATTTGAGCATGCTAAAGACTGAAAATATACAGGGCGATTTCTTAAAATGATGCAAATGTTTAGTTAGACCTCAACCTAATCTATTTTGAGCTTATTGGATGAATGGATATTAAAAAAATAAATCGAGATCTACTATCAACAAATATTTACACTTATTTAAGAAACGCCCTATATATAATCATAAAAATGTACCCTAACGTTATACAAAACTAAAGTAAAAATGTGTTATGTTTATATTTCTTCGAAAGAAAGTCAGAATTAAAAAGAAAATATGATTAATAATACATGTCAATATAGGTGTGATAAAAACTTGACTGTAAAAATGAATAATTATATAGAAATATGATAATAGATAACAATGTTATTTAATTACAATAATTAACACTAAAGTATGTCGGTTAATGTTTTTAAATATCTCTTACAACATTAACTTAATATTTAGGTACCTATCAAAAGCACTAACTCTCTCAAAAGAAAAAGTGTTCTTCGTGTAAACTCCTCATCTTCAGACAGTATATTTCTATAGACGAAAAAAGTTAGAAGTAGTTTTTTATTTTCTAAAAAAACCTTTTGCATCTATCTACTTTACTCTATAGAAATAAAATCATTATCTAAATCTGTTATAAATATTTAGATAATGAATCAGAATCATTATCTATATTACTGTAAATCTTTTAGAGTAACTGTGATAACGGTGAACAATATAATATAAAATTTTCTAATTAAAAGTTAAACAGCATAGTCAGTGGTGTACTCAAAGGGATATTTTTTATTCTTTGAGTTAGATAAAAATATGTTGACTACACCACTGCGTTTAGTGTTGTGGCACTAATATGAACTAGAGAACGTAATGTTTCTTTGAAATAACGTAGAGTGTTCTATTAACGTTCAGTTTCAAGTTAGTGTGTTACTGTTTTACTACCAAATTATTTTACAGGCAGTTCGAGATCTGCTATCCTTGTACAAAAGACTAGTATATATTAATAAATAAAATCATTCAACAAATACCTCTGTGTTTTATTTATTACTGTTTAGAAAATCAATTTTAAATACACTTTTATTGGTTGCTTTCAGTTAGAGGCAATCTCTAAAGATGCAATAGTATGCTTTGATGTATGTTTGGTTGCCTAACTTTTCTCTCAAAAGAAAATTTTTATTTCAAATTCTACAACAAAACAGGATTTTGAGAAAGAACAATCCAAATCTCTGATATTTCTTTTTTGAATGAAAGTTGCAGCATAATTTTAAACCCCCCTAAATATCTGCGAATCCTGCCAGGAACACATAAGTGTGAAGATATAATTTTTATCTCCTTGCCCTTTATGTGCTCCTGATACAAATCCCTGATATTTCGTCTTTTAATAAAAGTTGCAGGATAATTTATAAACCCCCCTAAATATCAGCGAATCCTACCAGGAACGCATAAGTGTGAAGAGATAATTTTACCTCCTTGCTCTTTATGTACTCTTAATAGAAATCCCTGATATTTCATCTTTTCATAAAAGTTGCAGAAATTTTTTTAAACCCGTCTAAATATCAGTGATTTCTACCAGGAACACATAAGTGTTCAGAGATAGTTTTTACCTCCTTGCTCTTTATGTGCTCCTGATGCAAATTCCTGATATTTCGTCTTTTAATAAAAGTTGCAGGATAATTTATAAACCCCCCTAAATATCAGCGAATCCTACCAGGAACACATAAGTGTGAAGAGATAATTTTTACCTCCTTGCTCTTTATGTACTCCTAAAACAAATCCCTGATATTTCGTCTTTTCATAAAAGTTGCAGAAATTTTTTTAAACCCGTCTAAATATCAGCGAATCCTACCAGGAACACATAAGTGTGAAGAGATAATTTTTACCTCCTTGCTCTTTATGTGCTCCTGATGCAAATTCCTGATATTTCGTCTTTTAATAAAAGTTGCAGGATAATTTATAAACCCCCCTAAATATCAGCGAATCCTACCAGGAACACATAAGTGTGAAGAGATAATTTTTACCTCCTTGCTCTTTATGTGCTCCTGATGCAAATCCCTGATATTTCGTCTTTTAATAAAAGTTGCAGGATAATTTATAAACCCCCCTAAATATCAGCGAATCCTACCAGGAACACATAAGTGTGAAGAGATAATTTTACCTCCTTGCTCTTTATGTACTCCTAATACAAATCCCTGATATTTCGTCTTTTATTAAAACCTGCACGAAACATTTTAAATCTGGTCAAAAATCACTGATTTCTATCAGGAACACATCAGAGTGAAGAGGTAAGACGTACTCTGAGAAAACAAAATGTCCGATATACATTAAAAAAAAACAACAATTCAACAAATATATAATGTGTTTTATTGATCGAAATTTACATGCAAAACCATACAAAAACACTACTTATCATCTAAATAAAATTTAACTTTCTCTATATACAAATATTTTTTTTTATTATTATATCTGTGAAAGGTCGGTAATCGACTCTTGCTTCACTTGCATTTCCTGTATTTGTGGCTGCTGACTGATGAAATTCTGTTTGATTATATTCGCTTGCGTTTGCAGCGCCGCACTTTGCGAAGGGAAACCGCCCTGATTTGACACCACCACCAGTTTTGGTTGGGTAGCGATCTGCTTGGTTTGCTGCATGGACGGACTTGACACCAACTTGACAACCTAAAAAAAAATCATTGAGATTTTTGTATGAAAAAATGGTAGAATATGGTGACTTACATTGGTGGGAGTATGAACCACTGATGTGTTTGGTTGACTTCTTTGCTGCATCAGTATAACTTTTTGTTGCGGGCTTTGCTGAACTATTCTTTGTGGCTGTGTCATTATGATGGTCCTATTAGGCGTACTACCCTGAAAAAAATCATTTTTTTCGTAATTCAAACTGTTTGGTCAGATATACAGGGTCGTTCGAACAGTATTCCGAAAACTTCGGCAGCATATTCTGCAGATAAAAATAAGTGAAAAAGTTCGTATAAATGTATGTCCTAAAGTGCTAGTTATTTATGAATCTACTGTCGTAGTTTCCGGAATACAGTTCGGACCACCCTGTATACAGCATGTCCCCGGGTTGTCTTTACAAGAGGAAAAACTTTTTTTATTATTGACATTTTGAGAAAAACGCATTCTTTACAAAAATGTTTGCTTGTTCTAAAACTGTCTATATCTCTGAGTTTTTGGTACTCATTTTCGAAACACCATACCTGCTGAATTATCCCGACGCTTCTGGAGATCGTCTGACCCACCGACGTTATCGACGTGGTTGACAGAGTGGACGGCAACGTTGTCGTTACGGTGGCGGGCTGCGTCCTGGCCTTGCCCACGGCATTGTGTAATGCCACGCCCAAATACCCGTAGTCCAGTTTGTATTCGTCGATATTGTCGGGAGGATTGCGGATAGTTTTGATGATGGGAGCGGTTATTTTCGTTATCAATTGTTTGATGTGGCCGGATGCGATCTTGTCCGAATTCGACACCAAATTTCCTTCCAGGTGTGTCTCAATTCGGGCACCTAAAAAAATTAAATACTTTACTACAGGGCGAGGGAAACAATTTGGAGGTTCGCTATAAGTCATTGCAACAAGTTTAGTATAGTCTGTCCAAAGAGTGAGGGAAGATTTAGACAGACGACATCTGAAACATGACAGAAAATATTTTTTGCCTGTGAATTTAAATGACAGACACATTTGCCACTGTCAGGGATCCTCCTGTTGGACAGACTATATCTTAAAAATCTCAAACATATTCAAATTTTTCGTATTTTTGCAGTCTCTGTATATTTATGAAACTTGGTCTATGAGAGATCTATGAGATGTAAAAATTTTGCAACAAGAGATTTTTCATATGAAAAAAAATCCCACATACTCAATAATTAAAAAAATGTAAAATTCGCTCCACATAAATTTAAAATTCTCTGAAAGAAAGAAAAAAATTATACAAGGTCGTCCAGACTGTATTCCAGAAACTTCGCCAATTATAAATTTGGGAACTTTTTATTATTTAAATTAGTCATGAATTTTTCTTCGAAAAAATGATGATAAAATAGTTTCTGTTGAACTTTTGACACAAAATCATTTAAAATTTATGATTTCAGTCTATTAACTATTTAGTTTACATGTTTAATTTATGTCAATGATGACAGGTATTGATAATTTCGATTCCAAATATCTCGAGAAACATTACTCGTAGCGATTTTTACCAAGAGACCTTTTTTTACGTAAAAAACGTCGTAAATCTACATTTTTTTACTCAGTAGTTTTATACAGGTACGGACGAAAAATTATTGCTCTTCAAGCCAATTAAAAAAGAGCCCACTACAAATATGAGTGATACTGACATCAAAATCATATTTCTCATATCAAAAAACTCCCAGACACCACCCTGTATATTTCGGACCACCCTGTATATTTGAATTTTTAAAGAAAAACTACTCTAATCAAGATATGGTTTTTTCTATTTTTTTTATAACACTAAATAAAACAAAGTTCTGTCTCTGCACAGAAATATTCATATTTTTACAAAGAATACAACCAAAGTTCATTTTTTTGTATTGGTAAATAATTACATGAAAAAAACTATTCCTTACCTATATTTTTGATTTTGGGCAAAATAAAAATTCTTGTTACTTCAGTCCCCAATTCTGACAACCCTTGCAAAGCCCCATACAAAGACGACAATGGAATTTTATCGCATTGGTGCAAAGCGTTCGTAAACATCCTTGTTATCCTGGTCTGAATATTGTTTGTGCTTGTATTAAAGTTTTTACAAATTTGTGACATCAATCTGGATGCAAAATCCCTCAAAGCCCAGTGATTGTCCAGCTCGGGCCTCATACAGAGTTGTTTAGAAACTATGCAAGTGGTCACTGATGGTATTAACTCATGTAACTAGAAATATGTAAAAAAATTAGGTCACCCTGTATATTAACCCATTTATTCCCGGGGATAGAAATATATAAAAAAAAACATTTTTTTTTAAATACTTTTATTATTATACATATAAAAAGACAAATTTCATGTTTTGGAAAATTCCCAATTCATTTTTTAAAAAAAATAATAGTGGTGCGTTGGCGAACCACTGGTATAAAAAACTAAATAAAACTTTTCTAAAAATATTCCTAACTGAAAAACCCTACTAAAGTACACTTAACACATCGGAATTATCTTACATTCTACTTAGAAGTATAAAATAAAACACTAAAACGCTCAAAAACAACTAATTTATCAACTTTTATTTGGTGCATGTATGAACCACTGGTAACAAAGATTATTACTTTTGGTGATACGTAGCAAAGCACGGAACATGCAAATGTACCTTACATTTTTGACATATATACATACTATGATTATGGCAAACTCTACATCTCCTTCGAGCCTTAGTTTCGTGGAAAACAATGGTGTGGCCTTGATTATCAAAGCGAATTTCGTCAATAGATTGTGGAATGTTTCTAATAACTGCAGCAACTCTTGTAGATTTCATTAGACGTAGTGCAACATATGATTTGAAATCGATTTGAGATATTTTACTATTGTTAGCAACATTATAAAGCTTCCAAGCATTCACCATAATACTGTCCAAAGTATTACAGAATAAAGGCCACCACCATTTTTTCCCCAAAATTCTGGTTCTGTAATTGGCTATTCCGTTATCGTGCAAATCCACACCTCCCATATATTTATTATATTGTGTGATTACATTAGGCTGTGGAACAAAAACATCTTTTTTTTCTTTTCTATTATAACGTTTGACTTTATTTATAGGTTGCACATTATGTACGTTACTACAAAGCGTTACGCAAGAGTTATCATTCCAACGTACAACTGAAACTTTCGAATCTTTATCATATGCCATATCAAAAGCGCCGCGTTCTTTTTTCGAAAAACTTTTACTATTTTCTAGAGGGCAATTATTCGTCCTATTTTCTCTGATAGTTCCAGTAGCAAAGTAACCAGTGTTTTTCAGGTGAGAAAATAATCGAAAAGATGAGAAAAAATTGTCGAAAAAAATTTCATGGTTGCTGGGCTTTTGGATAACAGACAACAAACTCATTACAACGTCACCGCTTAGTCCAAGCTCAGAATATATTTTTTTTTGATTCCCAGCATATGGCATTGTATAAAATAAATACCCGTCAGAAGAACATAGGCACCAAAGCTTGAAGCCAAAACGTACCGGCTTGCCTTTGATGAACATTTTACAAGAATGCCTTCCAAAATATGGCACCATTTGTTCATCAATTGATAAATGAAAATTGAAAATTCCCCATTGCAAGTTTTTTCTATTGATTATGTCCACAAAAGGCCTTATTTTGGAGAACTTATCATTTTTGTCTAATTGTTCATTGTCAGACAGATGCAAATTTCGTTTTATACTATAAAACCTGTTTCTACTCATGCAATTTTTCACTATGCCCACACCTTTGTCTTCCTCAGTGGACCAGTACATTGAAGTTTGTGGTAAAGTGTGATATCCGGAAAGATACATTATTCCTATAAAATTTAACAATTCTTCCTTAGAGACTATGAAGTCATGTCTATTATTATCTGCAGCATATTTATGTGAATATCTCAAAACTAAGTCTGTCACTTCTTCGTCAAAAAATAAAAAGAACACTTCTAAAGGTGTCTTACCACCTACAGCTACAGCTACGTTTTCTTTGTCTTGATGTTCAGTTGATATTGGAGAGTGTGTATATTCTATTTCTCCTTTGAGCCACTGCGGTGCAAGAACAGTATTACGGGAAACTGAAGCAGTAATTTTTCGTTTTTTGGTTTCTAAAGTTTCTTCATCAGAAGAGTCCCAATCGTATTGTTTTCGTACATTTTGATCGACATCTACAGAATTGGAAGAGCTAGGGATGTGAAGTTCGAAAGTACCGACAATATCGTTTGGCTTTGCCGTTTCCGCCAATATATTCTCATCATCTATATCTTCTTCATCTGTCAAAGCATCGGTGTCTGGAGGTATATAAACTGCATCCAGTACAACTAATAATAAAAAACAAAATTTTTATTGAATTATAAACTATAGATGTAAGTAAGTGATTTCTTACCATTATTATCATTTTCCAGCTCAAAAACAACACTTTCCAATTCCTCTTCTAATTGTCTTTGCGTCAAAAATCGTTTATAAGGCATCTTAGCTAACTTACATGCATATAACACGAAACACAAACTAATAATAACGCATTTATTCGATTATTATGACTGTGCACACGTTCGTCAAAACTTGTCAAGACCGGCAAAATTCGGCTTCTAGTTTATTTTTATTACCAGCGGTGCGCGAATGCACCACTAATATTTTGGAGAAAAATTAAGGTTTTTATAGAGACTGTGGTAAATCATCCTTTTTATCATAAAAACGGAAGATCATGACAGATTAGTAGTAGTAATAAAAAAATGGAAATAATTATTAAAATGTGGAAATTTTTCAAAATTCCATTATATAGTTTTTGCAGATTTATTTTGTCACATTTTATACGTTTGTATTTTTTATTACCCGAGGAGAAGAAAAGCCTCAATAAGTATTTTTATTAACAAAAATCTATTATCAACGAATGGGTAGAAAAATCTAGGCTCCAAAACAATATTTTAATCGAAATTTGATTTTCATAAGTTGCTGGTGCATTCATGCACCAATGGGATAAAATGGGTTAATAGACGGCGGCGCCTCATGCAGGCTTCAATGGAATATTATAGAATTTTTTATAAACTTACATATTTTTCTAGGTATAGAGACTGGTTGTCCAACAGGGCTTTAACCATTCGCATCAAATAAATGAGCAATGCCAAGTTGTTTTGTACCACGTTCACTCTAACACCTTCAATAATAAACGTGCACATTCTAGGTAACATTTCGTGCAAGCCTGGATCCGATGACAAGCTTTGTAATGCTTCCTAAAATAACACATCATTAAAATAAGTTTTTTTACTTAAATAATTATCATTACCCCTCTCCTAATCTCATCAGATCCCACACAAGCCTCTGTAATTTCTTTATAATAAAGCTGTTGCTCCACTGACAATTCATGAGTAGCCAATTGCTTTATCTGAACAGTTTCAACGTTCTTCAACTTTTGTTTGCCCGTACTTGGTTTGCCTGATGACTCTTTCATTGGTTTTTTATTCACTGGATCAACAGACTCCAACTAAAATTATATAAAGTGTAAACATTAAGATATAATACAGATATTTTTAGGTACCTTTTGAACACTTTTAGCAACAGGAGGTGGATTCTCAGGTATAGTTGGTTGAACCCCATCTATACACAACCAATGTGACCTGAGGGTCGTTTCTAAAGGAGCCTTAGGATTCACATTTGATAACATATCGCCCAGGTCCACTTCTTTCTCTTCGATAAAATGGAGTTCTCTGCCCCCTCCAGATGCAAACCGAAATGGAAGAGGCTCAATTGAGTGAAACCCGTACTGTGGCTAAAAAATTTAACACAAAACTTAACTACAAGCCGGAACAGAATGTACACACACAAAATACCTCTATGTTTCTAACTTTCAGAGCTGAATCCACATCTGTCTGTAGTAATTTCATTCTTTTTGCATGGTTCATAAACTTCGCGGCGTCCTGTATGATATGCTTGAGTCGAAAGGAGATGTCATCGGCCAACTCTTTAGCTGCATCATCTTGTAAATTACCGATTCCTATACTTTCCGCAATAATTTTCATCGATTCTATAGAGAAATTGGTTCCGTACAAATCGCTGTCGTACATTTTAGCCATTTTAAACGTTGCTTTATTGCACCATCAAGAACAAATTAGGTATTCGGTAAAATTAAATGAAAAACTACACTAATGTTATAACATTATTAAATAAATCGCTTAATAAGTCTTGTATTTACTAAATTTCAGAGTTTTATCAAGTAAAAACCCTCAAAAAATAAATTAAAATTAAATTACCCATCAACAGTACGAACAGAATAAAAACATAAACAATTGAACGCTAAATTGACATATGACAGCTGTCATTCTTCTTTTTCTAAATCATGGCTTTTTGCATAATTTTTTTGTTTAACTGTAGGTGAAGAATTGTTATACTGGAGCCATTAAAGTTAAAAAGAAGAAGAATTGCTTTATTGATCTAAGGTAAAAATCTATAAATTTATTCTATGGATCAAAATTTTATTGTGTAGAAGTTGTCAAATGTCGTTTATTTTTCGTATAAATTAAAATTTATCAAAAATTTATTTAATAAGTCTAGTCATTAGTGATTCTTTTAATACTGGTATAAAGTAAAACGTTAGTTATTTATATATTTAAAAAAAACTGTCGAAAGATATTTACATCAAACAGAGTTTACGATGGGTAAATATCAACAATGATTTTTAACTTTTTGTTTTCATTTGTATTTCATTATGTTTTCGTTTTCGCAGCGTTCAAGATGAACTACAGTTTCGAAGGAAACACCAAAACCAGACCGGAACAAAACCTATCTGGTGCCAGTAAGAAATTAACCAGGGATACTTTGCTGCAAAAAACTCAGGAAGAGAGACGCAAAAGACAGGTTTGTACAGAAACTATTGTAGAACAGTCAGTAAGATTATACATTGATCAAATTTGTAGGAACAAAGATTGAAATTGAAAAGTGCAGAATTTTTACAATCACATATACGTAGCTACCTAGTAAGGAAACATATTAAAGAGCAACAAAGAAACGAATATAACCAATTAGCTAATTCTATAAGCATCTACGAGAAGCTCAAAAAATTGCTCTTCTTTTATGACTCTCAAACTGATCCTTTTAAATTAGTAAGTGACCATATTTGCATTATTTCAAGTAATTACAACTTTTTATTGTTTTAGTATACATTAGCTCGAGAAATATTAAGAATAGAAAATGAAATAAATCCAATTTTATCTACAAATACTCAATTATGTTGGACTGTAAAGAGATTTTTAGTTTTGTGCATGAAAAACTTTCAAAACAGGGAAATGACGGAAGTTATGCTCAAGTGTGTCACTGCGTTTTCCGATAATGCTGAAATTATTTTTTATTTAATAAGAAAAGGTATTTTTTAAAGTATAGTTAAATACAGATACTTAATTAAATTATTTTCTAGGATATTACAGCTACTTGAGAATGATTTTTGATATCCGTCTAGAACAATATTTACAAGAAATCATGAGTTTAATATACAGACCTTTTAAGTATCTTAATGACTTAGGACCTTCTCAAGATTTAGTGCTCACCGAATTTTGCAATGACTTCTTAAAACCAACAATAACAAGTAATATTAAGATGTATCTTATACCATATTTAAAAGAGAAATTAGACTCTGTATATTATGATAAACTGATTAGATATTTGAATAGCATTTATTATATCAGTAATGGAAACAGCATATTTTACTGTATACTTGCATTGGAGCCTCTGGATTATGGTGGGTTACATTTAATAATTATTTATACTTAATATTATGGCTGTTTTATATTTTTTAGAGCCAAATTATGATAGTATACAGGTTTTGTCTAAGCTGAGTCGAGGTATGTACAGGCTGAAACCTTCATTGGATTTGACAGAAGACAGTGATTATGACGATGACGATGATGACTGCATTTTAATATCAGACGATGAACTTTTGCTGTCAGAATATTTAAATATTCTGAATAATCCAAACAAAGTCAAAAAATGGTTACATTTGTTTGAATATAATTCAGATGATGACATGATGTTATCAGCTTATATACAGTTTTGCCACAATCTTTTGCTGGTTTATAAGGATTCAATAAGAAAATATTTGTAAGTATCTTAATTATACATTTTTTTTTATTTTTTTTAAATTTGCTTTTTCTAGGTTGTTATATAAACTAGGTTTGAGCAGCATATTTTTGAAGAAAATATGGAGCACTATATCCAAAAAAAGATCCAACGATCTTCAAATTAACTGTCCATCGCTAGTTTCTTGGAAAGACTGTCATACTCAGCTCTCAGTTTTCTGTGATATGTTTACTTTTTATACAGAGACTTTGACAGACAAAGGTTGAATTTAAAGCGTCTTAAATTTGAAATGTGTACTAATATAGTTGATTTTTTTAGAAAACTCTGATACTAGTGAGACTTTTACTCAAGATGATTTACATATGATGTCAAAACTGTTAAAATCCACAGCCATAGATTTGATTGAGATTGCTTTTCCTATGTGCAAGCAGAGTTCGGTAAGTTTCAGTTTGATTTGTCTTAAAATTATTAGAAATAAGTATTTTATAAACTTATTTTTCTTTATAATTAATTAATTTCTTTCTTTAGGTAGCGGTAACACCTGAAATAAGTCATCTGTACCAGTCGTGTCTGAACTGCGTCAAAATGTTGTACACTCTGGACATGAGAAAGCAGTTTTGTCCTCCAGGCTTTTGGATCGCCAAAAAGGTGCCCATATCGTTGTCAGACATTGCTAAAAAGAATTATCTACACAAAACAAGCATACCTTTTGGTGGTATAGTTTCTACCTATGAAGGTATGTTTTTAAATTCCATCATTTCTTTTGTGTCAGAATATGCATAGAACTCATGTGAAACAAGTAATCTTAGAGGGTTTCTAAAATTGTTTTTGATTCAAGCATTACAATATTGTTTACATCTGTCAATATTGCTACCGGTTCTAGAAATCTTTATGGTTACCTAATTCTCTGATATTTTGAATTTTTATGTAAAAAAACTGAGAAAATCGTATAGTAGTTCAAATGTCCCAATATATTTTTACTTTTTTTTCTGATTACAAAATAAGGTAATCACATTATTTTCTGCAATTTTACTACAAAGTAATGGCTAGTTTTGTTAGAACACCTCTATGTTATCTTAGTTTTCCAAATATATTAAAAAACTAATTTCTCTGATTCTTGGAAAAATTACTTTAGTTTGATTTTACTATATCTATCTCTTATCTTTTTAAGTCTTTTTTAAACATTAAAACTACAATATAAAAAATAATGTACAATATATTTTGAATATTTTTCACTAGATGTTACTGTAAAAAAATTCTAAAATTTCATTGTGATACTGTGACATTTTTTTTTTATTTTAATATATGTATATTAGGTATATACTTAATATTTTTTCCTAGATGATACTCAACTGCCTCCATTATCGACCATTGAACAAAGATCTTTAGCAATCTTACAAGAACTACCGTTCTTGGTACCATTTAATACAAGGGTACTGCTGTTAAGGGAACTATGCAGATATAGTTTAGGAGAAAACGAGTATCAGAGAATGCATCACGAGCTTATGAACGACAGTACTGTGGTTATAAGAAGGAACTACCTTTATGAAGATGCCTTCGAGAAAATATCTCAAAAAAGTGGTAAGCTTATACAGGGAAGTGCAAAAAAAATTAAGGGAATATTTTCTTAAACACATTTTTTTGATTTGGACTTTTCTTAAAAAGTTATTTGAAAGATGATCTTCCACACCTACTGGAGAGGTTTTTTTATTCAAATTAAATCCTTTAAAATATATTTGATAAAGGATATGATGTCATTTTTAGAATCTGATCTGAGACACAGGCTCAGAATACAATTTATCAATAATGTGGGTCTGGAAGAGGCTGGTATTGATGGTGGAGGTATATTTAAAGAGTTTATAAATGAGGTCTTGAAGACTGCATTCGATCCAAACAGAGGGTTTTTCCTGATGACTGCAGATAATGCTTTATATCCCAATCCCAATGTGAACCTGATTGTTGAGAATTTTACAGAGCATTACAATTTCATTGGAAGACTAGTAGGAAAGGTATGTATTACTAATAGTAATTACAACGATTCAAATAACAAAAAAATTGCATACATGTAGCCAATTGTCTATAGAATCATGTGAGATGTTATATTAAACTAGCGTGTACCCGCGACTTCGTTCGCGTCGAATTAATCATTTGTAATGGTGATGATAAAGCAAACCAAGAATTTCCATTAACATACAAACTGGATAAAATTTTCTCACATTTATGTCAGCATGAGAAAAAACAATATGGCGATATTATTATATAACTTGGTAATATTTGCTGGGTAGTTTCACCTCGTTGGAATTTGACTTTCGAAAAATCCGTTTGCCAAAAATAAGCTTTTTACGTCAAGCGGTTTAAGCAGAATCGTGGTTAATCAATTACCCAACTTTTTGGAACACCCTGTATGATTTTTTAAAAAATTTCAAAATATGTAAAAAACAAAATAAATTATGCGTGTCCAAGCGTTTTCCCGAAAGACTAACCGTTTTTTAAATAACAAATATTGTAATATTTGAGGGGCGTTTTCACCCTCTTGGAATTTGAGATTCGAGAAACTCCTCCTTATCGAACCTCTACACCCCACAGTCAATCCGTTTGTCAAAAATCAGCTTTAAACGTCAAGCAGTTTAAGCAGAATCGTGATTACTCAATGGTCATATTTTATGAAACACCCTGTATAAATTTTTAAAAATCTTAAAATATGTAAAACAACAAAATAAAATATACGTGTTTAAGCGTTTTTTTCGAAAACTTGACCGTTTTTTAAATAAAAAATATTGTAATATTCGAGGGGTGGTTTCACCCCCTTGGAACTGGAATTTCGAAAAATCCCTTCTTATCGAACCTCTACACCCTAGAATCAACCTGTATGCCAAAATTGAGCTTCTTACGTTGAGTGGTTTGAGCAGGATGGTGATTAATCAGTGAGTGAGTCACTTGTGATTTTATATATTGGTATAGATAGATTATTTTACTAAAATACATTTCATTTTAATGTAAAATGAGATATGTCTGTATCTCATTTTACACTAAAATGAGATATGTCTGTGTCTCATTCTAATATAAAATGAGATGTCTTCCTCCTTGACATATTGACTTAAAGTTTTTTTTTAAATTGAACATTTTAGGCAATTTTTGAAAACATTTTGGTTGACTTACCTTTGGCCGAGTTTTTCTTAGCCAAGCTTTTGGTAGACAGGGCCAGTGCTTGCTATTTGAAGTCACTGGATCCCGTCCTATACAGAAACTTACTGTATCTCAGAGATTTCAACGGAGATGTCAGCGATTTAGGACTAGATTTTACCACAGTTAACAACGATCTAGGAGAAACGAGAGTAATTTTTTAGTTAAATATTTTTTTATATTGAAAATAACTGTATTTTTATTATAGATTATGGACCTAAAACCAAACGGTAGAAATATCCCTGTCACAAACGAAAATCGATTAGAGTACATACAGAGATTGGCTGATTTAAAGTTAAACGGTCAAACTAAGAGACAGTGTGTGGCATTTAGAGATGGACTAAATAGTGTCGTACCTTTACTTTGGCTCAGACTATTTAATCATAAAGAACTGCAAGTCATCATTGGCGGAGACACTCAGGAAATTGATCTGGCCGATATGAGAGCTCACACTGTATATTCAGGTAAAAAAAATCGGGTCCCTCTACGTTTACTTATTTTTCTGAGATAATATACTTAAAAAACTCTATGAACTCTTGATTTTTCTTTATTTAGGCGATTTTACGGCAGAACATCCTACAATGCTGATGTTCTGGAGAATTCTATATAGTTTTACGGACATTCAGAAAAGACAACTTTTGAAATTTGTAACAAGTTGTTCCCGACCACCTCTATTGGGTTTTAAGGTATAACAAGTTAAATTTACCTGGAAAATAAGTCAGCAATACAATTTTTTTAGGAATTAAATCCACAATTCTGTATTCAGTCTTCTGGAACAGAGAACAGGATGCCTACAGCAAGTACTTGTTTAAATCTTTTAAAAATTCCAATTATTAAAGACGAGGAAACAATGAGATCCAAGATATTGGGTGCAATAGAGCAGCAAGCTGGTTTTGAACTGTCTTGAATATATTGATGTATATATTTTTTTGTTGTGTATATAAAGATTTATTTAATTTCTTTGTTTTTTTTTTTCATGTAATGTTAACGGTTTGAAAAAAGGAAATATATTAAAGAAAACAGAATTTTAAAGCCTAACTAATGAATATAATACAATATACAGTATTTTAGTGGTTACATATTTTAACTATTCCATTTTTTTTTGGTTTATTGAGTTTTTTGCTGTTGTTCGGCTCGTTTAGCTTCTTCATTGATTTGTCTGTGCCACTCTAGATTCCTCTTTACTATGCTGTCCCCTTTGGCTTTGTCACTTTTGCCCAAATACACCATGAGACAGCAACCGAGAGCGGTGGCCAGCATCATGTAGTTTGCAATTCTGATTCGCATACGATTCCTGGCTCTTTCCATTACGTTTTGACCCACAAAATTGGGCACTTCAGCGATCGTTTTATATTTTCCGGTCCATACCAGGAACCTTTTTTCCAAGTTGTCCACTTTATGGGGCGCCTGTAGTTTGTCCAAGTCTGAGTAATTCCTTTTTGGGAAAAATCTTGTGGCATTCATCGAGTTGTTTTTTGTAAATAGCTTATATAAAGCCCGAGACGTCATATTCTAAAAACGAAATGATTTAAATGATTTTTTCAGTTGTTAATTTTCGAATTTGGATACTTTTATTTGTTTAAACGATTTGTTTTGTATATTTCTGTGATTTGTTATGACAAATGTGAGAAATTTTGTCTAGTGACCTTTGTAGGTGATTTATTTTTGACATTCGCCTGAGTTATGAAATAAAAATTATGATTAATTTATGTTAAATCGATCAACGAAAGTATCAAAACAAAAAAAACAAGAAAATTAACACAAAATAACTCACCATTAATCTAAATCGATTCTCGATCAAATTTGAGCTAAACAATGAAAATATTTTATTTTTTGATCAGTCCCGGTAAAGGCCCACAGATTAATAGCAATAACAAAGAGTGTCCTCTTTATTCTATGGTCATCTCAAGAATTATTTTTGTTTTTCAAAAATTTCTCTCGAGACCCCTTTTTAATTGTTTTTACAACTTTCTTATCATTCTTCCAGAAATCTATTAATTGGAGATTTTTAAGGATCAAATACAAAAGACATTTCTTATAAAACAAGTTTATTTATAAAATACAACCCTTACAAACTAAAAAGTTGTACTTAGTCGAATAAACCGAAGCCCATGTCATCGTCGGATTCCTCAGGCTCCTCTTCCTTCTTTTTCTCCTCTTTGGGTGCAGCTGCTGCGGGGGCGGCTGGTCCGGCAGCTGGCGCAGCGCCTGCTGCTGGTGCTGCTCCTGCACCTGAACCGATGTTCGTAATCAGTTCCTTAATGCTGACTCCTTCCAAAGCCTTAGCGAATAGACCTGGCCAGTATGGTTCAACATCTACATTTGCGGCTTTAAGGATCGTTTGGATCTTTTCACCCTTAAAATAATAAAAAAATATTAATAAATAATTGAATACCTCAAGCTATTCATTGCACAAAAATTTTCAAATAGGTATTCTGTATTGAATTACTTTAGAAGTACGAAAATATATACATTACCAACAAATTAACATATTCTTTTCCTCGAGAATAATTTTAATTAAGAGAGATTACTGTTTTTTGCTTAAAATAATATAAGATGAAAAAACTTCTACATTTTAAGTTGACAAAAACACTTTGTAATAAAATAATACTTACAGTTACGGCAATGTCGTCGTCAGCCAAAATGAGTGCTGAATATACACAGGCTAATTCGGCGTTGGTAGTCATATTTTTTGTAGTTTTTTATTAAAAATTAAATAGTGCAAGTCGCCAAAGGCCTTAGCTCGAGAGAGAACAAGCACACGGTCTTGTTGCGGGAAAGTTTGACGCAAAAAGAATGTGAGGTTAGTTTTTCTCCTATTATTTTTAGCAGGCCTGAGAAGTCAAATTATTGATTCTTATTCTGTGGTTCGTAGTTTGATTTTACGGCCACAGCTGCCAGGGCTATGCGGTCGGATTCTGCTGCGAAAAAGTATGAAACACAAAATAAATATTAATTACGTAGTATTTTAACGCATTGAACATATTAAATTACGGTATCTAATCTAATATTATATTTAAAGTAAAGTTTTTCAATTTTAAACAGTTTGTCACACTCAGAGATATGGAAGTGGGAGAATGAGCTTCGACGAGTGCGCATCCAAATTTTTGTCGACGGCAAGATGGCAGACATCTTCCAGGTCTCGCTGTCACTTCCCCTCTTTAATTGACATCTGTTTGTTTTGTTTTTTTTTCGTTTGTGTTGTTATCTAGTTAAAATTTATTATTATCTCAATATTCTAAACACTAATTCAAAAAGGCCTGTTGTATATTCATAGTCATTCTAGAAAGCTAATACGCCGGGAATAATGATTAGTTTTCATGTGTAAGTTTATACAACATAATCGTGTTTACAGATGATTCAAAACTGTTTATTTTTAACTTTCCTAAAGGCGATTTGTAAAAATCGTGATTGTAATTGGGAATGGTCAAAAATAAGTGTATGATGTGGCCATTTAAAGAGGATGTTTTTATTACGTGTGGAGGAAGAAGATACTTGGAATCAATGTTCGTGGTTCTGTAAAACAGTGCACTCTTATAGTGTCCATGAAAGCACAAGTTCAAGTGACCAGAAATATATCAAATAAGATTGGTCCTTACTTGACAAGAAGATTATTTGGAGGAAAAGAAAACATAAGATAGGGTATTTTAATCGAACAGCGAAAATTTAACATTTTTATTGTAAAGTTTGTTGTAGGTAGTTGTAGTTTTGTGCTAAATATTTCTAACATTAGCAGCGGCTGTGTTCAGAGTGTCAAGAGGAGGAGAATTCAGTTAATTAGATTTATGCACAGTTACAGGTATGAAGGCTTTTTCAAACATAGTATCGAGTTCTATAGTCAACATTTTTAGTATTCCTACAACTGTAAAAACAAGGAACATTGGACTGGAAAAATGGCAAGATTTATATAGAAAGAAAGGGTATTATGCCAATAAGAAAATTAAATCTGTAGGCAGAAGTTTCTTATTTAAAAACTGTTATGGGGCATATATTAATTTGTATCTCTGCCACAAATCACTGAGAAAAATCATATAATATTCATAATTGTTAACGAGATGATATTTAAAGAGTGTTAAAAATGAGATTATTAGTCATGAAGCTTACAATGTTACTTTGTTTCAATATTACACTTTTATTCTTGTAAAATCTATGATGAAGTTCAAAAGCATTTTGCAATGGCCTTAAATTGTGAGCCAGGATTTATAGCAAAGGTATTTGATGCAATGAAACTTAATCGGTACCTTCCAGTATGTATTTTAGTAAGGGGATTGTCAATCCCATGTTTTTAAATAGATAAAATACAGGCCAAAGTTGACAATATTACAGTTGAGAAGAAACTATTTTATCTTAAAAAAAAATTTCTTAAAATTCTGAGATCATATAATCTAATTTTCTTAATAATAAATTAGGTATATGTACATACAGAATTTTGTTATGGACAAATAAGGATCGACAAGCTTCTTTTGTGCAAAAAATAAATGATTTTTTCTAGTATTACGACAAACCATAATGTGTTTTACAAACTTACCGGTAACAGTTTTTGTTTATAATAAAATATTTAGGAATAATTTGGGTTGTTTATCAATATATTAATGACTTGAATTTTGACAAATCGAATTTGTATCAAAATAATTTTACGAAATATAAAATTGATGTTCTATTACAAGATTGAGTTTTTATTGTCGACAAAAACCAGGATAAATACTAATAATAATACCCTTAATAAAATCAATGATGTTTATGTATTATGAAAATATTTGTTAGAGGACATGTTATGTAACAGTTTTTGAAACATAATTTGAAGGGACGAATAAAAAAAATAAAACAAAAACATATTTTTTCTAGGTTTATATTAAAAATACAAGGTAGATAATCATCAAAAATAATTATGAACCAAATGTTTTTTATGAATATACAACTTGAACAAAAAGTTGTTTAGAACAATTTTTACCAAATTTGCAAAAATTTTAAATTGAAACGCGTAATTCAGTACAAGTAAACATGAAATATTGTAAATACTTATTTAATATCATTTCGAGTGTTTTACGACGAAAAGGTCATCTGTCCGTAGCGTCTTTTGTCAGAATATTCGTATATTTAGTGTATTATATACCAATATTGTACGCAGTTTTGAAACTGATAATTAAATAAATCATATTAATGTTAACTAACCATAATGAATGATAGAATTTCACTAAATTTAAATTGCCCCCCGTATGGTTGAAAACAGCAAATTGATATTTGATTACTTATAGATTACCACCTATATACAAAATGACACGAAGACCTGGAATATGGCGCCCAACTTGATTAGACCTTTTGCGCATGTTGACGCTCATTCTCTATCCCTTCTATTTCTATGGTCACACTGGAAATTGACAGAGGTGACCTCTGTTATCAGTTTCTATAACCGTAAAATAAGTAACAGATTCCTGTTATTTCTTATCATTTTAACCTCACTTTTCTTATCTACCTATGCAACCTGGGAGGGATTAAAAACAGGGGGGTGACAGTGAAATAGGAAAATTGGAAACAGTCATTAGTGTCATTCCTGTCATTCTCCTCACGACAAGTATGGCCGCCTAGACAAGGACAGCATTGTTTTTGTCTAACTATTGTCTAACTTCACAGTTTAGAATTGACAGATTTCAGTTTCAGAGACAACTTCAGATTTGTTCTAGAACAAATTCGAAAATTGTGTCGAAAATATTCGACGCCATTTTAATTCATTCCGTTTAGTTTCGTTTTGGAAGTTCAATTTAATATTTCGGCTGAAATTTATAATTATAAAGGTAATAAAGTATATAAAATATATATTACATGAAGAATCCTGGAGAAAATGACGTTTCTGCCGTAGTAGGTATGTCCCATGTATATGAAAAATAGGTAGTAAATAAACACTGTTTTTACATTTTTTAGATGCAAGAAAATGGTGTTATAATCTCTTTGATCGGCGATTTTTTTGAAAATGGAAACAATTTACAGCAAGGTAAGATCATTTTTAACTATAGCCAACATCATTTATCTCCAATATGTGCGATTTATTGTCAATAATGCAATAAATCGGACTGATAATCTGATTATGTTATCCGACTAAAAGTCTCTTTTTGCTTCTTTTTGATTTATAAGCCAGGTCTCTTTGGGAATAATGGACGCTTTTTTAAACAGTATATTTATATTTTATACCTATTGATATTTTTAGATTGTTAATTTTAGTATAAAAAAATTTGTTTTTCTGTTTTCAGGTTTTTGTATAAGGCTCCCGTTTTCATGTCCCTGTGTCCGTTTTCTGTCCTTGAAGTCTGCGAATACGTGTGTTTATTTACAAATTACTGTAAGTCATGCTTATACCTTAACTAATTTACGTTAAAAGTACATATAATTAACTAATTGGTATTGAAACAATACAATCCTCTATATTTTTATGTTTATTTAGTCACGTTGTTCCATACTTCAAATAAATATATGTGAATAAATTATTTTTTGGTTTTATTTATGAAAAGAAAAAATACAAAATACATTTGAACTGAAAGAGGACCCGCCATTGAATAACCGGAAACGGAAATGAAAATTAAGCCATCATGTCCTTATCATGTCAACCTGTCAATTGGAAAATTAGTTCTCCAGACGACAACGAAGGCTTTCGGTGGCGTATCGTGTTTCCACGATTTAACACAGAGTTGACACTTCTTTCTAGTTAATTATTTTATGATTAAAAATAAACTGATTAGTAGTGATTAGATTAATCATCAAAAAAACGTACTGCTGTCTTCCTTTACCATCAACCGCCTTTATTTTCAAAGTTCTATAAATTAAATTGAACAAAGCTTTTCAGAAATGGTTTAACATGTAACAACGATAACAAAAAACGATCATTTTCAATGGATAGCAAAGAAATTGACTGAACTATGGCAGATTCAATTTATAGGTGAGTTGTTTGTGAGGTCGAGTGAATAATTAAATGTTTACAATGAGTTTTCGATAGTAAAGTGGACGAGTATGGATTTCAAAGAGGTGAAGACTTTGATTATAGAGTATATGGTATATTTATGTCAGAATATATTCGGACCTTAACAAGAAGAGCGCAGAGGTGGAATGTCGTTTTTAAAGATAACAAATTTAAGAGGAGTGGGATCTTAAAAAGGTTCATAAGGAAAGGAATTCCAGCTGATTTAAGAACCATTTGTTGGATGACTGTTTCAGGGGCTGAAAGATTGAAGAATGAAAGCCAGTTAAACTATCAGTTGTTGAAACTGAAATACAGTCATCAGGTGATAGAGGTAATACAAATCGACTTACCTCGAACATTTCCTGATAATATTTACTTTGCAAATAATGAGGGGTATTCAGATATGCTCTATAACATATTATCTGTTTTTGCACACCAAAATTCAGAAGTTGGATACTGTCAAGGCCTGAATTATATTGCAGGTAACTTATCTGGATATTTTTATTTGTTTTATGATAAATTGAACCTTATTTTTCCCTCTAGGGTTATTATTATTAGCTACAAAACATGAAATGGTTACATTTTGGCTGCTCAAAACATTAGTAGAAGAAATTTTACCAAAGTATTATATTAGAACAATGACAGGATTATTGACTGACTTTGATGTCTTAAATGAAATAGTTCAAAAATACGAACCTCAAATACATAGGTATTGCATTTTCATATTAATATTTAGGTATTTAATCAGACTATTTACCCCAGACATATCCAAAATATTGGCATGCCATGGGCTATGGGCACAACGAAATGGTTTATATGTATATATGCCGATGTTTTACCCACCGAAACAGTTCTCAGAGTTTGGGATTGTCTGTTTTATGAAGGTTCAAAAATATTATTAAGGGTGGCATTAGCTTTAATTCGAATCCATAAAGAAGCCATTCTTCAAACCAGTGATTTAAGTGAACTGATGTCAGTATTTAAAAATATGAAGAACCATCCAAGAGTTATAGATTGTCATGGGTTTATTCGTGTAAGCCTATATGCTATATTATTTGATGTTTAATGTAAAAAATATGATTTTTAGGATATATTTAACCTATCCAGTAAACTGTCCAGTAACAGAATAGAAAAATTAAGATTAAAACACCAAAAATAAGACCAGAAAAGGGTTTTCATGCAACTATATATGTATATAATCTAGTCAACAATTACATCCAGCATATGTACAAGATATTTTCAATATAATTTATATTACATTTCTAATGTTAGCTGTTTTTGAAGCTACCTTGCATGTTTTTCTAAGTAATCTTTTGCCTCGTTAATTTTGGATGCCAAATAAGGTGAACCCCCTCTATCTGGATGATTTACGGACATGGCTTTCTTGAAAGCTTCCTTGACCTTTGCCTTATTTGCGGATGGACCTACTCCTAAGAAAAAATTGTTAAAAGACCAAAATGAGGAATAAGGATAGACTTACCTAAAATTAAAGCTGCTTCGCGCCTGTTCATTTTCTGATCGAAACCACCTTTGTAATATTTGGAACTGGCAGAAGATTCTTCGAATTTCGGTAGGTTTTTCATTGCTTCGTTGAACGTTTTAGCGGCATTGGGCATTTGCCTCAGGGCATATCTTGCCCCGAAACCCAATGCTGCCAGACCCAATCCAGTTAGGATTACACCACTCTTAAAAGAACATAATTTTAGTATTAAAAGATATATTTAAATTTAAAAATTTCTTACCATTAAAAAGAATTTGTTGATTTTCTGCAACTTTCAATTTGGAAATGTCTCGTAACCTCAATTCTTCTTTTCAAAAGTATATGGCTGTAAGGACTATCCAAATTCAACACCTTCTGTGGTCAACTGGATAGAAGAGGTCCAGGAGTTTGATTAGTTATATTTATTTAAATTGTTGTTTAAAAGTATGAATTGCCGTAATTTTGGCTAAATAAATCGGTTGTTATAATTATAATTTGTTCTTATTTTTTTTTTCAAAATATTCCGAGATTTGACGGCCGAATAAGAAAGTCACTAGATCTAGGGAATTTCGGTTATTGGCTAGAATATTTGCAAAATCACGACGTGCCTGTAGTCCGTTCTGTACGTCAACAATCAAGAATTTTAAATAATATTTGCTAAATAGGATACTTATATTATATTAAATTAAATCTGGAAACTGCTGTGCGATTAATCGTTGCAGAAGACATCTGATCTAGGATATTAAATTATTTATTTTCGCGGCGCCATTTTGTATGTGCCGGTGATTTTTCGTTTACTTGTCAAAAAGTGTACTTGTACTCGGAATATTATTGTTAATCCATTATCTTTTTGCAATTAAGTATATCTTTTTTGACTAGATTATAGCACTACCGAAGGTAAGTTTATAGCTATTCTATTAAACGATTCGTGATCTTAACTTTGTCATCTTTGTCCCTCCCATTTGTATTTATTCTAACATCTGACATCACTACATTAAAATGAGCCTTTTAATGGATTTCTTTGTAACGCGTTATGTTAAAATATTTGTTGTTGACATAATTGTTTATCTGTAAAAACACTCACCTCCCTTCTTGTTTTGCAGTTATTTTTCTACAATGATTATTTAATTTTAAATTGAAGCTATGACTGTTGCAACAAGAGGACAAGAAATTGTTGAAGACAACAAAGAGACACAGGTTTGAATTCTGCTCAATTAAGTCCTTTTCTTCTAATTATGCATGTTGTTTGTTTTTAGAGTTCAACTCCAGGCCCATCCAATGTAGAATCCAACATAGAAGTTCAAGATGATAATACTGAGCCAGATTTTCCTAAAGACAAACTGGCCGTGCTCGATGAAAAAATATCAAGCCTGAGATGGGTAGTGCCAGTTTTACCCGACCAAGAGTTGGAAATATTATTGAAAGCCTCAATTGACTTGGCCAAAAAGAACTTGGACACAAAATCGGAAGCATGTCAGAGGTTCTTTAGGGAAGGTTTAACAATTTCTTTTACAAAAATTCTAACCGATGATGCAGTCTCCAGTTGGAAATCCAATATACACGCATGTATCTTTCAAAATTGCCTCAAACTTATCGAACTATGTGTGGCAAAGTTGCTGCACGACTGGTTTCCACTCTTAGAGCTGCTTGCAATGGTTCTAAATCCAAACAACAAATTTCACAGTTTCAATTCGTCGAGACAGAGTGAATCAGCTGGTCCAAGCTTTGTTCTGAGCGAGGAGGAATTGTTTGCCAGGCCTTCCCCAGATCCAAGAAACCCAAGAGGATGGCTGGTCGATTTAATTAATAGGTTCGGAGAATTGGGTGGCTTTCAGAAACTTTTGGAGAGGTTTCAGTCAGGAAAAAACTTAAGTGTGTCAGTGGTTTATGCACTTTTAACTCCGTTTGGTCTTTGTTATGAGTTTTTAACGCCTCATACTATACATAAATATGTACTTCCGATTTTGGTGAGTTCAGAATTGTATTTTAAAGTTGTTTTTTAACAATTTCTTTGCAGGAGATGGTACCAGGTATCCTGGAAAAAATAACTGATGAAGAATTGAAGAGGGAGGCGAAAAATGAACAGAAAAGCGACAACGTGTCGCTTATAATTAGATCTGCCAAAAATTTAGCATCTAAAGTGCCAGATCAGGAAGAACTGATACGGACTTTGGAGAGTTTTAGGTTAACTATGATACTGAGGCAGTTGCAGATATCCAGTTTCAACGGGAAGATGAACGCACTGAATGAAATTAATAAAGTGATCTCCAGCGTTACTTACTATCCGAACAGGCATCATGGTGTGGAAGAAGAGGAATATTTAACGCCAGAACGAATGGCGGTAAGTAAATAAAAATAATAATCATTATTTATTACAAAAAACAACTTAAAATCATATACTAGTCTTTATTAAATTCTGGTGTGGTATGGTTTAAAATCTATTTAAAAACTTTGATAATTTTATTTACGAAACAGTTTTTTTACTGTTTACTTTTCTACTTTTTGGTACGGAAATATTTATCAACCTGATTTGTTTATTATTCTGATGGCTATTTCGATGCTTAGAAATGGATAAAAGACAACAAGGTACTCGAAATAGTACTCAGAGATTCCCTGCACCAGCCCCAATACGTAGAAAAACTTGAAAAAATCCTACGATTCATCATAAAAGAGCGGGCGCTGAGTTTGAGCGACCTGGATGCAGTGTGGGCGGCTCAGGTGGGCAAACACGAGGCCATAGTGAAGAACGTGCACGACCTGTTGGCCAAACTGGCGTGGGACTTCAGCGCGGAACAGCTGGACCATTTGTTCGAGTGTTTCCAGAACAGTTGGACGTCGGCCTCGAAAAGACAGCGGGAGCGACTGCTGGAACTTATCAGGTACGAAAGAATTCGGATAGATTATTGTTTATACGAAATTTTGTACAATTTGTTTTTTGTACTAAATTTAGTACATTTTTTCTGTTTTGGACACCCATGGATAGACAGTTTTTGATAAACGACAAGGTGTGAAGGCATTTGATAAAAAGAGGTGTTGGTACAATTTGATTTTTGTACACATTTTTTTCTGTTTTGACATCCATAGGTAAACATTTTTTAGCCGCTGTCTCAGAAGTTTGTAGTTGGTGACACGGTAAAACTTAACACGTAAAAAAAAGAGAACCAATAATAGTTGTACTAAATTTAAAATTGACAGCTGTTCGGACTTTGAACTAAAAAAACACTTAGTTTGAAGGCGTTCTTAATTTAGTACAATTTGATTTTTGTACTAAATTTAGTACATTTTTTCAGCTTTGGACATCCATGGATGTATTTTTTTTCGGCAAAAAGGCAGTTGTGTATTTATTAAAAACGTTTTCGTTATTGTATTTTAGACGATTAGCCGAAGACGACAAAGACGGCGTGATGGCTCATAAAGTTTTGACGCTATTTTGGAACTTGGCTCACGCAGAGGACGTCACTACTGAAATAATGGATCAGGCTCTCGCTGCTCACGTCAAAATTCTAGACTATAGTTGTTCTCAAGAGAGAGACGCCCAAAAAACCGTAAGTACATTATTGGGATTAGTTTTGGTTTTTCCTATTTCTAAAATTCTATTTTCTCATATTCTCTTTATCAGGTATGGTTGGATAAGTGCGTGGATGAACTTAAGAACGGCGATTCTTGGGTACTGCCCGCTCTAAAGCAAATCAGAGAAATATGCACTTTATATGAGCAAAATTCCAATGGTAGTCATCCGCAGCATACCCATCACATTTACTATCGTCAAGAAGTGATTGAAAGGCTTCAAAACCAGCATTCTTTGGTGATTTTGGTCACCAATAGCCTCACCAGTTACATGGATCATTTGAGGGCCCTGTATAAAGAAAGACCGGAGCTTACTGCTGAGACTTATGTACCGGACGGCAGATATTGTCATGTGTTACAAGTGCAGGAGAGGTTAAACTTCCTCAGGTATGTAAACATTTTTTTTAGTGTTTAACCAGTCTAAATTAAGTTAATTAAGGAATCTTATATAACGGAAAATTAGTTTGAGCCTTAGACTATGTTACATCTAGATACCCTCTTTGGTCTACATATATTGTAGCCAAGATAAATAATGATATTATATTTTGTTCCTGTTTACTTATCGTGTTTTTTAATTAACATACATTTTTACTGTTTAGAAATTACTTTTTTGTCTATATAAACATAAATTTATTTCAAACCTTAGACCATATTATGTCTAGACACCCTCTTCGACCGAAATATTTTGTAGCCAAGATTACATTTCGTTTTTTTTTTCGAATCGACAGGTTTCTCCTAAAAGACGGTCAGTTGTGGCTGTGCGCCGACCAGGCCAAACAAATATGGCAGTGCCTGGCCGAGAACGCCGTCTTCCCCTCGGACAGGGAGTCCTGTTTTCGCTGGTTCTCCAAGCTGATGGGCGAGGAACCGGACTTGGACCCGGGCATAAACAAGGACTTTTTCGAGAATAACTTGCTCCAAATCGATCCCGTGTTGCTCACGGAGAGCGGAATCAGGTGCTTCGAGCGGTTTTTCAAAGCCGTTAACATCAAGGAGGGCAAATTGAAGCTGAAACGGCGGTCTATACTCACGGAGGATCCCGATCTCATCGGGATTGATTACTTGTGGAAGGTAAGTCATATTAGTTACTGTCTTATAATATATGTAAACGTAAAATAATTACTTCGACCATCTAACGTGTAGATATCCTCTTTAGTCGACATATCTTGATGCCAAGAATTATAATAATGTTAAATATTTTTCTTTTTTTTATTGATATGGTTTAAAATAATATGTTTCTCATAAAAAAACGGTCAGGTGTCGATTTCTTTTGTAACTAAATTAAATCAGGACTTGACGTCACTCTTGGGCAAATAAAACACATAGACTGTTTTAACTTTTAATAACATTTTTTTTTCTAAGTAAATTATGTTTCATTTCAGATAATAAAACGTTTAGATACCTTCTTTTTAGTATTATTTGTAGCCAATATATTTAAACGATTTACGTCATTTTTGGACAAACAGAATAGACGGTTTTAAAATTTTGGATAACAGCTTTTATATGAAGTGAAATATCTTTGACCTTAGATCATGAAACATCTAGATATCTACTTTTTTGTATTATCTATAGCCTATTTACAAGATATTCGCCATTTTGAACAAATGGAGTAGATATAAGTTTAGATAATACACTTTTTTCTCATACAAAATAATTTTGATCTTAGATCATGAAACATGTAGATACCTTCTGTTTTGGTATTACTTGTAGCCAGTATAGTTCATGATTTAGGTCATCATTTTGGGGCAAATTTATTAAGACAGTTTTAAAGTTTAGATAACAACTTTTTTCTTAAGCAAAATATCTTTCCCTTAGATCATGAAACATCTAGATACCTTCTTTTTATATAATTTGTAGCCAATGAGTAGACATTTTTAAAGTTTAGATAACAACTTTTTTCATAATTAAAATATTTTTGACAAATTTTTAATCATTGAGCGTCTAGATACCTTCTTTTCTAATGATTTAACGTCATTTTTTACTAAATAGAATAGAGAATACGATATATAAAGTCTGTTTAACAAGAGGATGCGTGACAGTGACAGTTATCTGTCAATTTAATTGACTCGTTAGACAGATTTTAGATCAGAAATTTTTTACTTTCCGCCAATTTGTACGAAGCTAGCGCCCTCAGGAACTCGAATTTTTGTTTTATTACCTTAACAAAAAAAATATTTCTTTTTATCTACAGGTGGTCACACTGTGTTCTGACGACATCGCATCCAGGGCCATCGAACTGCTAAGAGAAGTGAGCACGAATTTAGGGCCAAAACTTCTCCAGTCCCAAATCGATTTCCACGACCAGTACATCGGAGAGTGTTTCGACAGACTCCGGGCTCACTACGACACGATCACCATTCTGCAGAAGCCGGTGAACGAGAAAGAGATGGAGAGCGGTCAGATCACCAACAGGATCAAGGCGGAAGCGGTGAAGATGTGCAGAGTGATGAAGGTCCTTCACGAGTACATCAGCGAGTGCGATAATTCGTTTGTCGGTGAAAGGAAGATTCTGCCTTTGCACAGGTAGGTTTCTTGAATCATTTTTAAATTTTGTTTTCCAGTTTCTTTGGTAAAAAAATAGCCAAGCGCTAGACGTCATTCACTTTTTTATATTTTTTAATGGTGCTTACTACCAGTTGACATTAAGAAGATTGTAATTTATTTTTATATCGTATAAAACTGATTGTGCTGATGTGGCAACACAGGGTGTCAAAAAAAATGCTCAGTTTATATCGGCGGTTCTTAAAATGTACTTTTTTTGTCTAGGGCTTATTATGGCAAACACTTGGCTTTAATCATCCGATTTTCGAGCATAAACAGACAAGTTGAAGACATAGAATTACACACTCACTCAAACGACACACTGTCTTCATTGAGAAAAGCGATTTTGAGGAGGATTAAGCCGGGAGTTCACTGTAAGTTGGAACTGTTTGTCAATGGCGAATCCCTGGAACCGGCGGATGACAGAAAGTTGCTCTGTCAAATTCCCATCAGGGACAAAATGGTAAGCGAGCTAATCTCTTTTAATGTCACGCCATAAATTCTTGAACTTTCCACAGTTGTCCTTTAATACGAAGTTATACTTTTATTGACGGATATTGATCAGTATCAAAAAAAACTTTTTTCAGATGATCTCTGCCAAAGTGATTCAGGTCAACTCGAACATGGCCTCGTCTCAAGACAGCAGTTCGGATAGTTCTACCTCTTCGCCGCAACACTTATACGACGGACCCAACACCGAGGCCGAGTACTTCCTCCCGGGCGTTCTAATGTCCCAGAATTCCATGTACGCTGAGTTTTTTTGTCAGCTCATGTCGCTGGGCAGTCAACTCAACTTTCCCCCTCTGAGGAACAGCGGCCACGCCCTTCTGAAACTGATGCCGTGCGACGTTTCGACCATGGACAAGTTCAAGACGAAGTTCGCCAGTACGGGCGAGCACAACATTACGATGGACGCTATGTTTTTCAGCGCGTCGCCTGCAGAGGTTAGTATTATACCGTGGCATTTATATTATTGTTTAAATAACACTTTTTTCTATGTAAAAAGTCTCAGATTGTTTAGACTGTGAAAACAACTAGACACCTCTTTTCTTCAATATTATTTGTCGCCAAGATAACTAATGCTGTGACGTCAGTTTTGGGCAATTATATTAGAGTTTTTTCTGTTTAAATTACAGTTTTTTTTTGGGTATAAATTACTACTAAGTTTAGGCAATAAAACATCTATAAGTGTTATTTCTTTGATATCGTTTGTAGTCGGGATAAAAAATCATTTAACGTCATTTTTGGGCAAATAAAATCGACAGGTGTATTTTTTGAATATTTTTTTTATTAAGAAAAAAAACACAGAACATTTTTGACTATGAAAACAGCTAGACATATCTTTCCTTCAATATTATTTGTAGCCAAGATAATTAATGATGTGACGTCAGTTTTGGATAAATATATTAGATATTTTTGCCGTTTAATATAATAGTTTGTGTTTCCTAAGTATATAAATTACTACTTATCTTAGACCATGATAAATATGGATCAGACGTCACTTTAGGGCAAATTAAACAGTCGTTTGTATTTCCTAAAATTGTATCTGCTTGCTCTAGAACATCTTTTTTTTTCCATTTGTTCTTTAACATTCTTTTTAGGTTCTGTATAACTTGGAAGTTCTCTACGCCATGCTGATGCCCGCCATGGACACCCTGTCCGACAAAACCTACGAGTTCCAGTACAGTTTTATCACCTCGGGCGAGGCTCACATCTTTCTGGAAATGCTGACGAAGAACAACTTCATGTCGAACGCCGACAGCGTGACCAGACGATCAGCCTACTTGGTAGTGCTGAAAATATGCAAGCTGATACTTACGTCTGTGGCTCACGTGCTGGTAAGGCTCAGCGAGGATCATACTCCGCCAGAAAACGAGCCTTCGAACGAAAATACTACCACTCCAGGGATGTATTTGAAGCAGGCGCTGAGATCCGTTCCTGGTCATTCAGATTATGTAAGTAAATGTTAATCTTGTCAAAAAGAGTTGTGGAACGAGATAAACTTCAATATTAAGGAAAATATATTAGTTTTATCCCGTCGATCTTTGATTGACAAAACAACTAGATAGGTTCTTTTCTTAGAATCATTTAAAGCCAATAATTCAGTAGCCAGTTTTATATTTAGATGTAAGTTACACCAGTAAAAAAATTCTGCTGATCTTATTGTTGTAAACATCTAGACACTGTCTTACATTAATATATTTTGCAGTCATGATAAATAAGATTAACGTCACTTTTGGTCAAATAAAACGGACGTTTTAACGTTTAATAACTTCCTATGAAGTAAAAATAACTGTTATGGAAAGCACTATTCATTAAAATGTTGTATCACATGTTATAGGGCTTGTTTCTCTCTACAATTTCCTGTCTTACAATGTACCGTTTTTGTCCAGGAAGGGTTCACAGTTTCATAGATGTCGATTTCCGAAAGAAATCAGTACATGTATATTATTTCCTATATTTTTCATTTTATTGATTATATGTAAAGCACTGTTCTTTAAAATGTTGTATCCTATGTTATAGGGCTTGTTTCTCTCTACACTTTCCTGTTTCACAATGTACCGTTTGTGTCGGGGAAGGAATCATAGTTTCATAGTTGTCGATTTTCGAAAGAAATCAGTACATGTATATTATTTCGTATATTTTTCATTTTATTATCACCTTTTTAGTCACGATAAATAAACATTTGTCATTACTTCTATGTCCCATAACCCTATTTTCTTTCAGCTCCTTCGTCAAGTATCCATGAAACTATCTCAAGGCCTCGCCCAGCTGATGCTGGCCGAAACGGGCAGTACAGGTCAGGCTCAAGCCCTTTTCAGCCAGGCTCTGAACTGGGAACTGCCCGACCTGGCCACCACCCTAGCTTTAGTGAGGCTAGTTTGGGCGGCAAGCAGTGACAACCTCGGTGCGTTAAATTCCTCACCAGAGACGCTGCATTCGCTGTCAAACCCCTCCAATCAGCGAGCGCCCGTTGATCTGGACTGTGAAGACATATTGTTGTGTAAAGAGGCTTTGGAGTTGCTCAGTACGGCTGTGGTTCTGAATCCGAGCAGTTTGGAACACTTGTATCAGGATAATTGGTAAGAAATAATGAAAAAAATAGGTTATATTTCAAAATAATTACACCGTTTTTTAGGTGGCCTTACTTCATCACAGATTTAGTCCTTCTGAACCCGAGTTGCGCTGTTCGCGTGGCCGCAGCTGAACAACTTATTGTGATATGTACGTGTGGCGCCGCAAGTCGTCTGGCTTTGCAACTAATCATGCCCTTACTGTTCTCTTTGCTGGACACGATGGTCATCGAAAACGCCAATAATTCTCATGAGTTCTTTCAGCTACTGTCCAGACTCGTCAGCGTAGCTTACCTTACAGGATGTCCTTTAAATGATGCTTCAGTCTTGTTAGCGAATGAGGTAAGTTTTTTAGTAGTGTTTTTTTTAAACTGAATATATTTGTTGTTTTTAGGTTGCCTGGTTGAAGAAGGCTCGCGACAAGAACGAAGTACTGATTGAAGGCCATTTAGGTCTCGCCAAGGAACTACTCAGCTTCATGCCTTTAGAGCAAAAGTGCGAATTGGGTAGTGATGAATCGGGGAACCTCATTAGAGAACTTTTAGAGGATTTTTTATTCCCCGCCAGCAAGTTGCAGCTGCAGCTGAACAAAACGAAGCAGCTGGGCGAGGACCCGGCCATACCCGTGTGCGACACGCCTCAAACTCAAGCCGCGGCCTTCGATTTGCTGATTTCTTTATGTGTGAATTGTGTGCCGAACTATAAGCAGCTGGTGAACATGTTGACGGAGATGTTCTATTTAGGTACTACTTCTTGCGCACTTTGTACTATCACAAATTGGTATTTGCTGTTTTTTTTTCTAGACCCGGAAACCGCGATAACCGAATGGGACTACCTGCCAGCGGTGGGTCCAAGACCGTTCAGGGGTTTCGTGGGTTTGAAAAACGCGGGCGCCACCTGTTACATGAACTCGGTACTGCAACAGTTGTACATGGTGGACAACATCAAAGAAGGAATTTTAGCTGCCGAGGGTGCCGCTACTGATCCCAACGAGGATTTTACGGGGGAGGAGAGGATAGATCTGGACATAGACTGTACGGACGACAAGAATTGTATGGACGACAACAGGAAGGATTATAACGTTGGCATTTTGAAGCAGGTAATGTCAGTAATGTCAATTAATTAATATTTACTTACAGGCACGATTTTTTTGAGAAAATAATAAAAAAAACGCCATCTGGTGGTCAAAAAGGCACAGTTCACGGCTTCGCAAATAGAGCAAAAAACGCACTCCTTTTCGACAGGAAGTTGATTAAAATCGGTTCATCCAAAACGGAAATACCGACATTTGAATGTAAAAAATCTTTAACCTTCCCCCGCCACTTTATTTTTGACAGTTGCGTAAATTAGTCGAGGGCAAAAAAGTGCGTAATTTATTGAAGAATACAGTGCCTATATTTTCGTCACACATAATTTAATAAAATTTAAGAGATAATTGATATTTTCTATTTTCTGTGGCTGTTACGCCCCCTAGCGGCCAACATCCGAACTTGAAAATAGTTTACAACGATTTCTCTTGGCCGATATACCCATAAATCTTTTTTCCCCTAAGCTCTACCTTTAATGGTTTATCATTAATCCACCATTTACATAATGAAGGTATTGGTACATTTGAACTACTATACTTTTTCCCGCAGGTTCAAGCAATTTTCGGACATTTGGCTTGCTCTAGACTACAGTATTACGTGCCTAAGGGTCTCTGGAGACATTTCAAGCTTCAAGGTACCTAATTACCACGATATTTTTTCTTAATTTTCTTAAAAATATATATTGAATCTTTTTTTTTTCTAGGTGAACCCGTCAACTTAAGGGAACAACAAGACGCGGTGGAATTTTTTATGTCGCTCGTGGAGAGTTTGGACGAGGCGTTAAAAACGCTGGGTCAGGAGCAAATAATGTCGAAAATTCTGGGCGGGTCGTACTCCGACCAGAAAATTTGTAAAGGCTGCCCCCATCGCTATTCCAAAGAAGAACCCTTTAGTGTAATAAGTGTAGATATTAGAAACCATAGTAGTTTGCCTGATTCAATGGAACAGTATGTTAAAGGTAATTATTTTTATTTTATATAACGGGTTTTTTTCAAAAGTGGCTCAACCCTATAGCTTTTTAACCCTATAGCTTTCACATACCAAATCTGTTTTTTTTTTATCAGAAAGAATAATAAAGTTATAGGTGTGAGCCGCTTTTGTAAAGCACCCAGTATAACTAGTTTAATACCACATACTTAATTTCTTTCAAGGTGAATTGCTGGAAGGAGCCGACGCGTACCATTGCGAGAAGTGCTCGAAGAAGGTGGTGACGGTGAAGCGGCTGTGCGTGAAAAAACTGCCCCCCATCCTAGCCATCCAGCTGAAACGGTTCGAGTACGATTTCGAGCGCGTGTGTGCCATCAAGTTTAACGACTACTTCGAGTTTCCGCGCGAGCTGGACATGGAGCCGTACACCGTGTCCGGCCTGGCCAAGATCGAGGGAGAGATCATAGACTGCGACCTGGACCCCAACGCCAGCGAAGTATGTACGAAGTACCGGCTATCCGGTATCGTCGTGCACTCGGGTCAGGCTTCGGGTAAGTCCGTATCAACCAAAATTATGATTTTTTTCTTGGTGAATCTGCATTGCTTACTTAATTCGGACATTGTTCTGTTTTTGATCAACAGGAGGACACTACTACTCGTATATCCGACACAGGGACCCCTCGGGCGAGGTGAGATGGTACAAGTTCGATGACGGGGACGTATCGGAGTGTCGAATGGGGGAAGATGAAGAAATGAAGGTGCAGTGCTTCGGCGGGGAATACATGGGCGAGGTGTTCGATCCCATGCTGAAAAGGACCACCTATAGGCGGCAAAAACGCTGGTGGAACGCCTACATGCTCTTCTACACTAGGTTGGATGTCGAGGAGGAGTTTTTAGTCAAATCCGTTAATCAACTTAGCTTAAGTAAGTATTTCTTTTACAAATACTTAAAAATAATAAAAAAACTTGTATTTCTAGCGTCGTCGAAACGGGAAACGCATTTGAAAATGCCCCTAGCCATCGAGAATAGTATAAGGAAGCAGAACATCAAATTTCTACATCACAGGAGCCAGTTTACCATCGAATATTTCTCGTTCGTACGAAAGTTAGCAACTAGTTCGGCGCAGACTAGCGTGAGGCACGGCCAAAACCTCACGCACGAGATGCTCGAGCAGCAGTACCTTCTCAGCGTGCAATTGGTCAGTAATTTCTTGTTCCACACCGGCTGGCATACGAAGAAAAACCTGCGTGGACCTGCCGTGGAATGGTACGACTTTTATTACATTTTTTTTAAATAGCAACCGTATTTTTTGTGCCCGTAAATTTCAAATGTTTAATCTAATTTACTCATATTATTCCCAGTTACAGAATAGCCCTGTATATTTTGAAAATTTATATTTACAAGTCAGATTTTCGTAGATAGTTTTTTTTTCTATTTCTTTAGGTGTGACGTGCTATGTTTACATTTGAGGACGTCACCCAACATTAGGACGTGGTTTGGTATCAACATCCTCTTCAATCACATGAGTAGGTTCTGTGAATACTTGCTCGGTTGTCCCAGCAACGAGGTTAGGTCGGCGTTCATGAAGATCATAGTTCTTCTGGCGCATTTCTCTATTAAAGATCCCCATTGTCCGTGTCCGCCGGGTATAAACAACCAGGATCCCACAGCGACACTGAGCGATCACATTATCTGGGCTTTGCTGAGTCTGCTACACAAAGAAGTCAGCGAACACGGCAGGCATCTGCCCAATTACTGCACAGTGTTCCATATGTACGCCAGTCAAGGTTAGAAAAATATACACATTTTTATTTGTTCGACGAAAATTACTATTTTATTCGCTGAATCTTAACGCCCTGTAGAATAGCGAGCGAGGGAATATAGCTTTATTAGGAAAAAAGTGTCTATACCTATGTGACGGATTCATCTCTCCATAAAAAAATCCTTTATGGGTATTTGGCCACTGCTGTGCAAGAACTGCAGTGCAAGGAAATCTACAAAATAAAATAGTTATTTTTTCTAAACACTTCTGTGTTAAACCTAAACGGACACTGCTTGTCAGAAGTTATGTTTACAGTTATACAAATTTGCCTAACAAAATAAATGAAATTAAAAAAAATGCAACACTTTCATTAAAAATTTGTATCTTCTCTTAAAAACAAGATATTGACATGAATCAAAAACCATTGTGTAAAGAAAAGATTACACTTGAAAACAAAAATTAATTTAGCTAAATTTACCGCTCAATTTTTCCACAGGGCGTAATGTTTATAAGGGTAAAAAAGTAACTGTTATTTCTATCTCTATAATGCTCAGTATTTTCGTCTTTCTGATTAATTTGGACGTTTTAGGGATTCAGGAAAAGGCGCAACTACTGAAATTGAACGTACCGGCAACGTTTATGTTGGTAGCCCTGGACGAAGGTCCGGGACCCGCCATCAAATACCAGTACACTGACTTAAGTAAACTGACTCAGTTAGTGTCATGTTTAGTGCGTTGTTGTGACGTGAGTTCGAAGTGTCAGTCCAGTAACGGCGACGTCCTGCCCAACCCTTACCGGGAGCCGACCCTGCAAGACTACATCATGCCTATATCGCCTCAGGCGGAAGAAATACTGTTTAATAGAACTAGGTAAGATAGTCTTTTAAGTTTCTTTGATATTCTTTTTATAATACTGTCGTTTTTTTATTCTAGCTACGTTAAGAAAGTAATCGAAGACACGAACTTGACAGAAGAAGCCATCAAACTGTTGCAGTTCTGCTCGTGGGAGAATCCCCAATTTTCCAAGACTGTCCTCTCTGAACTGTTGTGGCAGATTGCGTTCGCGTACTGTCAAGAGCTGAGACATCACATAGAAATCCTTCTTTACGTTCTGTTAATAGAAGATTCGTGGCAATCCCACAGGATCCACAACGCTATCAAGGGAGTGCCCGACGAAAGAGAAGGACTGTTAGAAACGATAGGAAGGGCTAAGAACCATTACCAGAAGAGGGCGTACCAGTGCATCAAGTGTATGGTGACGCTGTTCACCAAGTGTCGGATCGCTCAGAATATGCTCCTGGCGCAGACTGACCTGAGGAGGTAAGCTCATCTTGTAAGAGAAATAACTAAAGATAATGGAAGTCCGAAATTCTTTTAGTTTTAATCTTTTTAATCGTTACTTTTTATATCAGAAACACCCTGTATACCTTGTTTGTCTGTTACAGGGCGTGGGTTTCTGCAGTGACATGGCTACAAGACGAATTGGAACGCAAATATCCCCCTAATTCACAGTACACTTACAACACGTGGTCCCCGCCTGCCCAGAGCAACGAGAGTTCCAACGGGTACTTTTTGGAACGGTCCAACAGCGCCAGGAAAACGTTGGAACGCGCTTTGGAACTCATGCCAGAGGCCGAACGTCTGGAAGACGAAGGAGTGGAAGATACCGAGTCTCTCGAAGAATCCGGGCAGGTTAGTAAGAATTATTGATTAAGAATTGTAGTCTAGATAATGGTGCTATTAGGGGTGTCCATATTACTAAAATGACTGACATTATTTTAGTAACTATTTCGTCTATTTTTGTGTGTAATTTTTAGGTGGAGTCGACCGAGGAGAACCTAGAAGTGTGCACGGAACCCCCGAACCCCCCTCAGCAGCAGAAATCCGACATTTAAGGCCGAAAAATCTGGTGAAACGAGTATTTTGAAAAGCTGCGATATCATCCTATATTTATTCTGTCTGATTTTTTGGAATTCGTTCGTTCGTTAAGTCCCCCTCAGGCTTTAGTTTAAGTATTGGAAAACTAAAAATAAACCGCAAATAGCTGGCAAGATTCAAAAAAAAAAACGTAAACAAGCAAACCAACATTAATATAGCTAGGTTAAGAGAAGAGATTGTTTTTCTTCGTCAACAATAACACCAAAGCGTATATATTATGACGTGTGTACATGTCTGGTTTGTTTACTACCTATATATATTTATAGAGAACTGTGATTCTTGCACTTCGCTTATCAAGACGTTGTTCGCCTCAGACAAAATGGGGATATGTGATATGTAATGTATAAAAAAAGGCATTTTCTGAACTCTTTTATATTGACAGGGATGCATTTGTTCTGCCTATTTGTTCCTTTTTGCAGGCGAGTCCCAACATTGCTACACTGCCCAACAATAAATTTCCGACAAGAATAATTTTCAGTCGCCTTTTGACAGCCCTCTCTAACTACTTAATATTATTTTCCGATTTTGATGTCCCGGGATTTTATCCCGAATTTTACCTCTAGAAATGAAAGTTACTTTTTTACCCTGAAAAACTTATCGCCCTGTGGAAAAATCTAGCCTTATTAAGTTTTGGTTTCAAGAGTAATTTTTTCATTACACAAAATTTGTTGATTCATGTCAATATGTTGTTTTTAAAAGAAGATACAAATTTTTAACGAAAGTATTGCACTTTTACAGTGGCCTAAACAAATATCCAAGGATTAATAGTGCGTATTGCCACCTAGTTCACCTAGTTCAATTCTAATGACATCTGTCACTAAAAATTGCATGTTTCAATGCAGTTTTGTTTTTCTTCTTAAAGAATATCTTCGAATTCTTCAATGAGGAATTCTAGCAAATCTTAAAGTATCTTAGTAAAGTTTTTGGTTGTCGTGGAGTATCTCATACATGTTCAATAGCAACTAAATCTAGACTACATGGTGGCCACACCAATCAATGTTCACGTTTTCTAGATATTCTGAATCTTCTCTAAAAAATCAGATATTGACATGAATCAAAAAATATTGTGTAAAGGAAAGGTAACTCTTTAAACCAAAACCTAACGAAGATTCGTTTTACCGGCAATTTTTTCTACAGGTCGATAAGTTTTTAATAGTAAACGACAACTTCTGTATCTACCTCTGCAAAAAGTTTAATCAAAAATCGAAAATAATATACAAAGTTATATAAGGCTGTCAACTGGAGTAAATTTATTTTTATCCTGAATTTACTGCCGGGCAGAGTATTTAAAAAAAACAGATTTAGATTAGAAAAAAGTAAGTCTTTTTTGAAAGTGTATATACCGTATAGAGAAATAAAAAAGGACAATTTTTTCCGTTGTATTTCGTGTTTCGTTTTTTTTGTACCATCCGATTTTCGAATAGACCGCTTAAGCTTTACGTCTCTTATTGTTGCGTAACCTAAACTCTGAGTATTTTATAATTTTTTTACTGGTGTTTATCTTCGATTATTATGCATTGTGATCGGTTACTGCGACGCCATTTTTCTTCAGTCTTAGGTAAGTTTACTTATATTTATTATTTTCGGTATAAATTTAAATATACGGGATCATAATAAGATCAGCGTTGATTGGGACAGATTTTTCGCATTGTTTCTTAATTCTAAATTAATAACTTAAATTTCAAAGGTCACTGTGACGCCGTTTTTTTTTCAAATTTTTAATTTAGAATGTTTTGAAGGTTATTTTCATCATTATTAGAATTAAAATGTGTGACCCTGTATAGCGATTTTTTGAGACATTTCTGACGTCACGCTTAGGCTGTCTAGACGATATTTTTTGTAAATAAAACAACGGAAATTACCCAAACAAAAACTTGAATTTGTTCTTCGATTTTTTCGTGTTTTTTTATATTTAAAAGAGAGAGGTCATAATAAAATGTAATGCTCATCGTTTTGTAAATATATATGATAAAAAATGTAGCCTTGTTTATATTTAGATCGCGCGCGAGTTATTGTTGAATAGTTTTCAAGTTGTTTTCTATTTTTTTTCTTTTTGTTGTGTAAATATCTTTTATATAAAATAGTTATTATATCCCCCCCACCCCGGAAAAATTGATCTTTGTTTAGGTTTTATTGTGACTTCTGATCATTCAAATATACACTTACCATTCTAGATCTCGTTCTCTACAGGGTGAACCACTTATTAGTAGCAGAATTTTTGAATAAGTTTAAAAAAAAATTCGACTATTTTTGAAACCACCTGAACTTCTGGAGTGGACCACCCTGTATACGAGATCTAGGACTCTCGCTCTCACAAAAACATTCTCATCGGATCCGTTGTTAATGTAAATGCACGCATAATAATTAATTTATTTTTTCGTTATTACGATTCAAAAAATAAAACAAAATTGCGATTCCTTTTTGACCTTTTCGCGTAGGTTTTTTGTAGCTTAAATTAGGAGAAAGGTGAAACCAAAAGGGAATAACTCGCATACTTAAAAAAATATCGTTTTAAATGTGTCTCTCGTTTAAACCATTGCTTAACTTGTAAGCTATATACCAATATTGTTTGTATTATAATTTATTATAAATTGTAATAAAAATACACTTTTAAATTTTCAAATTGCCTGTTTATTTCGTTTTATCTCTTTTGTACTGAAAATGTTGTAAGTCTGGCAGATGTTTTCTGATTTGCACAGCTTTGAAAAAATGTGGGAAAGAATTTTTTATAATTTTTTATTTAAATGTATTTTATTTATTTAATTTTGTTGTCCTTGTTAATTTTTTGTTGTCTTTGTCTAATAATTAACCATAGATTATTATTTGATCTCTGTCTTTTTGATTTTTTTTTGGACATTGGCCGGATGACCCCTATGTATTCAAGCCATTTAAAAATAAAGAGAGAAGAATCTTCTTCTTGTTTGATTTTACGGTCTAAGCTGCCAGAACTATACAATCTAAAGAAGAATCTTTGTTAAATCTGTGGTTGCCCATGCTTAGGACCATAAGTTTAGAAAAGAAGAAGAACATTACTTTACTCTGTGGTTACCGTTCTTTTAAGCCCTAAAATAAGAAAAAGAAGAAGAACGCCTGTGGCGCCATTATAAAAAAAAATGAGAAAATTTTGAACTAAAATGTTGTCAAGATTGTTATTATTTACAAAAATAATCTATAAATCTTATTTTTGTAAGTAGAAAACGCACTGAATTGTTACAAACTCATGATAAATCTAATAAACAACTAATACACACTTTATTTCAGTAGAATAAACAATTTCTTTTGGACACAGCGTTCTGAGCGTTCTTTAAGCAGCAAAAAATGATCATGGCAGGGCTACATTTTCCGTTGTTAGCAGCAAGTTTTTACAATTTTTGGTAGAAAAAGTAGTTTTTCTGTGCACTATTTAAACCTTATTCTGTTCACTAACGCCTCTTTAATCACCTAAAATGTAAGTACCCATTATTTTGCTTGTTTTTTTATTTTCAAATATTTCAAGCTTAGATATTCTTCCAATTTTCATAATTTTCTTTTTCAAAATCGAGTATATGGAAATATAGATACATTTCTTGATGGTCTCTATAAATTTATTTAGATTATTGCTTTAAATTTAGAAACAATTGGTATTTTTTCGGCCTGTTTTTCTTGGTAGAGTTAAAAGATGTTTATTCCTAAGCGTAATTTTTAGGTGTACATTTGTACAGGCAAACAAGTATTTTCTACGTCTTTTAGAATATATACGTCAGTGTTAGTATACCTAAAGGGACCCACTGTTTTCTACAATTACAATTATTATACTTTCAGAAAAAAGAACTGTTTTTCTGTCATCATATTTTAGTTAACAAATTTACATTGTTTTAATATAACGCTTTAATTATAATTTTCTTTTTTAGGAGCGTAATTAATAATACACACTCAGCACGTAAAGACCACCTATAAAAGATGAGACCTGCATCACCCCTTCTATACGTCTGATATTTGGCCATTATTCTGGTTTACAAAATGCTTTTTTATTATTCAATTTAAAGTAATTTTATTTTATACATTAACAGACTAACCATATTCTTAAGATATTTTTAATATTAATATGAAACAAAAAAATAAACACAATTAAATGTAATATTATTTATTTCTTTTTTACAGATTTTGTACAACATTTCAATAGATGTATACAGTTCCAGGGCAGTACATTTATCCTTTTGATGAATATTATGAACAATGCATCAGGGCTTATATCTAAAATGTTATTTCCTTCGGGTAAATATATTTTTACTGAAAGATAAAAAGACAGCTAATATTAAAATCTTTAAAAGAGCTAAATCTATTATATACAAAAAAAATGTTAAAAATTGGTTATATCTTAGTCTAGAAACAAGAAATATTAATATATGACCATTATATTATTATTTTGCTTGTGTAATTTCTTGCACTGACTTAGTTTTGATGGTTTCATTTTCATGTCCTCAATCATATGCCCTGAATTGCCATAATTTTGCTGATTCTCCTGGTTTGATTTCTGTGTTTAAATATAATTTAAACACAGAATAGAACACTTAAAAATCTCGGAATAATGACTAATTTCCAACTAGTTCCTGGCGCATTTGCCATTTTTTCAAAAAAAACTGACTTATCCACATAATTAATTTCTAGTTTTTCTAGCATTTTCTTCAATTAATTTTCCTGAGTAACATCGAGTCCAGAGCATTATAACTTAACGTGTATATAGAGTTACTTATATGGTTTTTTAATTTGTATTTTTTAACACTTTTTTAATTAGTAGTTTATTATTATTAGTGTTTTATTCTGCTGTTGTAATACCAAAGGTTCCTGCCTCCGTAATAATAAAAAAATTGTCAATTATAGATACAGCTAACTTACCTATGCTTTTTTTACTTACTTTGTATTACTATTAAAAAAAGTTCTCTGTGTTACGAAGATTTCTCTCATAATATTTTATGTACCCTGTCAATAGTAATCAAGCTTGTTAGTGAACAATTAATTATTTTTTTTTATTTTTTTTGCAGACCCAAGGCCCAAGACCTTTCAGAAGGGTAGTCAGAAGATTTATTTACCTCAACATAGACATCAGCATGGCCATCAAGACCTTGGATATACTTTTTACGTTACTCTTTGTTCATTAAATATAATAATATGTAAATAAATAATACCGTATGATCGAAAAAAAAAACGGCGTCCAGTTGGCTTGGAAATGACGATCGATGACATTCCCCCATATAATTTTCCATATAAAATTACAGCAATCGTCATTTCATAGCCATCGCTGACGCCGTTTTTTTTTCGATCGTATGGTACTTAATAATAAATGAGTTTTATTAAACCAAAGTATGCATAGTAGAATACTGTTTGATCCTGAACAAAAAGAAAAAAGTCATTTAATTATGACAAAAATAATAAATTAATATGTATATATTACATATATATACATATTATCATACATTATCGATAAATCCATAAATCAATAAATCGATCAATCAATAAATTGATAAATCGATAAATCAATAAATTGATATATCAATAAATCGATAAATCAATAAACCAATAAATCCATAAATGAATAAATTGATTGTTCTAAATTAATAATAATTCTTCTAAACATACATTTTTTACATAAATCGATAAATCAATAAATCGATTAATCAATAAATCCATAAACCAATAAATCCATAAATTAATCAATCGATAAATACATATATCGATAAATCAATAAATTAATAAATCGATAAATCCATAAATCAAAAAACGATAAATCAATAAATTAATCAATCAATAAATCTATAAATTAATAAACCAATAAATCCATATTTTACATAAATCGATAAATCTTTAAATAGATAAATCAATAAATCGATATCTCAATAAATTAATAAATCGATAAATCAATAAATTGATAAATCGATAAATCGAATTTTCTAAATTAATAATAATTTTTCTAAACATACATTTTTTACAAAAATCGATAAATCAATAAATTGATAAATCAATAACTAAATAAATCGATAAATCAATAAATTAATAAATCGATAAATCAAAAATCAATAAATCGATAAGACAATAAATCAATAAATCGGTAAATCAATAAATTGATAAATCCATAAATCGATAAATCAATAAATCGATAAATCAATAAATTAATAAATCGATAAATCAATAAATTAATAAATCGAATTTTCTAAATTAATAATTTTTCTGAACATACATTTTTTACATAAATCGATAAACCAATAAATCGATTAATCAATAAATCAATAAATCCATAAACCAATAAATCCATAAATCAATAAATTAATCAATCGATAAATACATATATCGATAAATCAATAAATTAATAAATCGATAAATCAATAAATCAAAAAACGATAAATCAATAAATTAATCAATCAATAAATTAATAAACCAATAAATCCATATTTTACATAAATCGATAAATCAATAAATCGATAAATCGATATCTCAATAAATTAATAAATCGATAAATCAATAAATCGATAAATCAATAAATTAATAAATCGATAAATCGAATTTTCTAAATTAATAATAATTTTTCTAAACATACATTTTTTACATAAATCGATAAATCAATAAATTGATATATCAATAACTAAATAAATCGATAAATCAATAAATCGATAAATCCATAAATCAATAAATCAAAAAAACGATAAATCAATAAATTAATCAATCAATAAATCGATAAATTAATAAACCAATAAATCTATATTTTACATAAATCGATAAATCAATAAATAGATAAATCAATAAATCGATATCTCAATAAATTAATAAATCGATAAATCAATAAATCGATAAATCAATAAATTAATAAATCGATAAATCGAATTTTCTAAATTAATAATAATTTTTCTAAACATACATTTTTTACATAAATCGATAAATCAATAAATTGATAAATCAATAACTAAATAAATCGATAAATCGATAAATCAAAAATCGATAAATCAATAAATCAATAAATCGATAAGTCAATAAATCGATAAATCAATAAATCGTTAAATCGGTAAATCAATAAATTGATAAATCCATAAATCGATAAATCAATAAATTAATAAATCGATAAATCAATAAATTAATAAATCGAATTTTCTAAATTAATAATTTTTCTAAACATACATTTTTTACATAAATCGATAAACCAATAAATCGATTAATCAATAAATCAATAAATCCATAAACCAATAAATCAATAAAATAATCAATCGATAAATACATATATCTATAAATCAATAAATTAATAAATCGATAAATCCATAAATCAATAAATCAAAAAACGATAAATCAATAAATTAATCAATCAATAAATCAATAAATCGATAAATTAATAAACCAATAAATCCATATTTTACATAAATCGATAAATCAATAAATAGATAAATCGATAAATCAATAAATCGATATCTCAATAAATTAATAAATCGATAAATCAATAAATCGATAAATCGATAAATCAATAAATTAATAAATCGATAAATCAATAAATTAATAAATCGATAAATCCATAAATCAATAAATCAAAAAACGATAAATCAATAAATTAATCAATCAATAAATCGATAAATTAATAAACCAATAAATCCATATTTTACATAAATCGATAAATCAATAAATAGATAAATCAATAAATCGATATCTCAATAAATTAATAAATCGACAATAAATCGATAAATCAATAAATCGATAAATCAATAAATTAATAAATCGATAAATCGAATTTTCTAAATTAATAATAATTTTTCTAAACATACATTTTTTACATAAATCGATAAATCAATAAATTGATAAATCAATAACTAAATAAATCGATAAATCAATAAATCGATAAATGAAAAATCGATAAATCAATAAATCAATAAATCGATAAGTCAATAAATCGATAAATCAATAAATCGTTAAATCGGTAAATCAATAAATTGATAAATCCATAAATCGATAAATCAATAAATCGATAAATCAATAAATTAATAAATCGATAAATCAATAAATTAATAAATCGAATTTTCTAAATTAATAATTTTTCGAAACATACATTTTTTACATAAATCGATAAACCGATAAATCGATTAATCAATAAATCAATAAATCCATAAACCAATAAATCCATAAATCAATAAATTAATCAATCGATAAATACATATATCGATATATCAATTAATTAATAAATCGATAAGTCCATAAATCAATAAATCAAAAAACGATAAATCAATAAATTAATCAATCAATAAATCAATAAATCGATAAATTAATAAACCAATAAATCCATATTTTACATAAATCGATAAATCAATAAATAGATAAATCGATAAATCAATAAATCGATATCTCAATAAATTAATAAATCGATAAATCAATAAATCGATAAATCAATAAATTAATAAATCGATAAATCGAATTTTCTAAATTAATAATAATTTTTCTAAACATACATTTTTTACATAAATCGATAAATCAATAAATTGATAAATCAATAACTAAGTAAATCGATAAATCAATCAATTATTAAATCGATAAATCAAAAATCGATAAATCAATAAATCGATAAGTCAATAAATCGATAAATCAATAAATCGTTAAATCGGTAAATCAATAAATTGATAAATCCATAAATCGATAAATCAATAAATCGATAAATCAATAAATTAATAAATCGATAAATCAATAAATTAATAAATCGAATTTTCTAAATTAATAATTTTTCTAAACATACATTTTTTACATAAATCGATAAACCAATAAATCGATTAATCAATAAATCCATAAACCAATAAATCCATAAATCAATAAATTAATCAATCGATAAATACATATATTGATAAATCAATAAATTAATAAATTGATAAATCCATAAATCAATAAATCAAAAATCGATAAATCAATAAATTAATAAATCGATAAATCAATAAATTAATAAATCGAATTTTCTAAATTAATAATTTTTCTAAACATACATTTTTTACATAAATCGATAAACCAATAAATCGATTAATCAATAAATCAATAAATCCATAAACCAATAAATCCATAAATCAATAAATTAATCAATCGATAAATACATATATCGATAAATCAATAAATTAATAAATCGATAAATCCATAAATCAAAAAACGATAAATCAATAAATAAATCAATCAATAAATCAATAAATCGATATCTCAATAAATTAATAAATCGATAAATCGATAAATCAATAAATTAATAAATCGATAAATCGAATTTTCTAAATTAATAATAATTTTTCTAAACATACATTTTTTACATAAATCGATAAATCAATAAATTGATAAATCAATAACTAAGTAAATCGATAAATCAATCAATTATTAAATCGATAAATCAAAAATCGATAAATCAATAAATCGATAAGTCAATAAATCGATAAATCAATAAATCGTTAAATCGGTAAATCAATAAATTGATAAATCCATAAATCGATAAATCAATAAATCGATAAATCAATAAATTAATAAATCGATAAATCAATAAATTAATAAATCGAATTTTCTAAATTAATAATTTTTCTAAACATACATTTTTTACATAAATCGATAAATCAATAAATCAATAACTTAATAAATCGATAGATCAATAAATCGATAAATCAATAAATCGATAATTCAATAAATCGATAAATCAATAAAATAATAAATCAATAAATCGATAAATCAATAAATTAATAAATCGATAAATCAATAACTTAATAAATCGATAGATCAACAAATCGGTAAATCAATAAATTGATAAATCAATAAATTAATAAATCAATAAATCGATAAAGCAATAAATTAATAAATCGATAAATCAATAAATAGATAAATCAATAAATCGATATCTCAATAAATTAATAAATCGATAAATCAATAAATCAATAAATCGATAAATTAATAAATCGACAAATCAATATATCAATAAATCGATAAATCAATAAATCGATAAATCGTCAGGAGAAAAACAATATTTTTTGGTGCAAAATGTTCATTTTTGCCGAAAATTTTTTTGTCTCTGGTAGGAGTTACAATTAGTGGTATTATTAGATCAAAAAAGAAGAGTAGGGGATTCGCTCATGATTCGCTGTTCGCACAGACAGTTTGAAATCGACAAGAAACTGCATTATTTGAGACGTGCGCATTAACACCGGTTTGGAAGAAGTCACAAACATGTTGCGAACACGCTGTGAGAACAAACCGAATATCTCACTGCTCAATCCCGACATAAAATAAGTATTTATATAAATAACAAGAGGCGACGCTTGCAATTCACCCTGTAAATGCTTGGAGTTATAAACTCGGGAATGTTTTTTGTTACTTTTTTCGATTTTGAAAAAATATTTCCTTGTATATTAATAAACGAAAGTCAATGCGAGAACGTAGTAAAAAATAATTTAGAGAACAATAAACGAAAAGAAATAAAAATAAAAATTCGTCTTTTTATTAATTCGTTAACAACATAACAATAATAATATAATACACTTTAAAAAATTAAATTAACCATTTAAAAAATAATTCACTTCGGCCCCAACATCTCTTCGGGCTTCACCCACTCCTTGAACTGTTCCTCAGTCAAAATTCCCAACTTAATAGCCGTCTCTTTCAAGGTGGATTTCTCCTTGTGAGCCGTCTTGGCAATCTGAGCAGCCTTATCGTAACCGATATGCGGATTCAGAGCTGTCACCAGCATGAGACTCTCGTGCAAAAGCTTCTCGATTCTATCTCTGTTGGCCACGATGCCATCCACACAATTAACGCTGAAGCTCTTGGAACTATCGCCGATGAGTCTGATGGATCTGAGCACGTTGGCCACCATCATGGGCTTGAAAACGTTGAGCTCGAAGTGGCCGTTGGAGCCGCCTATGGTCGTGGCCACGTGGTTGCCCATTACCTGGGCGGCTACCATGGTAACGGCCTCGCACTGGGTGGGGTTCACTTTGCCCGGCATGATGGAGCTTCCCGGTTCGTTTTCGGGGAGGGCGAGTTCGCCCAAGCCGCAACGCGGACCGGAAGCTAGGAATCTGCAATAAAAAATGACAAAAGTATGATTAAGGCGATTATAGCGATCATTATCAGATTATCAGGCGATTCTTAAAATTTCGACTTATGTATCTTAGCTTTAAATAAACTAGAAGAAATAATCTATTTTAAAAACTTTCATGTATACTACTGAAATGAAGATAATATATCTACGAGCGCTAACAACTATATGTTGGGACAAGGTCATATTTTGGAATTATTGCCCTGCTTTTTCAAAATGACTGAAAAATATATGTTTAATTTTTTAAATATAAACATAGCCATATATCCTAAACAACTTGACAATATTTTTATGAATTTGTAAATCAATCCATATTTACAGTAGCGGATTTTGTTCATAAAAGGACAAATTTGCCTGACAATTAAATGTTGGGACAAGTATTTTTAAATAATTAATATCATAGGCGGCTTTGCTATAAACGTCACAAATGTCGCAAACTGTTTACTTCAGCATTGACAGCTTGTAAGTGACTCGATACTTTGAGTAGTGAGACTTACTGTAAGTAATTTTATTTTTTTTAATTTTCAATTTTGTTAATTTAATCCAATGTAATGGTCCGTGGAAAAGCTACAAATCAAAAACTACGCGAATTATCATTCGTCAATACAGTACGGGAAAAACAATTCGAAAAATTTCTGATGATTTAAGTATTCCAAAAACTACGGTATTTAATATAATAAAAAAATACGTCGAATCTGCCAGTGTAGGCGTTAGAGGTAAAAGTTCGGGAAGGCCAAAAGTTGTATCTCAGAGAGATTTACGAAATTTAGTAAAAATTTTCAAGTCTGCGAGAAATACTCTTCGCGAAGTAACAGTTAAATGGAATACTCTAACTGGATTAAATGTATCAAAAGAATGTTGCCGAAAATATATCCATAAATGCGGTCTGGGGTTTTACAAGGTACACTTTATTTTGTGTGGCTAATCAATTACCTGAAGATTATTGATACAAATTCTTATTTAGGCCAAAGAAAAACCGCTACTGACAGAAATTCAAAAGAAAAATCGCTACTATTGGGCAAAATCTAAATTATCGTGGACACAAAATGATTGGAATAAGGTCATATTTAGCGATGAGTCTAAATTTGATGTTGCGTTGGAGATCATCGAAAAAGAATAATACGAAATAAAGCAGAAGCCTTTCATAAAGATGGCTTAAAGAGGGTTGTTAAATTTTCTAAGGGGATTATGGCTTGGGGTTGCATGTCAGCAAGAGGTTTGGGCAAATTAAATTTTATAGATGGCACTGTTAACGCCCAAAAATATCAACATATACTTGAGACCTCACCTTTGCCTAGTGCTCAAGAATTGTTCCCAAATGAAGACTATATTTTTCAACAAGATGGAGCATCGTGCCATTCAGCAAAATCAACTAAAAATTGGTCGGGTAATAATAATATAAAAGTTCTATCCTATCCTGCAAGTAGTCCGGACCTCAATGTTATAGAAACTGTGTGGCATAAAATGAAGCAATATTTAAGAAACCACCCTCAACGAACAATTTTTGATTTGCGGACAAAACTGCAGGAAATTTGGGATAATCTTTCTCCTCAAATGTGCCAATCTTTGGTAAATACAATGCCATTAAGAGTTCAGGCAGTTGTTAAGGCGAAGGGTGATGTAACTCCGTATTAAACAAATTTCTTGTTGTGCTGCCCCAATATATAGTTGTCAGCAAATTTGGCTTGATTTTGGCAAAATAAGCTATTATCAAAAGCGATTTGTTTGCAAAGTTATAAAAATATAGTAAAATTGTCTAGATCATATTGTAATGTTTGAATTTAGAATAATAAACAAAATAAATTGAGTCGTCTTAACAAATTACTATTTTTATTGCAAAAAAAGACCTTGTCCCAACATATAGTTGTTAGGGCTCGTAAGCTGAATCTAATCTATTACAGCTGTAGTAAAATGAATAATTAATTCTGAAAAATAAAGTTCCAACCCTAGATGCATTTTTCGTAAACGCCAACTTATGTGGTTTGAAATTTTGATGCAAAATCCGGCAATGCCGCATAGAAATAATGCATCAACCGGTGTATCTTCTATTAAATTTTACCTGATATCGTTGGCGATCTTCATCAATGACGCAGCTATAACGTTTAGGGCTCCAGAGACTTCAACCAGCGAGTCGTGGGCCGCCAAAGCTTCGAACTTGTTTGGAGCTGTCACGAATGGCAACCCTGTAAGTTGGGATATTTTGGCGGCGCATTTTTCGGCGAACCCCTTCCTTGTGTTCAAACCGGTACCCACAGCCGTACCGCCCAAGGCCAGCATGTATAAACGAGGAAGGGTAGTTTTAACCCTAGAGGAATAAAAAAAAGATATTATACAAGGTGGCGCCACACATACGACGCGGAGGACAACAGTTTGTATTGAAATTACATTTTGTGAGCATATGTAGGTTAATTAAAGGCAATTTTAAAATTATATAGGGCGTCTCCAAAAAATTTACCCATCAAAGTTATGTGTTTTGTAATAGAACACCCTATATATTAATTGATTTTCGGATTCTAGGGGAAAAATAAAGGTTAGTTTCATTAGAGAAGCATATGATTAAAATGCAGGTTTTTTGACATAGTTAAGACTTTCTAAAAATGAAGAACAAGTTTTAAATCTCAATAAAAGCTATCTAAATTGGAATTTACCCGGTAAAGCCTAATATGTAGTTAAAATAACCATTGTACGTTAAATCAAATTAAAACTTGTCCCGAAAAATTAATACAGGGTGAGACAAAATAAATATTGAACATTGGTTACCTTTAAAAGCAAGTTTTTTTACTTTAACGAATCACTCAGTATATTATTCAATGGGAAATTCCAGTCTCTTGAATATACTATTAAGGTTGCCTATCCATAAAAAAATTTCCCAAATATTTTCATTTTTATGATTTAGTGTCACTAGATCTTTATTATTTTGATAAAATCTAGGTGCCTGTGATATGCCTGACGTTACTTCAACATAGTTGTCAAATTAGTTCAACTTTAACAACTAGTTATCATTTTTGTGTCAGTTAAAACAAAAAATACTAAGAAATTTGCTAAAATGGAAACTTTGATCCTATCAGAGAATTGATATGATTCCATTAACAGGTGAATGCAGTGTGCTCCACAAATGCCTCTTAACATGAAAATATTTTAAGAAAGGGAGCATTTAATTTCATCTAGCTAATTTTTGTCACACAATTATACTTTTATAACTAATTTAAATTCTGTAATAATTAAAATATGTTTTAAACGTGTGTATCTCTTTTTTTATTACCGTTGAATATTTTTAGTGACGCCCTGTATATCCTATTTAAAATCTTTACCTTTCGATGCCAAAGCGAACTTGAGTGACGTATGCGCTGAATTCCTGGCCCAATGTGAGGGGCACAGCGTCCTGAGTGTGAGTCCTGCCAATTTTGATGATATCGCAAAATTCCTTAGCTTTCTTATCAAGAGATTCCGCCAACATAGTCAGTCCTACAATACAAAATAATAGAGCCAATCAGTAAAAACCATAGTAGATAAATATACTATAAGAAAACACAGCTTTATCCAGTTATATTTACAGAGTTGTATTTTTTAGTGTGCATCAAAAAATAATATTGATTCGTCCCTCATTGAAGAAAAAACGGACACAAACGGAAACCAAACCAAATGTCGCTAAATTAAAATTTGAAAAAGAATTTATAATTTTTACCACGTGAAGACACTGTAAACTACATATTTTAAAAGAAAAAAAAATAAATTCGAATCTGTCTACTGATTGGGCTAAAAGTTACAAGACAAATCTTCTAATTTAATGACACTGGTTAATAAATTATAAAAACCTGGCATTAGGGTGTGTTCAATCTCCATGGCAACGGCAATGTGCATGGCAGTGGGGAATGTATCGTTGCTGCTCTGGCTTTTGTTCACGTGATCGTTGGGGTGAACTGGCGTCTTTGAGCCCAATTTCCCGCCGAGAATCTCGATGGCCCTATTACTGATCACCTGAAACGATGAGAATATTCTTTAAATAAAAATAAAAATGAATTATACAGTATGTCCCCGGATTATCTACACAAGAGGAAAAACTTTTTTATTATTGGTATTTTGAGAGAAATGCATTTATCATAAAAATTTTTGCTTGTTCTAAAATGGTTATACTTTTCCAATTTTCCATACCGTTTTAGAAAAAATTGGAAAAAACATGAAAATATTGTTAAATTTTTTTTAAAAAAAATATGGATATATTATATATTACTTTCTTATAAAGTGACTTTTAAAAATATAATTTTTCCACAGTTACACAAAATAATCTAATTTTACAAAATCGTTTATTGATATATTTCATGATTGTTACAAACAAAACTATTTCACAATTATTAGCTTTGCGTGTTTACATCTGAAATTAAAATCAAACACACATTTTTGTAGCAAAAACGTCCAAGTTTTATAATACTATACATTATATTTCACATCTTAAACCCGGTATTAAAAAGATAAATAGTTTATATCTAATTTAAACAAAATTATTATAACATTTATCACCAAACAAGTTATAAGCCATTTAAAATTACTTCTTACCTCATTTGAATTCATGTTCGTCTGAGTTCCTGACCCAGTTTGCCAAATAACCAATGGAAAATGATCACAGTACAGTTTGCCAGAGATCACTTCGTCACAAGCCTTCGATATAGCCTCTGAAATTTTAGGATCAAGACCATAGTCTTTATTAACCTCAGCAGCGGCTTTCTTTAATATCCCCATGGCTGTTATAACCGGGTACTAATAAATATATCTAAATTAAGCTCTAATTTTGGTGATAAAAATGTAGTTACATACCGGCATTCGTTCGTATTCACCACCAATGGCAAAGTTGATAGTTGAACGGACTGTTTGAGCCCCATAATATCTATCAGAAGGCACTTTCAGTTCGCCGAAAGTGTCCTTTTCAATTCTAAAATCGGCCTACAAGAAATGGGAAGGTTTCAAACACGACATCATAAGGTTTAATGGAGAAAATGGAAAATTTTGATGACATAACATACCATTGTGGCTTTCAGAATTAAATGGTCTTTGTGCAGCTTGAACAGCGCGTTGGCACTCGCATTTAGGCGACTGCCTACCAGACGAGAAAGCACCATTTTTAATAATTGTTATTTTATTATCACTTGACCTCGATCCCTCTCTAAAATACAAGAGAAAATATTTAACAATTTTTTTAAACCAGTTTGACGTTTCTTTTAACTTTTCAACATCCACCATTCAAGCTTAGGCAACCCAAAATACAAGTTCAATGTAATGACCTCTATGGAAAAGTGATAAAATTAGATTTATTTAAATTCTTATTTTTACCCTTTTTTACTAAATAAATAATTAGGTAAAGTTGGGTAAAGGTATGGGTAAAGATCATGATACAAAAAAAAAATCATACCAAAAAGCAATCATACCCTGTAGTTTTTTTAGACTATATGTAGAAAACATCCTGGTTATACATATAGTGCTCGAAGCTTTCATCGAACAAATTTTGTATCGAAGAGGCAACCAATTCTTGTTTACTCTTATGTTGTTTTGGGAGTTGGAATTTGATAAAAATCTACAAAAACATAATTCGTAGGGCACATAATCTTGTTAAATGGGTTTTTTATTGATTTTAACGCAAAATTAGTGAAATAAAAATAAATGTCTTGTAGAAGTTATATTTTCTTGTTTTGGGGCTTGGAAATTGATTAAAAACTACAAATACATAATTTGTGCAGCACAGAATCACGTTAAATGAGGTTTTTTTTATTGATTTCAAAGCAAAATTGGTGAAATAAAAGCAAAAAATCTTGGCCATTACATTGACTTAGAAAATGTCTTGTATAAGTTATAAAAAGGAATATAACTGCCTTGTTTTATAATTTATATATGTAATAAGTCTCTGTTTAACTAAATATTACATTATTACGGAAAATATCGAACAACAAAGTTATATTAATTGTAGATTCTGAAGGCTACCGAACCGCCACAATATTTTTGAATTCTATTTTAATTTATATGGGTTTAATAGGTCTGAAACTGCTTAATTAACTATATTTAATGATAATCTATAATTCCTTAACTATTTTAAAGCTGCAAAATCTTTTTTATTGCAAAAATCTAATTTTTATGATATTAAAAATTAAGGACAATGGGGTAATTAAAATGCGATATCTTTGTGAATTTTGCTTTATTCGTTTATTGTTTGGTATCATTTTATTCGGAAAACACGTGGCCACATTTCCCTGGTAGTAGTTTTGTCTCCAATGGAGCGTTATATTGCTAATTTTTCATTTAAAATTGAAATTTAAGTCATAAAATTACATAATTTTCCATCGGTAAAACAAAAGAAAAGCGCAAGTTGGCGCTCCCTCTAGCGTCAAAAATCGGGAACCGAGCGCCAAAACTCAATATTATTGGTCGTTTCGGTCAATTTTCGCCATTTTTAGTCGGACCGTTGGCGATGTAACATCTATGTCGGTCGCGTCTCCAGATTTGTTAGGGAAAAGTGCCTTTTCCTCTTATATTGTGCTCGGAAATCATGTGTAGTGTATAGTTGGACTCCTAGAAAGGGTAAGTTCGACCATTTTCCTACGAATTTCCCGGTATTTTTGGAAAAATCCGACCATCTAAAAACGGCCGGTAGAAGCGCAAGATCAACAAAAAAATTCAAAGCCACCTTTTTTTTGTTAAACTTTCCGTTTCTTTCTGTTTGCTTTTTTATACTTTCTGTTGCTATAAATAGTTCTTTTTTACGGATTTAATGTTTACAGTTGTATTAAAATAAATCATTTTCAGACTAAAATAGTTTGATGTATATAGTATTTTAGAAATAAAAACCATATATAAGTGAATAAATTTTAGTCAATCAATTTTCTGAAGAATATTTCTCATAGTATAGTGCATATGATATGATTTTTCTTAAAGATTTATACAATCGAAGAATACGTGTGCAATAAATCTTTTATAAAATAATCTAAATAGAATTTAGGAAGCTGTAAAACAGAAAAGTTATATCTGCCTGTATTTATACTAAATAACATTTAGAAACTTAATATAAGGTAATAATTAGTACTTAATATTTTAGGTAGGATTATTATTGATAGTTTTTCTGAAGCTAGTAAATTTTCTTTGCTAATTCATTAATTTTATTTATTTCTTAGAGACTTTTTGCTTTTCTTAAATCATACTGGATATTCAAAATCCTACGCCAAACTTTCTAAAATATAAAATAATTTTTGTTTTTAAATGGAACAATCTGTATATTATTTTTTTATTAGATGGAGAATTAAAAAATGATTTTTTTTGTATGTAAGTGTTTCAAAATTTTTTATTATTTCGCAGATACACGCAGTATTATTTCATATGGCTTTTTCAACGGTAAAATACGAGAAAAATCATTCGGTAGCTTTTATAAAAATTTACTGTGGAAAATGTTAAAAATTTTGAAATACTCTAAATACAAAAAAAATGTTTATTTTTTAATTCTCCATCCGTAGTACTTAGTCATCTAGCAGTCGTAGAGCTAAGTCCGAAGACACATCTGTCCATTTCTTTTTCATAAATCTAATTCAAAAATATTTCTATCTTTCCAGAACTATGATCGTTTTCGTACGCAGCGTGTGTTATTTGTGAATTTAGTCGGTCTCTGTTTTTTGATGTCCTGCTGCTAAAAAGTAATTCCAGGTTCTGTCGATCCTGATTACGCGTTAAATGGGATCCCACAGGGACCGTCGGTAGTTCCTGAGGAACCAGGGGCGTCCTTCTGCCCCCGCGGTGTGACGACGCTGCTTTTTACGCCGTGTGGCAGGAATCGCCGGTAAAAGGATGTGTAATGGAGGTGAGTTGAATTTATTTGGACTTTCTGTACTTGGACATCTTTACTGATTTTATTTTTATCGTTGTTTCAGTATGCAGATGAAGAGGAAATGTATTAGAACCATTTCTAAAGCATAATTATAACGGTCGCGTCGGTTCGTGGTTCTGGGGCTGTTCTAAGGCTTTTCACAGCATTTTAAGGCCACACTTTTTATTTGCGTTCATACTTTCTTTGATTCGAATCATATTATAATCCTTTGTATTTCTTATCGTTTGTAAAAATCACAAGAAATAATATCTTTAATTTTTTTCGAGGTGTCTATTTCTCAAAATAATTTATTACCCAATTTGGCTTTTACTCTGTTATGTTTAACTTATTATTGAAAAATATTTTTTTTTGCTCAAAGTTTAATGAAATATATGCAAAGAAATCGGATCATCAATTAACCATTTTCTTTTTTTCAAGTATTTTTATAACAAAAATTATTCTTTTTTATATTTTTATCTATAGTCTCGGTAGTGTTGAATGGGGAGTGCTAAGGTAATTGAGGTTCACAGCCTTTCTTATTTTGGTGTTTTCTGTTTAGCGTTATTTGGGATTAGATTCTTTCTAAAAATCCTAAAGGATATCATTTTTATTTTCTGTAATTTTAAACTAAATTTAATCACTCTATTCTAGCGTCTCTGTAATGTTGAATCGAGAGTGCTAAGGCAATGGAGATTCCAAGTCTTTCATTGTTTTTAGTGTTCACTTTTTAGCCTTATTTGGGATTAGGTTCTTTTCAAAAAATTCTAGAGGACCTAATTTTTATTTTCTGTAATATTAAACTAAATTTCAAACAATAATCACTCTATTCCAGTCTCTGTAATAGTTTTCTGTAAGGCATTGTCAAGGGATTAAATCTAATTATTTCTATCATCATTTTACTATTTTTTAAATTATTTTCTAATTGCATTTACATTTAAAAAAAGGTGTTCTATCATGTTTCTTAATAAACTTGTACGTTTATACTAAAACCATTCAAACTATTTTTAATTTTGTTCATGTTTAACATAATAAAACTTAAATTTGATAATTTTAAAATACTGCATTTTGCACATCATTAATTGTATTTTCTAGTAAAGTAAATTCTCGTTGAAAATAAAATTAACTTATATTTTCCTCATTTATTATTATTTAATCTCTAGAGTTCTCTATACAGATTTATCTCGTTAAAGACACCTAAATACCTTTCTTGTCACCTATAGTAGTAAATCTATAATTTTTGTGGCCTTGGGATGTCCGATGTGCAAGGTCTCAGTCGTAGTACCTTCTTCACTAACTGTGGCCTTAAGGTACTCTTGTCCTTAAGGCTGTTTCTGAGGAGGCACGACGATTGGTGCAGGTCTGGAACGAAGATTTTCTGGAAAAGGACAGTAGGATGGAGAGCATGGAACGAGATAAAATCAGGTATGTTATAAGATTTATTTCTTTTTTTATTACTTTCAACTAACGTATTTTTTCTGTTGTTTCAGGTTAGTGAGCGTATATTTTTGTGCCAGGGATGCACATCGTGGGGAATGCTCTGCAAAAAAACGTAAGTTTTTTTAAATGTACATTTTCTTGGTTATTTTTTCTGGTTTATTTGGTTGTTCGTTTATTTCCCTGGAGATGGCGTGAGCGCGGTCCTGCAGGAGCTAAAGTCACCTGTGGGGCCTCTCACAGAAGCGAAGCAGAGTGTTGAGTCGACCTCTGCAGGAGCTAAAGTCCCCTGTATGAGCGTCCTCACAGAAGCACGTTGGGTTGAGATCCACGGGGGCTAACGTCCTCTGTGGAGGCTCCTCACAGAAGCAAAGAACATGCTTTCCTCTCGAAAGCAGAAGAGGTCCATTGGGTTGTTATGTCTATCGGTCTTTTTATTGGGTTGTTATGTCTATCGGTTTTGTTTAAGAATGTATTTAATGTTCTTCTAACTAGCTCTCTTCATATTATTTAAGTCATATTAAAATCTAGAAAACGTCTAACAATTATTTTTATTTTCTTAAATTAAACATGTAGGTGTAGGTAATTTTCTTTAACTTCTTAATTTTTTTAACTGACTTTTATTTAATTATTACTATTTTAGAATAAACGCATGTTGCATTTTGATAACTAAATGTTTAATACAAATAGTCTAAATTTTCTAAATTTATTTATATATTTCCAATTCAAGTTCAGATATAATTATTCTAGGCCCCAGAATAAAGGGATTTAATTTTTTTAGCTTGCATAGTAGAGATTTTTATAGCTTTCTAGGTCACTATTAGTATTAGTATTTTCTGTAATTTTAAACTAAATTTAATAGAATAATCATCCTATTCTAGTCTCCGTAATGTTGAATCGAGGGTGCTAAGATAATGAGGATTCCAAGTCTTTTATTGTTTTAGTGTTTTCTTTTTAACATTACTTGGGATTAGCTTCTCTCTGATTTAAACCATTTCAAAAAAAAACTTTTATTAACTATAATTAATATCATTCTTCATATTATCTTAGTCAAATTGAAATCTAGAGAATGTCTAATAGATATTTTTATTTTCTTAAATTAAACGTGTAGGTGTATAGGTAACTCTATATAACTTCCTAATTTTTAAACTCACTTTCATTTACTTTTGTTTGAAGCTGTATACACCAGGTCAGAGTCATGTCGGAGCCAAATTGAGGTCTACACAATCCCTATGTATATGGTAGCCTTTTTTTGTTACTATTTTTTACAGGTATTGGTATGAACCGTAGAGGGAACCACAGTAGCCAGTTTGAGTCGATGCCTGCAGAATATTTTGGTAGGGTTCTTGTGTTTCATAGGTTCACATGGGTTGAAGTTCCACTACGTTTGAAGCAAGAATGGGAATATAATGATCAATAAGTACCAGTCTTCCCAGGAACTACTGCAGCCTACTTGATTCAACGCCTTCAGATGATTATTGTATGGTTCTTCTTGTATCTTATAGATTTACGTTGATTGAACATCTACTTTGTTTGAAGCTGTATGCAACAGGTTTGAGAGTCATGTCGAAGCCAAATTGAAGTCTACACAATTTCTATGTATATGGTACTCTTTGTTGCTCCTATTTTTTTACAGCAGTAGTTCAAGGTGCTCTAGTACTATCAGTCTTTGTATGAGTCTCCAAGGAACCACAGCAGGATCATTTTGAGTAGATATCGTTAAGGTCATCTGAATGTCTTACAAGTTCACATTGGCTCGTGTTCAGTGTTTCGATTTTTTCAGCTCCAAGCTCTTCAGGGACTAACGTTCTCTGTATGAGCTGCACTGTAGGTATTGTAGACTGGTTGTTGCATATCCTTTTTTTCAGGGCGCTATATGTGGAATTTTTGGGAAGGTAGTGTTGAGTGCTGTGAAGATATCAGACAGATTTTGAGTGTGAAAAAAAAATATTGAGTGTAAAAAATATATAGGGATATATATATACAGGTAAGACAGGGAGACGCGATATCCCCAAAGTTGTTTACAGCAACACTAGAAGAAATCTTCAGTCAACTGGACTGGACCAACAAAGGATTAAAAATAGATGGGGAATATCATAACAATCTAAGATTCGCTGATGACATAGTCCTAATTGCCAATAGTCCTGAAGAACTACAAGCCCAAATTAACGAACTAAATACAGCCAGCAGTAAAGTAGGTCTCAAAATTAATGTATCTTCTACAAGCAGAAACTAAAGTAATGTACCACGAACTAGTAGACAGAAAAAACATTCTAATAAATAGCACAATAACACTAGAAATATTAGAAGATTAAATATATTTGGGACAACTAATACAGAGCTCGGGATCTCTACCACCAGAAATCAACAGAATAATTAAGTTAGCATGGAGTATTTATGGAAGAAACTCAATCATATTCAAATCCAGAATGCCACTTTATCTAAAGAAGAAAACATTCGACCAATGTATACTACCAGTCATGACCTATGCATGCCAAACCTGGACAATTAAAATGGACTTTATAAGGAAACTGTAGGTCGCACAACGCTCAATGGAACGAAATATGCTGGGAATAACCAAGAGAGACCATAAAAGCATAGAGTGGATACGACAAAAGACCCTCAAAAGTCAAATCCCTCAAGTGGCAATAGGCAGGATACCTGGCAAGAAGGACGGACAACAGATGGGCCAGAAAAATTACAGCATGGTACCCACAAGGAATTAAGAGACCTAGGAGACCATGATATTAGGAAATTAGCAGGGATAACTTGAGCTGGCGTAGCCAACAATAGACAACAATGGGCCCAACTACAAAGAGATTATCTAAATATGTGAGGGATATGCTACACCATAGTGTTTGTTGAACAATCTGTTGATGATGACAGGTAAGAAAGTATCTTCTTACAGCTTTATAATTTTCTAGATTTTTAAATATGTTTTTTTTTATTTTTTACATAAAATCATCTGCATCAAAATTGAAGTGTACAAATAAAATATATTGGATGTCTAAGTACGAAATTATTTTATGAAAAAAAAACGTATAAATAAGTGGCAAATTTGTTAGTTATTTTGGTAAACAATAATATTTTTCATTATAAGACAAAATTCTAGTTTATAATTATATTTGTATTTTTATAGTCATTATATCAATACTAATACTTTTTTCTTTTTTGTATCAAACTTCTAGGGAATATTTATCGAAAATCTGAATCCAATTATATCTTCCTTCACCATAAAGTCAAGAAAATTTTGGAAAATCGAAAAAAGAAATAAATATATGGGCATGGATAGGAGTAGAAGATAAAATTTTGAGATATTAGTAGCAGCTATCAAATTATTTTGGTTTTTGAAATAGCTACTCGCTACGGTGAGAACAACAATTATTACTTTATATTATTTTTTAACCTCTTATTGTTACCTTTTCTTAAGATTTTATATGAGTATATTATTAATCTCTTCAAGTAACTAATGTTTATTTAATATTTCAGGTTAAAACTATGTTGGATGTTCCTTCTTGCAAGAATTTGAAGATGGGAGGCAGTTGTGTAGCGATGGACTTACAAAAAATAGGTAAGAATTTCATTAACTTATCTTGTATCTCCTAAACTCTCTGGTTTCTCTAATATATTATTTTAATGCCAAAATAAAATCTTCACAATATGGTGAAGGTTGAAAGATATTTTTATTTTTTATAATATTTTTTATGTCATAACACTACATATTATCACAGATATTATCCTTATATTATGCTTTGTGGTGTGGAAAATAACTGTTAAGATATCTTAATTATATAAATCATATATTTTTATATTTTAGATATGCTCAGAAAATCACATAATTTAGGTGTAAAGATATAAAAATCTTAAGATAGCAGAAAAATTAATGCAATATGTATAAGCCGAATGAAACAAGGTAACTATTAATGTTGCTGATTCTACAATTTTAATGGAATGTTATAAAACGTAGTATGAACATGATATGGAGCTACAGCATTTAAAAATTCCAAAAAAAGGAAGAAACCTGGACACACCTTTTTTAATTTTTCGAATTTTTAATAAAGAACTTTTTAAACGTAGTGTCTAGAGTTTTATTTCTGTTTAATTAAAATAATAATATAATATTGATAGCACTGAAAAAAACACAATTTGTTTTCTACTGAAAATAATTCCAAAATAACTTGCAATCTGGCAACATCGATGATGTGCACATGTGTAGCTGAGACTATTTGCAGCAAATAATCCCTTCAACGTCAGTCACCGTGTTCCAGAGATATGTTCTGTGGTCAGAACTGTCAACTGTCAGTTAGTTTTTCTGTGGTAGTTGTCAAAGCTTGATTTTTTAAACTGTTTGAAGTATTTTGAAATCGATTCATTTTAAGGTGTTAAAATATAGTTAAAATTAAAGAAAAAATATAAATTAGTGGTTTGTTTATTGGTGAATGTTAAGCTATTAAAATGACTTCAGATTCGGACGCTAATTTAGTAGAGGAGCGACGTTCTGTCTCGCCAAAGGACGACGTTACCAAAGAAAGAAGTAAGAAACGTGAAAATCGGTCTGAAAAGGGTAAAAAACGTAGTAGCAGGTCTCGTTCATCATCTCGAGAGAGACGTAGAAAGGACAGGAAGAGACGAAAAGCAGATAATTCGGACGAAGCTGTAATTTTGCCCAGATATTATGGAGATGACCGAAGAAAGGAAAACAACGATAGGTACTGGACAAAGTATCCAAAAAAAGACGAAAACGTGGTTGGAAAAAGGTATTATGACACCAAAAGCATTGACGAGGATAAAGTCAAAGGAAAAGAGCCCCAAAAAGATGCTCCTGAAGACAAATCCATTATCAAACCTCGGGAAAAGAAAACTGTTGACCTCCTTACATCTAAGACCGGTGGAGCTTACATACCCCCCGCGAAACTACGCATGATGCAAGCTGAAATTACAGATAAATCTTCAGCAGCCTTCCAGAGAATAGCCTGGGAAGCATTAAAGAAATCCATACACGGTTACATCAACAAAGTAAATACCTCCAATATCGGTATTATAGCCAGAGAATTACTACACGAAAACATTATTCGTGGTAGAGGGCTGCTTTGTAAATCTATAATTCAAGCCCAAGCTGCCTCACCTACTTTTACCAACGTCTATGCTGCTTTAGTCGCCGTTATCAACTCAAAGTTTCCAAATATCGGGGAATTGTTATTGAAGAGATTGGTCCTACAGTTTAAACGAGGGTTTAAACAGAACAATAAGACTATATGTATTTCAGCAGCTACCTTTGTAGCACATTTAGTTAATCAGTCTGTTGCGCATGAAATTCTGGCTCTGGAAATTCTAACTTTGTTAATAGAAACACCGACAGATGATTCTGTCGAGGTGGCTATAGCTTTCTTGAAGGAGTGTGGACAAAAACTAACAGAAGTGTCTAGCAGAGGTAAATTTATATGAAATAATAATGTATATGTAAGTATGTTTTATATGTTTATTTTTATAGGTATCAATGCAATTTTTGAAATGTTAAGAAACATTCTTCATGAGGGACAGCTTGAAAAAAGAATACAATATATGATTGAAGTAATGTTTCAAATCAGAAAAGATGGATTTAAAGACCATGCTGCCGTAATTGAAGAACTAGATGTGGTGGAAGAAGATGATCAGTTTACGCATCTGATAAAGCTTGATGACGTCAAACAAGCCGATTCAGACGAAATTTTAAGTAAGATAATTTCAAATAAAGCCAAAGTTAAATATTAAAATATTTTTTTATTTCAGATGTCTTTAAGTTTGACGATGACTACCAATTAAATGAGGGAAAATACAAGATTCTGAGTAAAGAAATCTTACAAACGGACAGTGAATCTGGCTCAGGATCAGAAGAGGGAGGATCGGATGATGAAGAGGATGATAGTGATGACGAAGAAGAGGAAGGCGAAGAAGCCAAAGCCAAAGACACCATTATTGATAATACGGAAACGAATTTGATTGTGCTCAGGAGAACAATATACTTGACTATACAGTCTAGTTTGGACTTTGAGGAGTGTGCTCACAAGTTGCTCAAGATGGAGTTGAAGCCTGGCCAAGAGATTGAACTGTGTCATATGTTCTTGGGTAAGTAATAATACACATGTAAAACACCTACATATGTTATATTGGGACATCCTGTATATTATTTTTTTATTTTATTTACCTTATTATTATATATTCATAAATAAGGTAAAAAATGCATTATTTAACTTTTTAACATAAATCAACCTAGTTTAAATGATTATTATTTCATTTTATTTAATTTAACAATTTAAAATTCGCCCAGTATTTCAGGAAGGAAGAGGGCTAGGACAAATCTGCATGTAGCCTCTTTAGTTTCTTAAAAAACAAGCACAGTAACGTCAAAACCGCATCTTTGTACTTTATAAAACGGCTATTATGACACCGTTTTTTTTTTGACTTTGCGATATATTTATATATAAAATTGTTTTTGTTAGATTGCTGTGCTGAACAAAGAACCTACGAAAAATTCTACGGACTTCTCGCTCAGCGATTCTGTCAAATCAACAAAACTTACGTGGAACCGTTTCAACAAATATTCAAAGATACTTATGCAACCACCCACAGATTGGACGCGAATAGGTTGAGAAACGTGAGCAAATTCTTTGCTCATTTATTATTCACCGATGCCATCGGTTGGGAGGTCTTGGAAATAATGAAGATGAACGAGGAAGACACTAATAGTTCCAGTAGAATTTTTATCAAAATTCTCTTTCAAGAATTGGCAGAGTATATGGGACTGGGAAAACTGAACGCCAGACTAAAGGACCCGTAAGTACATAGATAATAAGATATTAGATATGGTTTTTTCCCTTACTCTTTATAATAGTTATAGTTTTTTTTATTTATAATTAATTATTTAGACCGATTTTCTTTGTAGGACTCTCCAAGGCCATTTTGCTGGACTCTTTCCCAGAGATAACCCGAAAAATACTCGGTTTTCTATCAATTTTTTCACGTCCATTGGTCTGGGTGGTCTCACTGATGAACTTAGGGAACACTTGAAGAACATCCCGAAAAATCTGCCTGTTGTAACAAAAGAAGAGAGTGAAGAAAGCAGCAGTAGCAGTTCGTCCAGTTCAGAATCTTCTGATCAAGATAGTAGCTCAGGTAGGATAAATTTTGTTAAGTAAAACAACTTTTTTTTAAATGTGACACCTTATATAATATTGCATTCTTCCCTTCCTTTTTGATCACTTTACATGATGCTACGATATTTATTTATAATAATAACTATGATCAATAATTTTTTATTTGTTATCTAGAAAGTTCAAGCGATTCGGAAGAAGATAGAAGAAGAAGAAAGAAAAAAGATAAAAAACAAAGCAATAAAAAAGAATCTAAAAAAAGTACGAAAAACGACAGTAAGTCTAAAGATGAAAAAAGGAAAGATAATAAAAACAGAAAAGAAAGAAACAAAGAAGAGTCGGAAGACAGTGATAGTAACAAGAAACATGAAAGAAATGCCAGAAAAAAAGATTACCAATGGATGAAGAGTCGCTATGAAGACAATATCTCACAATTGAAGAACAAGAGAAGAGATTTTGAGAGGCCCAGATCTAGAGATAGGAATAGAGTAAAGGTGGAAAAGGAGAGAAGATCGAGGTCGCGTGAGAGGTACCACAGAGCGGATAATAACGATCACAGAGAGAGAACGAAAAGAGACAGGAGAAGAAGTTAGGTTAAGTTTATATTATTTTGTATAGCATAGAAATATAACATTTATTTTATTTCATCTTTTTTAGTCCTTTAAAATCATGAAATTTGTTAATATAAATCATTAACAGGTGTAACAGATTTTTATAATTAATTATATAAAAATAATGTAACAGAGTTTACATTCTAAAAAGTGGGTAAAATAGAAATATTATTTTGAGAATAAAAATTTTTAGTTGGAAATTTTATATGAAAATGTTGCTCTGTAATAAAAACATTGAGTGTATAAGGGGAGTTTTATTAAATTTTATATTTTATATACAGTGTGGCATAAAAGTAATAGAACTTTTACGCCTAAGCATAAAATAACTAAAATATATTATTAAACCGATATAAAGTGACAAATTCAACAACCATAGTTTGTTTATTGTTTAAAACATTATTTGTGACGTTTGAAAAAAAAAATTGCGTGTTCTATATTGTTCCTCGCCTATATGTCAAACGTACAGCCTGGCCACTAAAAGTATCATTTTTACTCCTAATAAAACAATATACTATTTTTTTCATTTATATTGGGAAAAGTTAAATAAAAATAACTATAGTCTAATACAATTGAGAAATAAATTTTCTTTATTCAAAAAAAGAACATTAAATAATTTAGATCTTCAAACGCGCACATTCAATATCTTTTTCGTCCACTAGCAGTTTGGGTTTGGCACACTGTCTTTGCAGGAGCTTCTTGAAGGTATCTATGCACACCATGCCTGTACAATCCATATCCAGTCCCATTTTCCATAATTCTTCGAAACTATTGCCGGGAAAAGTATATCCGATTTTCTCAAAAAGATTCCTGATAGTTTCGGCAGACCTAGGCTAACAAAATTAAATAATCTTTATGTTGCTCCCAACTTATCTGGGACACTGTGTATATTAATTTTAGATATAGATGTAGGTCTACAGGGGAGATCAATAAGTACAATACGTCGATTTTGTACGATAGAAATGAAAAAAATTTGAAAAATACCCAATCAGTTTATTTTTTCAATGTTTTTCATGACACTTATTAAATTTAAAAAATTAAGAACACCAATAAAAAATCGATAAAATCACTCAACTATTTTACCGACATCGACTGCACTGTTCTCCAAGCTTGGTCTACTACCGTTCTCGTAAAAAAATTAGGCGATAAAGTCAAAGATCCAAAGCAAATTATTAGTTGTATTATGTATATTATTGTAGTTGTGTAGCAGTACCATAAAGAAGTCTCTGTAGTTCAAGCCGTAGTTGGTATAGATACTGGGATTAACGACAGCCTTGGCTGACGTTTCTTCTCCGAGATTGTCAAGGTCGGCCCTGCAGCCTCCTTCCGGTACTATAGGTCTGGGTAGGTCGTTTCTAATGGACGGTATACCAGCAGGAGGCAGTACTATAATATAAATATTTATAATTACAACTTTATAAATTTTCCATCTGAAGATATGAATGACTTCTTGTAGTACATGTGGTAAAAAATTAAACAAATGTAATTTTTTACTAGAATAATGTGATTTGAAACAGATTTAAGACTAAATTTAGTAAAAAAATACCTTCATTGTTAATAAAAAGATAATCGCAGCTGGCAGCTTGGGATGAGGTGATGTAATATTTGTTCTTGTCTGGGAGATCTAAAAATATTTATAATTATTGGCAAGAGAATTTTTACTTTACACTTCACTTTAGGTACTTCAAAAAATACTACCGGGTGCGTCTCAAAAGCTCCTCACCCCTATCAATTTTTTATTTGTATAGTATATGACATAAATTAGGATTGCTTGGCGTATTCAATTGTTTTTGGTCACTTCCTGTTTCACCGGAAATGACTACAACTTTTGATTTTTAAATGGCACCCTCGGTATTTTTTTGCTTTATTCGATAGAAAATGACACTCTGAATAAAATGACATATTATATGTCAACTTTTAACATTTTCCCATATGGTCTATTTGAAATTGTAACAAGCGGTTCATAACGACAATTTGGTTCAAAATACCAACTGTGTGGACCAAATTAGTCCAAAAAATGCTTTTTCCTAATTTGCTAATGAACCACCCTTGTTCCATTTGAAAAAAATCTTTTATAACTGGCCAGAACAAGACACGAAAAACATTAGACGATCAAATCTATTTTTACAAGGTTCCTTGATTAAAAATGAGTGTTTTTAACACAGTCATGGCACTCTAGATTGAAATTTAAAATACGATTTTGTTTTAAGCAAAAATGTCAAAAGTTGACATATGATATGTCATTTTATTCAGAGTGTCATTTTCTATCGAATAAAGTAAGAAAAAAATACCGAGGGTGACATTTAAAAATCAAAAGTTGTAGTCATTTCCGGTGAAACAGGAAGTGACCAGAAACGATTGAATACGTCAATCAATCCTAATTTATGTCATATACTAAGATACCAAATCTTGTTTTTTTTATCTAAAAAAAGTGTGCCACTTTAGAGACGCACCCGGTATAAGATGTATTTCATACATACCATTAGTGATCTTAAAATCCGAAGGAAAATCTCTGTTTATGTCGATCATTTCTATAAATTTTCTGTAATTGATTTTCTCATTGTGGATATACTTGAGATGTTCGCACAGTTCCATGAGATCCTGCGTGGAGAACTTGATCCGACTGCAGGTACACAGATCGAAAAAATCAGACGTATTTATCCAGTCCGTTTTTTCCTGTAAAAACAATTTTTTTAAAAACTTTTCCTTAAAAAAACATCCACTTATTTTTTTTTCATATTGTACTGTATATAACCTTGTCAATATATAGTGCTTTCTGGAATAAATCATTCAAGTTGTAGCCTCTTCTGCATTTTTCCTTCAATTGTAATCGCAGTTTGTTCAAAGACGATACCCAGCGGTACACATCTTTTTTGTATATACTGGGCGATACTCCCGCGTCCTTCAATAATTCTTCCATCCCGAATCTTTCTTGAAACTTGTTCGTGCCGAAAGAGTAACCTTTGGGTACGCATTCAATATTTTTGTTGCTAAAAGACAGTAATAACAACAACAAATAACACGTTCTTCTAACTTATTATGGAAGAAACACATTGTTATTGTGGTGAATCAGTGTTTCATTTTGCTGAACCCCTAAGTGTAATAAATACTGACTTAGTGAGACTTACGGAGCTAATACTTTCCCAAGTATTGGCCTAGTTCTATCCAAATAATCGGCTTGTACTTTAGCAGCGTGTACAACAGGCCTTTTTTCGTACCAATCCAGGGCACATTTAGCCCATATGCCTCTGGGGTCGTACTTGGTTTTTGCACCGTAACATCTCTTAGGGTCGTACGCTGGACGATAGTATCTAAATAGATTATATTGGGTGTTTGAAAGCGGCGGAAAATGGTGAAATTTTTGAAAATAAAATCGTATAAGATAATTTTACGGAATTTTAAGGAGGACGTATTACCCTCTGTCTATTTTTTCTGATGGGTTATAGTCTCTGTGAGTCTTTTTGTACATGTCATGAGCAACTTGGCTTTCAGCCAGAACTTGGTACGGACCTTTAGATGGGTTCACAAGTTCTTTTACAGAAATATCTGAAAAAATAATAGGATCTAGTAGGAAAAATGTAAACACACATATATATATATATATTTTTTTTTTATTTATTTATTTTTTTTTCTTTATTTTTTTCTTTTTTTATATCTTTTTTTTATAATTTATTACATTTACCTCTTACGGATGGTGTACCAAAGGTAGTTCCTACAATATTCATCCCAGCTGGCAATCCTTGATTGGGATCTCTAGATTTACCGACATCAGCATTCCAGTATGAATCGTAGCATGTGTCTTTTAAGTCAGTAACCAGTTGCTGATATCTGGTTAGAACTGGTGGGCATAACACTTCTTTGATCTAATCGCAAGAAAATTTTGAATATATCACACAAAAAAAATATACATTCAATTAGAAAAAAAAGCGTTTCTATGTAATATGACCTAAATAAAAAAAAATAAAAACAGTACTTCTGTGTTTGTTCCTTTGAAATTCGGATTTTTAAAATTGGGAAGTTGCTTAGGGACCACAAATTCGTCCTCTTTCCAAATTTTTGCGTCGTGCTTCAATGCATCTATTTCGTCGACCACTCTTTGATGCTTCAGAGTTGAAGCGACATTGTCATTGTGATCTCCAATAGATAGTCCGGCCTAAAATGTATTTTTTTCTTTATATTTGTCGGGGTTTTAAAGTAAAATGATGTACGGGACATATTATCGGGGATCTGTCGATGAATTTTCCATGATTTCCAGCCATATCACTGAAGAAAAGGTCTTAGAAATTGGTACATTTATTTATAAAGATCGTTAATTGTCATAATCACAGATCACAGTCATAATGACGGTAGGTAAGATCTTTTGTTAAATATAGTGACTTTTTGCAAACAATTTTTAATATACCGGGTGTGTCTCAAAAGTGGCTCACCCCTATAACTTAACGATAAAAAAAACAGGATTTGGTATGTTAGTATTCAGTCGTTTTTGGTCACTTCCTGTTTCACCTGAAATTACTACAACTTTTGTTCGATAGAAAATCATACTCTGAATAGAATGACATATCATATGTAAACTTTTGACATTTTCGCATATGGTTTATTTGAAATTGTGGTTCGTAACGACAATTTGACTCATAATACCAAGTGTGTAGTACCAAATTATTACTGCGTTTTTCAAATTTTCTAATGAACCACCCTTGTTTCATTTGAGAAAATTGAGATATGATTAAAAATGCGATTTGGGCATCTCTTAACCGGCCTGTATAAGACATGAAAAACATTAGATGATCAATTCTATTTTTCAAATGCTCCATGATTAAAAATTAGCGTTTTTAACACAGCCATGGCACTCTAGATTGAAATTTACAATACAATTTTTTTAAGCCACAATGTCAAAATTTGACACATGATATGTCATTCTATTCAGAGTGTCATTTTCTATCGAATAAAGCAAAATATACCGAGGGTGCCATTAAAAAATAAAAAAGTTATAGGGATGAGCCACTTTTGAGACGCATCCGGTATATAAAATAAAATTCTGTGTTTTTTATAACAAATATATTTATTATCTTTATACAACATTTTTTCCCTAATAAATACACAAAAATAATTGGAAAATACTAAATATATCAAAAAATCAATAATTTAAAGCATTAACAAGTTTCCTTCCGTTTATAACTATTGTAAACACAATTCACAACTTAAAATTACAGTCTTTCTGATATTCAGAATATAAAATAAAATTTGCGAATAGGAACTATCTAATATCATCTGTCACAAGTTGGCAAATTTACTGGAAAGAACACGTTCAGTTCTACTAGAGAGGCGAATACTAAAAATGCTACGTACATGGCTAAACATGTAACACCAACTTTCCAATCTAACCTAGAAAAAGAAACGAATAGTTACATACAGGGACGGCAAAAAAGTCTGCGTTAGATGGTATTTTTTTCAAACGTCACAAAAGTATTAATTTTTGCGACGTTATTGACAATATAAAAATGTCATTTTAACGCCTAGGCATAAACGAAATACATAGTTTCTCGATATATAATTACTTACAAGGTATTACTTTTAAATCTCTTTATATTATTTGCAACGTTTGAAATTGTTTAAAAAAATATTTGTGACGTTTGGAAAAAAATAGCATGTTCTATTCGGAGTAAAAATGACTTTTTGTGCCCAAAGCATCATTTTTACTCAAAAACAATATGTATTTTTTACTTACTTAAATTTATTAAGGTAAAATGTCAGGTACAACAATACAAGCGTAGTAAGTAGACATATGGCGCTATAGTTAATTCCTTGAGAGTTTATAGTTATCCAGTGTTCGTGAGGCACCTTTGGATAAAACGCCGACTTTATAAACCAGGGGATTCCCAGACAAAGCAATATGTCAAAGGTATTGGATCCAATAGAACTGCTGATTCCCATAGAACCATGTCCTAAAATTGAATTAAAAAAAGGTAAATTTAATATACCATTGTACAAAAACGGCAAATTCAAAAAAATTATACAAAAAAACTTTCTATAATATACTGTGCCCTGTATATGATCTCTTCAACGAAAAAAGATTACTTCGAGAGTACATAATTTTTTGAATATTATCCGTCAAAATCAGACTTTATTTATTTATTTTTAGGCAAATAAAAAAATATACAGGGCACTTCGTAAGTATCTCAAAGGAAAAATTATGTATTTTAAATTTTACCTTGGTTAGTGACTATAACACTGGAAACTGCTTCGGGAACACTAGTGCCAGCTGCCAAGAAAGTTAAGCCCATCACTGAATCAGGAATATTAAGTGTATCACCTAAAAAAAAATAAAAAAAATCTATAAAAAAAATGTCTAAAATTATTTCAAAATGTAGTTATTAGTCAATTATATATCTGCCAAGTAAATTATCATAAAGAAGATTGCCGGATGAAAAAAAATAGTACGGTATGATCGAAAAAAAAAACGACGTCCAGTTGGTTTGGAAATGTCATCGATGTTCATTTCCAAGCCCACTGAACGCCGTTTTTTTTTCGATCATACGGTACTGGCTAAACGGATTTTTATTTTGTTCAAAGTGATAGAAATTTCATTATGTCGTAAAAACTAGTATGTATTTTGATACTTTGAAATCTTATTACCTATAACAGTTATCAACCAAGCTTCCAGATAGGATATGGCCCCAATCCAGAAAACACACATTAGAAAAGTCACTGGGTACAATCTATGGTGGTTCTTGCAGTTTGGTGTGGTAAAATACAAGACCAATGAGATGGGCCATGTTAGAACCCACCAACATTTTGCTCTTTTGGACTCCTTGCTAGGCCATTCCCAAATATTAGTGGATTCTTCTATAGAAACCAAAAAAAAAAACATTAATTTTATTGATCGAGGATATAAAGTGTTTTACTGTGTTTGACATAAGGTGAGGTACAAAAAGTCACTTTTACACCGAATAGAACATGCCATTTTTTTTCAATAAAAATAAAAAAAAAAAATAAAAATACTTGCAATTATTTCTGGGACATCCTGTATATCCAGAAACTATGGTTACGCTCGTCGAATTTGACACTTTATGTCAGTTTGATAATATAAATTCGTACTTTTATGCCTAGGCGTTAAAATGACTTTTTTTTCTGACGTTTGAAAAAAAAAATTTTTTTCGGTTTTATGTACAGGGTGACTCAAAAAGAAGTATCAACTTAATTTCTCTATTTACGTACCTAATTCTTCGATATCTTTCAACGTCAATTCGGAATCCAGTATTTCTTCTACCCCGCTGTTATAGCGATTTACTTTTCCATTCGATTGCAGTAGTAAGGGTTGATTTTCGTGCAATATCTCCCTGTAGTATCCTCTCCTCTTTATTTTAGCTGCTACCTTGTGTAGGTTCGAGCTAATTTTATTATTAAAAATCATAACTAGACAATAATAAGAAATTGTTTATGAAAATGATTCAGATTGATAGTTATTCAGTAAAATTGTTTGTTTAAAAGTAACGTACATGAAATTAGTCACCAAACGAAAGAGTATAAATTATTAAAACACTAGGTATATAAGTAACTATTTTTAAAACCTCTAGCTAAAATTCACGTAATTCAAGTCCTAAGTAACCATCAAGAAAAAAATATTAAAAAAAAATTAAAAATGAAGTGGTAGACTAGTTACTGTAAATTATCTTTTTATACGGTATAAAAAAATACTTACTTATGACATATATTGAGTAAACTAAGACTAGAGTTAAAGCTTCATAGTAATATATCTTTCCATCTTGGAGGAAGACAATGAGTAATACTACTGAACAGCCATATACGGCACTATCACGTGTCACGGAATACCATTCCAACTCTAACACCTGTAAAACACAATAAAATCATAAAAAATATTTTGCAACACTGCACAAACCAAAAAAATACGAAAATATAATTTTTATTTATGTTGGTTACAAGATACCAAAAAAGAGTAAGGTGTCTAGTTGTATCATGCTCTAAGATTGAAATGTTTCTTTGACAAAGTTATTGAAGTTTTTTTTTTGAAAATTGTAGTTACCATATTGGCGAAAAGGCCACAAACTGCTGGTACAGCCAAAATATTAAAAACGGCAGAACCCACGATGGTTCCTACCCCGAGATCACCCTGTGTAATGAAGGTACCAATACTGTTGATGAATATCTCAGCACTAGAGCTAGCTGTAGCCATGAATGTAGCTCCGGCAACATCTTCTTTCATATTCAAACCTAAAAAAAAATAACTATACTAAGTAGTCCTGCTATTATAAAGTTGATCATCCAGTAAATACTTACCGTTACATATTTTCTTGATAGAGGGTACGAAGTACTCCTCACAAACAACTGCTAGGAATATGAACAGGTAGCATGAGAGCATGACGTGTATGAGGACCCATCCATGTCTTCTGTCTTCTCTGGTAAGGCCATCAGAGGGGAACTCGTGAATAGCTGCAGGAGTACAGTTGGCATCGAGCTCAGTACCGTTTTGGTTGTTTAAAATTGGGTCCTTTTGGTAAGATGGTTCAGTACTGTTCAGATCTATGCCAAGCAGATGACGGTAGACACCATTTGCAGGCTTGGGTACTGTAAAAACAAACAGATTTTTATTATTAACTTGAATAATGAAATTTTAATCAAAATTGCAAAAAATCATTATGTATTTTCTCTCCCTGTACCCCAAATATAAGAGATAATCTATTCAAGATATTTAAAAAGAGTAAATGGTAAAAACCACCCCTTAAAATATTTGCACTTATTTCTGAGACACCCTGTATATTACTTATAGTTTTATTAAATCATTACCCATTAAAGTAACTAACTAATTAGATCAATTGAATGCATTTTTTATTAAATATTAAATACAGTAGTTTACATTTGTATGTTCTCAATTCTCAAGAACGAATTGATAAGAAAATTTACAAAGTAATACCATTTTTCCAGACTAGGTAAAGATAATAATAATTATAATTGATGTTAAAAGTAAAATTTAATTTAAAAAATACTTCAAAATAAGATTATAGCAGATAGAATTAAGTCTGGCAATGTAATACTAGATCTACTACATTTTAAAATAAACAGTTCAAGAAATGAATATGTGTGTATTAAAAATTTGTGGCAATTTCGAGGCTCCTGTACTTTTTGGCGCCAGTTTTGTGTGTAAACAATACAGCGAGCATCTCCAGTCGTAAAAATGTCGTTTGGTTCAAAAAAGTAGTCTACTGAATTAATAATCATAATCAAAGAAAGGGTTACAACGACATTTTGAGTGGCAATGACATAATTTAACGTTTACAAAAATGTTAAAAATTCACAATAATAATTGTAAAACAGTCTGTATTGAATTAGTATTTTATCTAAGTGCGTCAATTCTGTAAAGTACGTACTTAAAACAGTTACTGATAAATCGATTAGTAGATTTTGATTTTTCAATATGAAATGACAAGATGTAATAATTTTATAATAGCCTTTAATAGGTACATTACAGGTTAATTAATTCTCTTAATTTATTTTTCTTAAAATATTTATCTATCAAACAAATACTAAGTAAAAGCATTATTTTGAATGTCGTAAACATTCAGTGTTGAAACTAAAAAAAAATCGTACTTTTGCACTCTATCTCTTGTTTTGATAATTCCGGTTTTGTTTTTGCTAGGATACTTCTAGGTATAAACAATTGTTAATTTGTTAATTAATTGTTTTAATAATTTACTACCCTACCACTTAATAAGTGCTATTAATATACAGGTTGTTAATTTGTTTATTACTCGCGGCAACAGCTTTATGGTTGAAATATGGCAACCTCGGCCCGCTCGTCGAGAGACGACGCGACGGGACGAGTCGACAGCTTAGCTTAGGCAGTGTTGCCATTCTGCTCCCCAATAAGTAATCGTCGAGTTAACAACCTGTATAAACAATTTTTAATAGTTTAAAATAAGAACGAATCACCTAAAAACGGAAATAAGTCAGATTCATTCATGAAGAGGAGCAAGACATTTCTAAAAACTTGGCGCCGGGAGGCACGTTTAGCCGTCCATACTAAAATATGTTAATAAAAAGTTGGTAGGCAGTTCTTTTAGTTCCAAAGTAAAGCAATTTTTCTAATTTTTTTTATCTCAAAAACTGCGACTTTGACTGATTTTGATGTTATTACAAATTTTGTTGCAAATACTATTCCTAATCTTAAACTGAAAACCGCGTTTCGCTAGCTACTGTAATTTTGGAGTTATGATGTTTAAAATTTTTAACCCCCTCCCATACCCCCTTACCAACCCCCCACCCCCACCAAAAACTAATGGCCAGATTCTCGGGTGCCACAGTATTTTTATGCCAAATTTGGTTAAAATCGATTTAGCAGTTTTTGAGTTATCGTGTTACAGACAGACACCATGAAAATATTTTGTATTTAGGTCATTTATGACCCAAAATAATCATTTTGAGTGAAATTAAAAAAACTTTTTTTTTGGCGATCTTAATAGCCTACCATACCTGTTGGTATGGTCGGCTAAAACTTATCGAAGTGAGCAAAGAGTTCAAGAGAAAATTGATGTTGAACTTAACGTAAATTTGTGTTATTTTTTTTGTGTCCTGTGACCGTTTGTGAATGTTCCCCAAAGATACATATTTTCCGAAAGTATAGTTTCTATTACAATTATTCCATTCCTAATCCTATTTAGCATGTTCTCCATGTTTTGCTAACTTAAAATTTGTTATACACACATAATATTTGATACAAAATATTTTTGTTTGCTGTTCTACGATTGTGAATTTCGCGTGAGTCAATATTAGATCTAAAGAGATTTTGCGTTCTACTAAATAATATGCATTATATTAAATTATTTTTCTGTCTAATCTTTTTCAACACATCTAAACATACAACATGAAATTTTCGAAAATCTCCTAATTTTATTCTGTATTTTCTTCATGTGCCTGTTATGTGTATTGTATGTTTGCTTTTAGTTTTTTGCTTTGAATATTACCCGTATTGTCAGTCAATATCAAAAAAATAGGATAATAAATTTAGTGAAATAAATATTTGTTTTTTTGATAAAGGGCGACAAATTTTATTTATTGTTATTCTTAAAAATTAAAATAAAATTGTTTAATTATGCATCAAGGGCGTTAGTATAAGTGTAAGTTTTAGAATTTTTTTAGAATTTAGAATGAGTGGGAGGGGGGTAAATCACTTCGACCTTACAGATCCATTGTGTCCCCCTTTCTTGAATCATAACTCATCATACTGTCCCAGGGCTTTGACAAAAGCCAGTATCTGGGACGGTTTTATAGAGGGTAGTTCTCCATCTCCAATATCAGTCGTACCAAAATTCATGGCACGAATGGTTGTCGTCTCGGCGCACTCAGTGATGAGGTGTACTGGTGTTTCCCCATCTTCCCCACAGAATCTGCATTCGCCGTTTCTTCTTAGTTTCAATCTACTGAGGTGTTCATTGGGGAGACAGTGTCCTGTTAAAAACCCCGTGACAATCCGAAGATTGTTCTTACTCAGACCCAGGAAGATCTGTGATTTTTCTTGATCATAAACCCTCAGAAACTTCTTCGAGTGATAAGTGTAAGTTAGTTTATTATGCATTAAAATTTAAAAAAAAACAATTATATTAAGAAATATACCTGGTTGGTCGATAGGTGTTTCAGATCTTCTATCCGCAAAACTATTATACAAAATAAAACCACAACTTAGAGCCACTACACAAAATATTCTAATGCCCAGGGCAATCTTTCTAGCCTTAGTCCGTAAAAGCATGCCCATAACTCGTAAAAATCTAAGCTTTTTGTCACCGAATTTTACTCTAAAATATTAAACACCCCACTAACTCCAACGAAACTGCACTATATTGACCTCTGCACCGAATTCATACACTGCAAATTCAGTAAAAACCTCAGATTATGCTCTGGGAGGATTATATAGGTTCCGATAGGTTTCTTATCTCGTCCTACCTAAGAAGAGTGGCAGAAAGCAATCGACAACAGTGGAAAATTATTGAAGATCAAAAATAAACATACACTCGGTCTTGCATGATTAGAATTTATCAATCAAGAGTGTTATTTCTGTATTGTTGTTGTTCGTTTTTCAGAGATATGTCATTTTTATTGGCTTCAAGACGCGAAGTCGATAAAATAACTGCACAAATGAATTACGCAGTACAAAAAACCTAATTTTTAAACTCAAAATTCTGTATTTTTTATTATTAAGAGTCTATTATGCTGTACTTTCAGGTCGCTCTCAGGGGTCGGGTAAAGCGGGTCTGTGGTCGAAGGAAATATATATTGTATTTCAAAAATCTGCCTGAGGGCTTAGCCCGATCCTGTTGTGTTAAGCCACACCCAAAATTCCAGACACACGTGCTTTGATTAAGGTTTGCAAAGCTTCAGCATTTGCAATAAAATAGCGAGCAATTTGTTACAAAACCATATAAATTATATATCACTGTAATCACAAAAGTTCAATCTATTTCCGTATTGTAACGGAATTTTAAATTATATCTTTATTTTCGAGAAAATTTAATCCAAACATAAGGAATATTTTCGTATACCCAGGTATATGTGTTCAACATTTCTTGTAACTATTGCTGTAACGTTTTTGCCACTAGAGTGCAGTCATAAGCATATTGAAGTTCTGTGATGAATTTTGTACGTGTTTTTGCCCTGAGTCTTTTTATGTTGAACAGACCGACATACTTACAAACTTCTTAACAGACCTTTTTTTATAAAGTACCTACATGTTTTGGTTCCAAAAACGACATACCTACACCTATTTTAAATGAAAAAGACAAATATTCAAAAAAAATCTCTTAACAGCTTCCGTGTGCAACTGTTTACCCAAAATGTCTTTTATCTTTTTATCTTCTAGATAAAAATTACACGCCACATTTGTAAAATTAATACACATCTGTGTGTTTTGAAAGATAAACGAACAATTTAAAAACAAACCGTGGAGAAACTCGAAAGCTGAAATTTTCCATTACACACATGAACTACGCTTTTATCTTCGTAGTAGTTTGGTTCAAGTGCATTCACTGTTCACATAATATTTATAGAGATGGTTATCACAGTAGATAGTATTTATAATCTTTTTATAATTTTATGTAGATACTCAGGTAATTTGGAATCCTATTCTGTGACAAACAAGTTTGCCCTAATATTCAACACAGAAGTTTGCTAACAAAAATTGAATGTATTAAAATGCTTTTGTTTTCAAAGAATATTATGCATTTCTGAACTTCGACCTAATAATCTACTGAGTGATGATTCAAATCCCTTTGCCCCCGATCCCTCGATAATTTTGACAAACAAAAATTATCAGAGTTAAATTCTTGCCCTAATATTTTATAAACATATTAAGGTCACTTTGTCCTATTTTAAGAGAAAAATAAAGAAAAAAATTAGATGCATTTTCTGACAAATCACATTACCCTAATATTCAGTAATGACATTTAGGAGATGTTGCCCTAATATTTCAAAGCAAAATGAAGAGAAGTTTTCGAAAATTGTGAGAAAAATTGACGGAGACCATATCTACTATACCTTAAAGGCATTTTAACTTATTCACACAGATATTTAGTACACTTTACTCCAATATTTTGTCCTGATTTTTTACAGAATGATTTTGATAACTTTGCCCTAATATTTTACAGGTAAATATAGGCCACTTTTTACAATTTTTATGAAATATGTAAAAGTAATGAATACTCTTGGTGGAATTTTAGAGAAATTTGTAGTTGCACAAGAGATCATTTTATCCTAATAATCTAGAGAGAAATTTAAGTTTCCTTGCCTTAATATTTTAGAGAAAATGAAGAGAAATGCATGATATTTTGACAAAAAGAAACGAAACGGTATCTCTCCTACTATATTTTGCCCTAATACTCTACAGATATTTCCGAGACTTTGCCCTAATATTTTAGAGAAAAATTAATAAAAAAACGGTATATTTTCGCAAAAATTGGGGAAAAAACTCCAGCTTTCAAAATTTTTCTGAAGTATTCTGATATTTCATATTTTTCCATAATACCTCTCATGGACTTTTGAGACATTACCCTAATATTTTATACAAAAAATGAATTAAAAAATCGGAATATTTTGAGGAAAATTGTCGAATGAAATCTCTCCTGCTTTCGAAGTCTTTTTGACGTATCCCACTGTATTAACACATTTCCCTAATACTTCAAGGATATTTTAGAGACTTTGCCCTAATATTTTAGAGAAAAATTAATGAAAAATCTGCATATTTTGACAAGAATTGGGGGAAATAATTCCTCCAGCTTTCTGAAGTATTCTGAGATTTCATATTTTGCCCTAATACCCCGGACGGACTCTCTAGACATTACCCTAATATTTTATACAAAAAAATAAATTAAAATCGGAATATTTTGACAAAAATTGTCGGATTGAAATCTCTCCAGCTTTCAAAGTTTTTCTGACGTACTCGGTGACAATTCCTACGTATATTTGTCAGAATATCACCTACGGTATGCGTTCTCGTTACGTACCGAAATTAGCTCTTTAACAAAAGCATCGCCGGACCCACTTGTTTACCGGGCCCGCTACACAATGGACCAGTTATAGAGGCACAATAGTACCGTCCGTCGGTGTTCGTCGTAATCAGTGAGTGTTTCCTTGGGCAGATGAACACTATCGTCGAAAGTACCGTTTTTACAGCAGGGGGGTAGCTATAGTGTGTCCGTTCAGTACCAGCAAACATGGATTTTGAAACTCTGGCCGCAGGTACGACTCTCCATTATCCATCTTAAGTAGTACCACCAATTTTTACATAGTAAAAACACTAATTTTTGGCTAAATACTAAAAAAGTTAAAGATTCTGTTTTTACAATATTTTAATTAATCAAAAATCAATGAAATATATTTATGGAATAGTGAATAAGTGTAGGAAATATTATTTTTGACGACTGATACTGGCGGGTTAAATTAAGTTGTTAAATTCTGTCTCCTAAGTGAATGATTGTTCTCACAATGGTCTCTCTTTCTCCGTTCGATTTAAAAACTGACATCAAACGGCTGTATAAATATTAATAATATTCTGTAAGGATTTTTTCCAGAATTTTTTTCCTGCGGCTTTAATAGCATTGAAATTTTCTGGAGTAGATTCAGACTCGAGAAGCTCTATGATAGTTTTAGTAAATAATTATTGCAAACCAATTTCAAAAATTCATTCTACAAAAAAATGGTGTTCTTTATCAATGGAACTAACAGTCTAGGCACTACAAAAACAAGTCCAGCTGATTTACGAAATTGGCAAATTAGTCTGAGGGCATTTTGCAAATTACAAATACAAAATTTTTGCTCGTATTTTCCCTGATTTGATTGATTTTCACGTGATAAATAATACTATAATTTCACTGAAAATATACGTCTGGCTGTCATTCACAATCTGGAAAGCCCCGCCAGACTCAAAAATCAATTATTAGTTAAATGAGGAGAGGAAGCAGCACGTGGGTATGAATTGAGCGCACCTGACGAGCGTTGGACGAGTCTGGCAAGGCTTTGGGGATGTTCCACATCAGCCAGACTATATTTGTAGCTGTAATTATCATATAAATTATCATCTGACAAATTTTTTGGACTGCGAAAATAAGGGCAATAATATTTTTGCATTTTTTTTTGACGTGATATATTATACCTACTCACCAGTACTTAATACACTCTCTTACTTTATACAAATGAACATGCACTACAGACAAACAAACTATTTATGTCTACTAGTGTCGTTTTGGTTCTGTTCAATTTATTTTCTTGATATGTGTACACAATAATTAACCTCTTTAATTAACCAACTAACTTGTTATTTACTAAGCTTTATAAGCTTTGGATTAGTACCATAGACTTAGTTCTGTCAAATTACACATCAAAATATAGAATTTGTTTATTAATGTTTATACGTATATAGAGAAAAAAATTTTAAGTACTATGTTTACTCCAAAAACAGGTGAGTGATTTTTTGAAGTGTTGAAAAAAATCGCTTTGTTTTACCTGAAAATTTCGTTCACTCTGTATGTACTTTATGATAAAACACTACACTTAAATTTTCCTTAAGGTATCTATAACCAAGTTACTGTAATAAATAAGTAGTAAGTGTAATAATAAGATAGGAAAATATTACTCTGCTTAATTTCTACAAATCTACATTTTCATTAGTACCAATTATATTTCTATATATATGTTGTTTATAGTTTAAATGCTATTCGATGTTTTTGATGTTTTTCTTTGTTGTTTGACCATCTATGAAGATGACATCTGAAATATGTGTTCTTTCCTGCTTTATTATTCCTTATTGCCACCTGGAAAATAGTAACATCTTTGACCAGGCTTTCTGGAAAAGCTTTTCTTTGTTCAGCTCTACTATTCCAGCTACTACGATCCCAAATGGGTATTGTATAATAACTATTTATCAGTACATCATTTATTTTGTGCGTTATTCCTACGTGGAGACATAGGGTTTCAGTAAATTCTCACCAGCAGCGAGTTTGGTTCTTTAAAATTGATTTAACATCTCGCCATGATCGGTTTACTGTTTCGATCTCCTTTTTAATCATTCTTTGCCACGTTGTTCAAACTTTGAGAGTGTTGTTGTTTATCACAGTTTCGGCAGAATGGCAGGTCCAAAACCTCGTATGCTCAGGTATATGTGTTCAACATTTCTTGTAATTGTTGAACGTGTCATCAGCGTATTGAAGTTCTGTGAAGAATTTTGTACGTGAGTCTTTTTATGTTGAACAGACCGCCGTCATATCTGTATCTAATGCCCAATCATCTCTCCTGCAGTTTGCTGTCCACTATAATGGAGAGCGCTGCCATGAATATGTTGAATAGGAGAGGCTAATAAGATTTAACTTTCAAAAAAAATCGCTATAACTTTTGTATTTAACTTTTTGCGGTATTTCCTATATTTTATCTAATAATCAACCGTTTCCATACATAACAGCGGACCCTGTATAAGAGAATATCCACTGATAAAATAAAAAGTGACGCAGTTCTCTTCGTGACGTTAACTCAGAAAGAATTAAGAGTGACGTGTACGTCGTTGTGGGAAGAAAAAATACAACGAGAAGAGTTAAATGCACATTTGGCCTGATCAAGAGAGGTCATATGCTCCTGGACGATGGCCAGTTAAGCGTTTCCCGCCCGCTGCGTGACGAATAAGCGTTTGCGTCTTATTAAAACCACCGGAACCCCAAATTAACGCGGCCTATTGGTACAAATTTATATCTTCAAATAAATATTTGTTTATCACGCGACACGCCGTATCTGAGAGACAAACTACACGTAAAATAAAGAGGGAACAATGATAATTCTTCTAAAAATTGTTATTCTTAAATTCCGTAAATTGAATCTCCTGTTTATTATACAGGGTGTTCCAATATTCCGTAAAAAATTGGATTATTGGACACGATTTATCTCTATACAAAAGTGCTTAGTTTGTCTGTAGAGGGCATCAAACGTTAAAAAAATAAACACATTTCTTCAAATATTTTGAAAACCATTATTCCGATTTGAATGAGATTTGTGGTGCCTGTTTTGCTAAGCGCTGTAACATTTTTTGACTGAGGTTGAAAACTACCTCTACCACTACATAAATTTTAGTAGAAATATTTTCCAATTTCTGATTTTTTTTTCGTAAAATTAAACTACATTTTTAGTGTTTTGTCAAATATTTATATTCACATGAAGCTTTGAAGGCGCATAAAATCTAGTATGTGCTAATAAATTAGTTAGCGAAAATATCGAATGTTATAATATATAAATTTTAAATTGATTAACTTTCAGTTTTTTTATTGATGCCCTCTAACGGATAAACGAAGACAACTTTTGTAATACTGGTACATTATTATACTATATTTGTACACTATTAGGTAGTACGTAGAAAGTTACCCTGATCAGCAATTTTTTTAAATTTTATTTGTTGTTTAAATAAAATAAAACACAACGGTTAATTGGAGATATTAAAAAACTATATACCTTCCAACGTAAAGTAGTTATTTCTATTTATATAACAAAACATTACCTAGGATGTCATAAAATACAAAAGGGACTATGGTATTCTATAGCACATGCCCTCTAATTCAATTTATATCAAAACAAAAAACTTCGGTTTAACAATGATTCTGTTAAATGGTATAGCCAAGGCGCACCCATATAAACTATAACTACAAATTAGTGATAATTATAGATGAATTGAATTTACTGTAATACTTATAATTCGTTCTAGGATACTCTTTAAATCAAAAGAAACCTAATTTCGTCAATTTTTTATGCTCAGTAACAAACCCAATCGAGTGCCTATACAGGGTGTCTCCTGAATAAGTGCAAGTACTATTTTTTAAGGGACGGTAAATCCGAAGACAAAAAACATATTTTCTACTTACTATTTTTAAAACAATATTTTAGTATGTTTTATTTATATTTTTCTGTTGCAGGACTTAATTGCACACCCCCAGCGATAGACGACTTCCCATCTGATCTGCTGTCGGAAGATGAACGAAGGAAAGGCGCCATTTTAGTTCATATCTTAGTCTCTCTATATCTATTCGTAGCCTTAGCGGTAGTCTGTGATAATTACTTTGTGCCGGCAGTCGAGAAAATATGCCACGGTAAGTACTCTACTTTTCAAAGTTTTGACATTGTTCTGAAAAGTCTGAAGTCTTTGACATTGTTCTGAAACATTTATAAATGTTTATTTTAAACAATAAGACTGACAATGTAATTTGTATACTTGTTTTGTATTCTCTTTTGTTTGTTTACTTTACCTTTGTCTACAAATTGTAAAATTTCTTGACAATTGACAATAAAGGCATTTATTTATTATGTAGAATTAAAGAGAATGTCAACCCAAGAAGCTACATTTTCTCACAATTCACCATTTTGTTTATTTTCAAACAATTGTTAATGACGAATCTCAATTTCTATTGCATTTCATTGGTTTCAGCTCTGAATATGTCAGTGGACGTAGCAGGGGCTACTTTCATGGCTGCTGCAACTTCAGCCCCAGAACTTTTCGTCAATGTTATTGGAACCTTCATCACAGAAGGTGACATCGGTGTCGGAACCATAGTAGGGTCTGCAGTGTTCAACATACTGGCAGTTGCAGCGTGTTGTGGGATCAGCGCTGGTATGGTAAGTCATGTAATTTGACAGTATGTAATGGAGCTTTCATCAGCTGTTCAATAATAATTTATTATTAAAATATTCATGAAAAATTAAACGAGCTTATTTGTTCTTTTAGTGCGGTGTCAAAGTGATTCCTTTGGATTGGTGGCCACTTACCAGAGACTGTCTAGCCTATGGGATAACGGTATCCATACTGATTTGTATAATCCACGACGAGAGGATCGAATGGTACGAAGCTTTGATATTGGTCCTGCTCTACATTATTTACATTTTGATAATGTACTTCGATAAATCTATTCAGAAATGGGCTAGAAGTAAGTAGGTACTATACTTAGATTAAGCAATTAATCTTCTACAGACTGCAGACAAGCTTAGCTAAACTTTGCTTGAAAAATCATCAAAATCAGTCCACTAGAACAAAATATATTGTCAGTGTATAACTGAATGAACCTTTTTATTATAAACTTGGCTCCATTATTAATATTTTTAACTATTTTAGGAGGTATTAAACATTTAAAGGGATCGAAACAATCAAAAATAGTCTCTATATCTCAAGAACACTCCGTTGTTAATAATAGCTCAGGTAATACCCATATTTTTTTTTCTAAAGTTAATTCAGAAATATTAATATTTTTTACAGTAAATGAATCCTACAACCCAAAATCCGAGGAGATCAATAACGATAACAATATTGTTAATGATATAGACACGAACAACAAACAAAGTCATTTGAACGGATCAGTAAAAGGCAACTCAGAACAATTAGAAATGAAGAGCGAAATCAAACTGGAACTGAGCAGCAGAGACACAGAAGAGCAGTTGCCATTTTGGAAATGGCCTTCCGAAAACGGCACCTTTAGACAGGTAATAGGAACTATAGTTTTTCTCGTGTAATTTTCCTTCATTTTGACATTTGACATGATGTATGGTAACCTTTTGGTTCGAACAAAATGTACCTAGATAGTGGGCGGGATTTTTCTGAAGAGTTTTTTCACCACGTTTTTTTTTATTTAGTGTTTATTTGTTTCTATTTTTTCAAAATTCATTTCTTTTCTATTGATTAGTTAATGTGGATTGTTACATGGCCCATTCGCTTGGTTTTCTTTTTGACCATACCCGATTGCGAAAAGCCCAAACTGAAAAAATGGTTTCCAATAACGTTTTTGATGTGCATCATATGGATTGGATCGTTATCATACATTGTCGCTTGGATGATCACCATTATTGGTAAGTACAAATAAGAACTCATTATTGATGTTAAAATACCCTGTACAGGGTGTTATTACTTTGTATACTCTGTTATCATTTATTATCACTGAAATGCAGATTGCGTTAATTGAAAATAAAATAAATGTAGTATAATCAAAAATATACTAGTTATTTACACATAGGAACTGCATAAGATGAAATCAATCGGCAAGGGTTATCATTGGAAAATTTTTGAGCTTTATCGTCTTCTTTTTTTCTCGTTCAGTGTTGCAATTCAATCAGTAGAAAACATTCAAAAATACAATAAATATTCTGGATATGTATCATCTATCGTGTTATTTTGTAGGATATGTCACTGAACACTAATATTTTAAGTTATTAACAATTTCTATGTTGTTATTTTCATATATAAATTGTGTTTTGTTAAATATTTCTATAAATAGTTAAAGATATAATATTTTAGTGCTTAATAATATATTAATTTCTTAATGTAAACATTAAATTTCAGGTGATACTCTAAGAATTCCAGACTCAGTGATGGGAATAACGTTCCTGGCTGCAGGAACTAGCGTTCCAGAAGCTGTTTCCAGTGTCATCGTTACTAGACAAGGTCTGCATAGTATCTGCCATTGAATAAAAAGACTCAGAAAGGTGTAATATTTAAAAAAAATCTGTTTATATTTTTAGGTCACGGTTCAATGGGTATAAGCAATTCCATTGGTTCAAATACGTTTGATATTCTGCTATGTTTAGGATTGCCATGGTTCATAAAGGCTACCTTCATGCCTACGTTGCCTGGAAAACACTGGGTAAGACACTACTGTCACTTTTACTGTAATTTTTAGACATTCATGTATTCTCATTCCGGACAGACTATATACACAGTCTACTGTGGTTTTGCTAATATATTTTTACACGATTTTAGGTTGGTATCAACTCGGCAGGTATAGAGTACAGCGCCATCTCCCTGCTGTCGTCCTTACTAATACTCTACGGAGCATTTGCCCTGAACAAGTTCAGACTGGACAAACGAGTTGGACTTATTTGCCTCCTAATGTACGGGGTGTTCTTGCTTTTGGCCAGTCTGATAGAACTGAACGTGTTCTTCAGGGTCAACTTGCCCACGTGTGATCGGTGAACGGAAAGTATTTGGGGTAAAAAAAAACGTTGATGTTAAAGTGAAAGTGTTGATAGATAAACTATATAGATTTATAGACTAATATTGATTTTCACCTACACGAAACCTATATAGATATAGATGTATCTATAAAGCTCAAAAAGAATGGAACAAACTTCAGTTATAATTGACAGAAAGGGTGTTTCAAAATACGTGTACCATCATCAGGAGATTCTCTGCGTAAAAATAAGATCTATTTTTTATATTAAAATAGGTCCGATTTTGCTTTGTTTCGTAGGTAGATACCAAGGGTTAAGGTCTTTATTTTTAGAGAAAAAAGTCAGTGGCGCACATGTTTTTTCTAGAAAAATATCTTAGTGATAATTTTTTAGCATTAAAATATATCGCACAGTAACTTTTACCCTCAAAATTTCATTCGAATCGCTAAAAGCACTTGCAGGGAAAGAATAATAAATAAAAAAAAATAAAGACTTTAACCCTTGGACTTATGATGATATAAAAATAAATCTTATTTTAATGCGAGGAATCTCCAATAGAGATGACACATGTTTTTTGAAACACCCTGTATATAGAGTGTTTGAAAAATGCACCGTCAAATTTCAGACGGTGGTTCCTCATCGAAAAATATGAAAAAAGTCCCTATAAGCATGGTTACGGAAGTGCATAGTTTTAAACATTCAGGAAATATTTTTTGAACAACCATCTGAAATTTGGCCGTTCATTTCTCGAACACCCTGTATATTAATAATTTTAAATAGCATTGTTCTCAAAATATAAGTTCGTTTTTAAAACTCGAGTATTTTTATTGAAATTAAGTATTTTAGGATCACGTCATGTTAATCATAATAAAATTAATTTTAAGTTTGTTTATTTTTAATATAATTTTACTATGAGATTAACTAAAATAAGGTACGTTAGTTTTTAGAGCAAAATATCTAATTTTTTCGCACAGGGTTCAATTTCCATCATATACAGGGCGGTCCGAATTGTAATCCGGAAATTTTGACTGAACTATTTAACAGATAAAACTATTAAAAAAAAAATATAAATTTATATCCTAAAATGCTTCGTTTGGGAGATAAAGGGTGTGGAAATATAATTTTCAATTCCGGTTTTTATTAATTATTAAATTAAATTATTTGGAAAAAATCGAAATAAAAATTAAACTTCTACAACCTGTATCTCCGAAAAGAAGCATATTAGAACTTAAATTTATAGAAACTTTTTTACTTATTTTTATCCGCAGAATATGCTGTCGAAATTTTCCGATTACACTTCGGACCACTCTGTATATCTCATAAACGCCAGTTATTTTATTTATATATATTTTTTTCTAAATAGACACTAATAAATTATTAATTATGTTTTCAAGAATTCCACCAATAGAAGACAGGCTATTTAATTGTATGTATATAATTTAGGAGCTTACAGATATATGTTATTTTTTGATGTATTTATATTTATTAAATAATTTGATAATGCATATTTGTTTCGACCAAAAATCTATATTTAGTTCACTAAATAAAATACAAAATATATTTTTAAAGACGTTGCTGTATTTGTTGTATTAAAACACAAATTTAATAAAATATTTTATTATTCAAAAAAGGGCAGTAAAGTACATTGAGATTTTGTTTTAAAATAAAAAATAATAAAATATATATAGCACCATAAGTCCACATGATATAGTTCTTGGAACTAAAATTAATATTGATTCTTAAATGTATCTCACTATAAGACACTTTTTTGACCTTAAAAATTAATGCAAAATTTTTAGAAAACTTTTAGGAACTATCTGGGATGAAATTCTAGTAAAATTGGTCCGTCTGGTTTATTTATTAATAACGATTTTGAGTCTAACACTGATCCCCTCCATTCATTTTGTAATTTCTAATTACCTGCAAAATTAAACTTTTCTAATCATAATTTTCATGAACATTCTGTATAATCTTTATAAAAATAGTATACAAATTTAAGTAAAAGTCAAAATGATTCCATGCTAAAAAATATTCAATTAAATATTTTTGTGGCACATTTTTGTAAAACTATACTTATGAAATATACAGGAAAATGTGTATTTAAGTTTAAGTATTTGATGATAAAAAAATTTTCCTTGTTACATTTTACCCCCCTCCCTTTTATATCATAATAGAAGAAATTACTTGGTATACAGGGCGAGTCAAAAATCTAGATATAAGCTAGAAACACCTCAGTGTTACTACTAAACCAATTATACATACGTTTAACAACAAAAGTTGCATATTCTGTTCTGCTAAATGTCTAGCAATACAGGATCTTGGGCCATGTCCAAACGGTAGCAACAAATATGGATGTTTCTTTTCGTATAACGGATGATCTTTCAGCCATCTTTCTGGCCTAAATTCGTGTGCTTTGGGAAAATACGTGTCCAGTCTACACGACACTTGATTTTGACTTACCACAACAGTCTATATGCATTAAAAAACAAAAACACCATTATTTCTAAATTTCATAGTTTCAAAAAAAAAATTTAGAGGAACTTTTTGCCACACACTGTAGGTATTAACTTACATCTTTCGGTACTGAATAGTCAGAAAACACCGCCTCTTCATTCAAAACTCTCCCCACTCCAACCGATATTGGTCTCAATCTAAACAACTCTTTTACTACAGCCCTCGTATACTGAGCACCATTAAGAATATCTTCATTAATTTTACTGTTTTTCTCAGGCAACAATCTTTTAGATTCTTCAAATAAGGAAATTTGAACTGCAGGCGCTTTGGCAATATGATAGAACAAAAAACTGGTCGAGTATGTCGTCTAGAATTATTTTAAATCTCTAGTGTTCATAGAAAAATACCGATCGAAAAAAAAACGACGTCAGAGTGGTCTCGGAAAAAATAAGATAACGCCTACCATGACATCGTTTTTTTTCTCTCGATCGTACACGGTATTGAATTCAAACTTACTGTGTCAATGCCGGCTAGTAAAAAATCACAGACCATACCTATAATGTCTTTAAATTCTAGATCTGGACAAGATAAATACTGTTGTAAGAGTGTGTCGTCTTTATTGATGTCTTTTTCGGAAAAAATTGACATTTTTAAAGATAAAAGATCTATAGCTGTACTAAAAATTAAATATGTATACAGGGTGTTTCCGATATTTCGCAGAGGGATTTTTCAAGTATTTATAATGCACCAGTGGCGTTCGTGACTGATTATTTTTGAAGAAGAAAGATCTTATTTTTTTTTATTTATTTTTTTTGTATTTCTCTTATTTTTTTATACTTTGACAACCTAATGAACTTTTTACCTTAAAAATAACATTCTAATGAACTTTTTACCTTAAAAATACTTGGAAAACCACCGTATGAATTAATGGACACTTATTCATGATCACCCTGTATACAGGGTGAAAATAAATAATGGGAAAGTCAGAAGGTGAGGAACAAAAATCGAAATAATACTGAAAATTCCCAAAAACAGTTAAAATGAAAAATCTAAATTTAAATTATGTGTGTATTAATTATTTTACCCTGTAGACCCGGTATAAATGACTTACTCTTCCATATATAATTGAGATTTCTTCAGTTTTCTATACAGGGGGGTATTAAAACACCTCCACATCTGTGGACCATTATCCAACTTCAAAACACAAGAATTTGTAGTTAAAGCTGCATCAATGAGTTTCGATGATCGTGAATGTTTATCTAATTCATCTTCAGAAAAACTGTCCAATCTTAAATCTAGAGTTGTATAACCCGTCACTAAAATATTTTAACATAAATCATAAAAATTACATAAAAAATAAATATTTTACATTACATTCTAAAAAAAGTCTAGACAATTCGGGTAAAAAATCTGCTTCAGGGTTGTTTCTGTTTGATTCAATTCTCCCTAACCATTCTTTAATTATTTCGTCAGAACCAGACAAAAATCTCTTTACAGCTAAAGGACCGCTAAGTCCTTTTTGAAAGATTTTCCTAATTTTATACCAATCTGGACCATTTCTAAAAACCAGTTTACAACACTAAGCACAAAAAAACATACCTTACAAAAATGCTTACGTAGGCAACAATCCACCAGTGTTATACACGTGAGGCCTATCAAGCCTAAATTTCTGCAAAGCCAGATGACTTCGTCTTTGAGGATACTTTCCTTCGCACCTAAACATTACCTCAATATCATTTGGATCAAAAAGCCAAACTATATTAACATTAGGCACTATTTCCTCTCTAACAACCGGTCCGTATTTCTTGTATTTCTTCAGCCCATTGTGATGAAGCTCGTCAAATTTATATTCACCTAATTTTTAATCATTTTCTTAAATACATTTAAGAGAAAAATTTACTGACCTATTAAAGGAAGATATTTATATAAAGTTCCAATGCCACTTAACGATTTTGGTCCGGGAATTCTAGAAAAACTCTTCACACCTCTGTTACATATAATTTTAATATCACTTTGTTTCAAAATTAGTTTAAATTTAATTTTTTCCATAGTGTTTACAAATTTCTGTACGTTCACCTAAATAAAGTTAGGTTAAGAAACGCTGACAGGTACGTAAGGGTCCATTTACATTCTCTCTCTGGCCTGCGGTAGAAAAATATATATTATTCAATTATATTTAAATTTTATACAGCCAGGATTGATATTCCGACTTAATATTTTGTCTGGCTTTGTATATATAAATTTTTAATCCACGATTTACTTTGGTTTGCTAATTTTTCCATAAAAACAAACTTAATGTAGACACGCTCTTAGGAGATTTAAATTTGACATATTTACATAAAAACATATGGTTTGTGTTATTTTAAGGAATAAAACTTTATATTTCTAAATTAATGGACTGTTTTTAGTAGAAGATAGTATTTATAAAGGATATTTAATTTAAATTAGCTGTATCAAACTTTTTTATTCGAAAAAATGGACAGGAACCCAGGCTGTGAATTAGGTAATTGTTTTATTCATTTACATCACTAAAATTTATAAAATAATCTATCCTGTAGACTTGGGATGGTTAAACAGTGTTAATGTTAACCTTTCTGCTATAAACGAATATGCCAAAAAGCTACAGGCAAAAGAAATTAAGGGTGTTTACAGGGCAGCATGGATATTGAAATCAATCACTCTGATCGATCTAACAACTTTAGCAGGGGATGACACGAATAGTAACGTTTCCAGAATGTGTTTTAAGGTATGTATTACAATTAGAAGATAGATTTTTAATAGCATCATGCTATTTTAGGCTGCTAGACCTGTTGCTGAGGATCTCCTAGAGAAACTTGGGTATAAATATGATAAATTATGTCCTATAAGAACAGCAGCTGTATGTGTTTACCCTGCAAGGGTTGAGGACGCTGTACTGTGCTTAAAACAACTAGGATACTATGATGAAATAAACGTTGCTTCAGGTAATGCTTTATTTTCTTTGAAATTTTATTTTAATAAAAACTAACTTTAGTTGCTACCGGTTTTCCTTGTGGTCAAACTCCTCTACAAACACGCCTAGAAGAAATTAGGTATGCTGTTGAAAAAGGGGCTAAAGAAATCGACATAGTTATTAACAGATCATTAGTTGTAAGAGGACAATGGGAAGAACTATACAGGGAGATTCAACAAATGAAGGAAGCATGTGGTTCAGCTCATATGAAGTCGATTTTAGCTACGGGGGAGCTAGGAACTTTAAATAATGTACGGTTGAGGTATACTTGCCATTTAGAAGGCTATAAATACAATATTTTAGGTGTACAAAGCTGCCCTAGTTGTCATGATGGCCGGTTCAGATTTTGTGAAAACTTCCACCGGAAAAGAGTCTGTAAATGCTACTCTACAGTTCGGTATAGTTATGGCCAGAGCTATTAAAGATTATTATAATAAAATGGGATATAAAGTATATGTAATGTTGAGTTTATTTCATTTTTTTTAATTAAATTTTTGGTCTAGGTGGGATTGAAGCCGGCTGGTGGAATACGTACCAGCAAAGACGCTATTAATTGGTTGGTTCTGGTCAAAGAAATACTGGGCGATGATTGGTTAACGCCCGAGCTCTTCAGGTTCGGAGCTTCAGGTTTACTGAGCGATTTAGAATGTAATTTGTATGAATTTGTCACTGGGAAGTACCCAGCGTCTTATCAATTTTCTATGGGCTAATTTTTTCATTTATCAATATTTTTAATAAAAATTATTGTTGATATTGTTTTAATATAAAGTGTCTTTTATTTATATCTTTGTCTTTTTATTTTTATTTTGTATTATTTTTTTTTATGTTTGCTTCTATAATAAAAAAAAACTTAGAAATTTTATATACATAAGTGCAAACCTAAAGTGTGTATTAGGATGTATTTCAGGAAAATATTTTAACTTCTACAGGGTGGCTCAAAAAAGTGTGAGTGAATGGATGCTTTTTTTTAAAGTGGAACACCCTGTATATTATTGCATTTTTGCATCACTTTACATAATCCTATTAAATACATATAGTATATAGTTTCAGAAATATTAATAAATAAATAAAAAAAAAGTTCAGCCTTTTTTTAAAAAAATATTAAAAATACAAGAAATGTCCTGAATTCAAAACTGTACTTATGCTGGCTGTACTTATTTTGCTTTAAATATAATCTTAAACCATACAGTGTGTTCAAAATTCTATGTCAATCTTACTAAAATATAAAATAGTTTTTCTTCGTTTTTTTTTTAATGGAACACCCTGTATATTATTTTCTTAAATATTTATATCTATTTAGAACGTTTTTTTTTAAAAATATACACATATCTACAGGGTGTCCCCAAAATAAGTTACATATCAAAGCTTCGTTTCTTGTAATGGGAAACCCTATATTAATATTAATTGATTTTCGAATTCTCCGAAATTTTTTTTGTGAGTTTCATTACAAAAGCATACCTATGACTAAAACGTAAGGTTTTTGACATATTGAGCGTTTTCTAAAATTAAATAAGAAATCTAAAATTTTCTTTTTTCTTATATCCAAGATATTTAAATAAAATAAATTATTAATTGAACTTAGTTATTTTTTTCAAAACCAATTAACAAAATACAATTACATAATGAATTTTATTATTGTTTGCTTAAATTAACTACTGAACATCGGTATAATTTCATTTAAATCATAACAGGTATTATTAAATCTTCCATATTCACAAGGCCAACAGGTAAATCTTAACAATAATTGAGAAAAAAACACTCAAATCTAAGTTTTATGGCGCTTTTATGAGAGGCAAATTATACGTTTTTCGTTATGCACATAATTCATATGGAATTACCCAATGGGCACTTAAAAAAAACGTAAAAAAAATCTGGATTTCCAATATTAATTTAAAATAATTATAATGTATAATTTTTTATGAATGGTTAAATAAAGAAAAATAAAGATATATGATAGGATGTTTTCAGGGGATGATACCTTATCAAAAAATATAGAAAACACACCCTGTATATTGCAGTAAGTAGATTATTATTAACTTTGGAGAGGCTACACCTTATTTGTTGTGATTTTCATGAGCATTAAAACTATGTAATTTTACATTAACCCTGTTAAAACGAAAAGATTCTGATCTTGTGCTGAACAATGACAAGGCTGTACCAGATTTAATCAGCCTTTAATTCCTTTGTTCGAAGAAAATCAAGAAGAAAATAATATTTTCAACGCTACAAAACGATGATGCTATTATAGACTAAGGAATCACGAAGTATGAAAAAATAGTAGAAAAATGAGTAATAGAATATTTAAATTGTTTAACCTTCTTTGTTTATAACAATTATAATATTTGAAATTTTGTAATGTTGAATATGTTGCAATACCGGGTGCGTCTCGAAAGTGGCTCACCTCTATGATATGTCATTCTATTCAGAGTGCCATTTTCTTTCGGATAAAGTAAAAATATACAGAGAGTGTCATTTAAAAATCAAAACTTGTAGTTATTTCCGGTGGACCAGGAAGTGACCAAAAACAATTGAATACGTCAATCAATCCTAATTTATGTCATATACTAGCATACAAAATCTCGTTTTTTATATGAAAAAATAAAAAAGTCATAGGAGGTGAGCAACTTTTGAGACGCACCCGGTATAGTGCAGTCAGACATGGATGGAATCTCACAGTGTTGCACAAGTCTGTCTTTGCTTGACTTTTATTAAATAAATATCGTACTATCGAAAAAAAAAACGGCGTCAAAGACGGCTGGGGAACTTCATTTACTTAGCCCGTACTCTTCTTCTGCCAGTTTTGACAAGTTGTTGTGTCGATATTTAGTCAATGAAGTCTGGAGATTGACGTCGCCAAAATTATCATCGATTGTCATTCCTCAGCCGTCTTCGACGCCGTTTTTTTTTCGATCGTACAAAAAAAATACAAACTTTCTTTTTATAACTCAAATCTATTACCATCTAATTACCTACCAATTTAAAGGGCAATTATAACAGTTAAATAATTTTTAGTTGATGTACTAATGCTAACGACATTATAAAACTTTGTAAAAGTTGCTGATATTCTTTGAAGGTGCTAAACTAATGCAAATATTGGAAACTTCCTCTTTTATTACTAGAAATGCTGCTTATAATAAACTTGCAAATTGTTTTATCGCATAATATAATGCTATTCACAAACACAGTGGATGAACTATAAATGTACAGGGTGAGCCAACGTTACAATATCATCTTATACATAAAAAGTCATTTATACTCCGAATAGAACATGCTATTTTTTTCAACGTTCACATATTTTTTTAAACAGTTTCAAAAATTGCAAATAATATAAAAAGATTTAAAAGTAATACCTTGAAAGTAATTATCCTAGTAATTATATATCGAGAAACTATGGTTACACTCGACGAATTTGACAGTTGGTCAGTTTAATAATATACAGGGTGAGTCGTAAATAAGTGCAAATATTTTCAGGGCTGGTAGATCTCGATAAAAGAAACATATTTTCTCTTTATCGTTTTTCAGATAAATCCAAAATAATCGAGTTATTTTACTTTGAAAATTTCCAAAAAAAAAATATTTTTTCTAAAATTTTGAAAACCACTGGATTTTTTTTCTTGTGAATTTAATCCACTACCTACATATGTTGCCATATTATCAAGAGATTATGTTTTTAATCAAAAACTAAAAAAAATTCAAAAATTATTTTTTTTTGCAGAAAACAAGAAAATTCACAGAAGAATATGAATTTTTGGTCACACACTGACAATTTTACCGGTCAGACAAAACCGACCAAAATACCGGCGACGTGTGCGGAGGTCTTTAGATGCAAATAATCTTATATTTAGACGAGATTTTGACTTGTCTAGATTCGCGAGTCTACCTTCTGCGGTACACTGTCGCTAAACAGGAGAAACGATTACCTAATCTATATAAACGGACAACGTCGGAGCGAACTGTTTATTCTGTAGTCGACGCGTATACCGAGCGTTTGAATTTAGCGGTGTCCGAAAAAATATCAGTTTTGTTCGGGATGATTGGTGCACTGGTGAGTCTCCTTTTTTAATTTTTTTTTCTATCAATAAATTTTTTCTATGAAAACCTCGAGCAGAATAAAATAATTTTAATTCAAAAAATAGGAAATTAGGACTATTGTTACTGTTGAGGGTTGGAACTTTTAGTGTTACAACAGAAAAATAAAACACACATTTGCCACAATATACCAAAAATAAAAAAAAAATATTATTTTTGTACTGGACGCGTGTTTCACTAACCATGTTAGCATCACCTCCAGTGCAAAAGTAAAGTGTTTTGATGTTTTGTACTGAATTAGTGTTGTATTCATAAATATTTCATAATTTATCATAAAACCAAGTCAGCTATTTTAGTTACTGTATACCGGGTGCGTCTCAAAAGTGGCCCACCCTTATAACTTTCTATTTTTTCATTTAAAAAAACGAGATTTGGTATGTTAGTATATGACATAAATTAGGTAGAATTGATTGCTGTATTCAATTGTTTTTGCTCACTTCCTGTTTCACCGGAAATAATTACAATTTTTGATTTTTTTAATGACACCGTCGGTATATTTTTTACTTTATTCGATAGAAAATGAACTTTCTGAACAGAATGACTTATCATATGTCATCTTTTGACATTCTCGCTTTAAAAAATCGTATTTTAAATTTCAATCTAGAGTGCCATGGCTGTGTTAAAAACATTAATTTTTATTCAAGGAGCCTTGGAAAAATAGATTTGATCGTCTGATGTTGTTCGTGTCCTGGCCGGTTAGAAGATGCCCAAATTGTATCATAACTCAATTTTTTCAAATGGAACGATAGTGGCTCATTAGCATATTTGGAAAAAGCATTTTTTTACGAATAATTTGGTACCACATACCTGGTAGTTCGAGTCAAATTAAACCATAATATGCAAAAATGTCAAAAGGGGACATATGATATGTCATTCTATTCAGAGTGTCATTTTCTATCGAGTAAAGTAAAAAATACCGAGGGTGCCATTTAAAAATCAAAAGTTCTAGTCATTTCCGGTGAAACAGGAAGTGACCGAAAAACAATTGAATACGTCAATCAATCCTAATTTATGTCATACACTAACATACCAAACATGGTTTTTTTATCTGAAAAAATAAAAAAGTTATAGGGGTGAGCCACTTTTGAGGCACACCCTGTATAGGAGCACCTATTCAATATCTTCGGGATAAATTGTTATTTAATCAATTAACCTATCAATATTTATAATGACCGTATTTTTGAATAGGCGCATCTATAGACACTACTAAAATAAATAAGTAAATCTGCGTTACTTTTATAAATTTTTATATATCTTCACTGGGTTTCTGTAGAATTTCAGCTAGAATAAACTGGTAATTCTCTGCTTTTTATACGAAATAATTACGCGCAAATATCTGTAATTACGTAGTATTTTTTTAATTTTGTTTTTATATGCGTTGTAAAAGTAGGAAACGTCGAAAATCCACGCTACAATTTGTTTTGATTATTCGCATAATTTATCGTTAAATAATTATTGCTTTCAGCGCATACTATGATTACTTATAAATTTCATGACATAATAAAAGTGTTTTTTTAAAAAGTATCATTTTATACCCCTAATAAAAGAATATACCTATTTTATATTGTTGTTTACATTCTACATTGTTGTCATTGTTATTTTTTTATCCAAGTACCTTTATAAAAATCAATGCTAACTGACATTTCAATCAACGCACAGCCAAAACTACTTGGTCTAGAAGCACAAAATATTGTACAAATGTTTCTTAAGTGACGTAAATGAACACTAAGAAGCGAAAATAATATATATGGAAATTAATTCCTTAAAATAAGGGGTGAAAAATTTGTCTAGAAGCATAAAAATCTACACAAAAGTTCTTTTAAATTACATTAGTTCTTGCAACACAGCGATTTTAGAAAATTCATCCCTTAAATGAGGAAAATTGTGGATGGAAGCTTGTATGAAAATTGATTACTATCTGGTCTAGAAGTGACCCCCATTTTGCAGGAAGGTTTTTATAGTGATATCAGTAAAAAAAATAAAATAATTATTTTGGAAAATCATCCCTTAAAGAGATAAAGGGATATTTTACTATCTCAAAATAAGAAATAGAGAAAAACTTTAAATTGAGTGAGGCACTTAAAATGATCGGATAATTCCTTACAGTGACTGTTGCGTCTGTCATTTTAATTCAAAGGCAAATTGTAGTTTCTGTCATTTTTTTGGATATTGTCTGTAAAAATCTTCTCTGACTCGATGGGCACACCTCAGTTTAATAAAACATCCATATATAGTTATTACACTATATCGATGCAATAATATCAATAAGAAATCAATAAGAAAGAGATATTTTTCAATAACCCCATTTTTTTTGTCGCGAAAAATTTCCGAAAAATTATATTAATTACGTAACACACTTCAATCTGGCTCATCATCACTTTCTTTTACGATCTGATGGTGACTCAACATTGTTGAACTTTCAAGAAAATGTTATTATTATTATTATTTAACCCACCCACATTTATTTTAATATGATGGAATAAATGTTAAATAAACTACTAACATATTATTATAGTTATATTCTTGTTATATTCATTCAGCAAGTACGCTATAAAAGATCTAGTATAAATATAGAAGTTTCAAAAAGAAATGGTTATGTATGTCAATAAGCTTGAACGCCTTGAATTACAAACTTATGCGATAAAATAAATGATATTGGTTTATTTACCGTTCAATGGTAATAAGACAAAGATTTTATATTACTATGCAAGAAAAAAAGGAAATATGTGCCCTAAATAATTTCAAACTACAGTAAAGTTGAATGAAAATATCTCAAGACAAATAATATGGACAAACCATACTCTGTAAATCTTTGTCTGAGGGGTAGGCAACATTAATAGTATTTTAAAGACACATGAATTCCCAATCGAATATCGGAATAACATACTGGGTGTTCCATTTAAAATAAAAAAGTAACTTGCTTTTAAAAGTGACCAATGATCAATTTTAATTTTGTCTCACCCTGTATAACTTTCCGGATTCAGTTTTAATTTTATTTAAAGTACCTACAATGGTTATTTTAACTACATATTAGGCTATACTGGGTAAATTCAAATTTAGGTAGCTTTTATTAAAATTTAAAATTTATTCTGTATTTTTAGAAAATGTCAAAAACCTTACATTTTAGACATATGCTTCTCTAATAAAACTCACCTTTATTTTTTTCTAGAATCCGAAAATGAATTAATACATAGGGTGTTCCATTACAAAATACACAACTTTGACCTGTAACTCATTTTAGGGACGCCCTGTAGAATTCTATACAATTTTAAGGAATGCTTTAAATTAACCTACATATGCTCACTTCACTGTCGTTTTCTTTGGAGCCTCCACGTCGTAGGAGAGGTACCGCTCTGTATTGTAACAGTGGTACCTGATAATACTTATCCTTAAGTTTCTACATAAATTTATGTTTCGTTCATTTCATTATGATAAATTTTACGAATTTCAGCATGGCTGATCACTTATAATGTCGATCTAAGTACTTTCTATTACATAGTACCGCCATAGAACAACAGAAAAACCGAAACTACTTTGTACAAAAGTTCCAATTCCGTTTTCACTGCAGAGATGCGGTTTTCGTTTTTCAATCTATACAGACTTTTTGTTATGGGTACTTAAATAAGCAAAAAACCATTTGGAGTACTTTATATTTCATCGAAGACAGTTTTGCAATCCCGAAAATACCCAAAGAAGTGATCCGATTATTATTTAGATTTTCGAATTATTTCAAACGCAAGTCGAATAATTTATTGTTAGAATATGAAATTGCAAAATTCCTGTGATAGAAAAAAACTCATAAAGATGGTGAAATAGAATCAATTATTTCCATGGTTTGAGTCAAAACGTTATACCGGGTGTGATCAGATTAAATAATTTTGAAAACCAGAGTCGGACTTGAAATAATTTTAAATAAGAATTAAATAGTTTTGTTATTGTTAAGGTACCAAAAACAAACAAAAAAGTATCAAGTGTGGCATATCATTGTACTCTTCTTTCAAAACCCGAAATGAAAAATGCAGATACGTATTTAAAAAAATTAAGTTGGCCTCTGTATCTCACAAATTAACAGCTATTTTGAAAATCTAAAAATACTATCAGATATCCCTAATAAAGTAGCTATGAGAATATGCAATTAGTTTTTTGATTTTCTAAAAAGTAATGACAGGAAAAAATAAAATTTATTCTCAAAAAAAATTCGTTTTTTTTTTAAACTCAGCAATCCTTGAAATTTTTAAAGCTTTTTTGATGTCATCTTGGTGAATATCCCAAGGTGCAATTACGGTTTCCGAGATACCAATGCTCGTACCCCGAATTTGTAGCACCCTGTATAGAACATAACGACTCTCTGTATTTACATGTTTTTTTTGATAATTATTATAATTCCTATGTTGTACAAATACGAAATTTAAATATTAATAGTTTGTTACTTTTTTTGGATCGCCGGAAAAGATACGGCTCTATATCAGCCAACAACTCATATTAAAAGAATATTTTTAATAATATATAATCGTTCTCTGACCTTCTGTATTCTATATCTAGATGATATTATCGTTTATCAACCCATTGTTGCTTGGGTTTAGTTAGTATTCAACAACAACATTGACTGTTTATTCTAGGAAATAAATAAATAAAGTTCTTTTAATTCAGGTGTATGTCGGTTGCATTATACTGTGGAATTCGAGATAAATATTTCCTCCCGGCCTTGTATTTTATAACTATATACCTCTTTATAGGGACAGGTATCTGTAATTACTATAATCTACCTCATGTTGTACAGGGTGGTTCATTAATAGGAACTTTGGTGGACCACATCAAGCTATGGAGGCAGATAAAATATATTAAGTTCTAACTTAGTAGTAGTTCTATGTCCACGGAATATTGGGACACCCTGTATTTGTAGATAAAAATCTATAAATCTTTAAATAAAAAAAATTTGGAGAAAAAATCCGTAAAATTTAATGAAATGCTATAATAATTACAAGGTATCATGTTATAAGATTCGTTAATATATTTTTTTTAAATAAATGGCAATCTAGCTTTTTGTTTTGAACTGTAGAGTCTGTATATTTATATTATTTGTGTGAGGAAAGATATTTTGTAATCTTTCTTATTTATTTAAAAAAAAATCAAACTAAACAGTTTCAACAATTATTATATCGACCACTATTATAATTATTTGACTTTTTTCAGGAATCACTTGCCATTCACAGGAAGTGATTATTTCTTAATAAGTGTAAAATAGGTGTTTTTCTAATTATATTGTCCATTTGAATTTTTTCCCTATAGCCAAGAACGGAACAGCCATGGTTAATCACCCGTATTTACCTTTCACTTAATATTTGAAATCTTTAGGCTAAATAAATAGTAATGAACTTCAAATGTTATGTCGAATAAGTTAAACGGAAAATACACAGACTTTCGGATTTGTTGCACCAGCTAAAATTTCACAGAATATTCTGGAAATTAAAAAATAAAAAAAAAACAATAAACTTCAATAAAAATACATGTGGTAATCTAATATCTAAATCTTCTTTGCCACTTCGTTTAGCTTTTATCTGTTATTAAATTGTGTATTGTTTCTGGATTGGTTTTATGCAAAGTGCACAGTGTATAAATCTGGAAATATATTGGGCCAGGAATTGATTATTGTGAAATTTAAAAGTTTTTTAAAAATAGTTTCTTGTGCATTGCGTGATTGTTCCCAAAATAAAAACATAGAAAATGATTGATTTTTTTTTTCACTAGTAAGTAATTGTACCATACGATCGAAAAAAAAACGCGTCAAAGAGGGCTGGGAAATGACAACCGATGATAATCTCAGCGACGTTAAGCTCTAGATCCATCTTTGACGCCGTTTTTTTTTCGATCACACGGTATATTATGTTACGAGTTGGCATTTAATACCATTTGTCATGAATAAATAATTATATTATTCCAATTTTATGAATTTTTGATAAATTTCTCGATATAATCTTACTCAATGTTTTTTTATCATTACCCAGCTTTTTGAGGAAGCCAAAAGAAAAAAGGTATTGCTCAACGAGACAGCATTTTCTATTTTCACGCCTGCACCATATAATCCGTTAAATAGTTACGTCACATTTCGGTGGGAAAGCTATTTAACAACTTTTTTCCTTTTATTCAAAAAAAAAACGACGCATGAACGTACGAAATTTCTATAAAATTAGCTTAAATGTGTCTGAGAATTATGTAGAAATGCAATGAGACTTCGTTTACAAATAAATAGAGTAGAACTTATCAGTGAAAGTCTGCTAGATTATATGTTAGATTTGTTATTTTTTTCTCTTATGTATTTAATGATATTTGTGAATTAATTATTGGATTAAGATATATCAATCGGTTACGTATATGTCCGTATTTAATATGAAAATTTTATAAATATGTATATTTGTTTATTTTTCATTATGTATTAAACCTCAGACAAATATTATATATAAACCTTTCAATATAAGTTAATTATTTATTTTCTATCAAATTGAAACAATGATTACTGTTAATAATATATTTATTCTTTTTTTTCAGTTAACTATAGTTGCTCTGGCAACCACAGCCCTCTCAGCTACAGTCCCACTCAAAACCACCGAGAAAAAACCGACAGAAAGCAGCGTAGAAACGTTTGACTCCTACTCAGTCAAAACCTTACCCTCCCAACTTCCTTTAACCATCCAATTACCCAACCAAGAACCCCCACTACCCTTTTACCCATCCGAACCCTCTACATACCTTAAAGCTCCAGAATACTTCCCCAATACCCCCACAGATTTCTATCAAATACCCATCCCTTCAGACATCCTTACCGCACCTTTAGAGTCAAGCATTTGGAACCCTGAGAACGATCCTACATTGTACTACGAACTGCCTTCTTCGATTACCAAGGAGGATCTTCCTACTGGACTCTATCCGAAGAAGTTTAACCAAGACATCCACTTCAAAAACAAACCTTTGAGTACCATTCCCAAAAAAGAAATAATTCTGGAACCAATAAACCAGAAACAATACAACTTGAAGCAGAAAGAACTTTACAAAGCGGTAGACAAACTCAGCAAAAAAGAAAACCAGAAGAAGCTAGAAGAAAGCAAGGTAGTACCGGTTAAAAAACCAGACTCTAAATCATCCTCGTCATCTGTTAAACCTCAAAAAACACCCTCATCAACGACTACTAAACCAGAACTCATCAAAAATCACAAACCGTACCACTCAGACTCGACTAGCGATGCTACTACTAATGACAAGTTTGACAAGGGGCTGACCTCTGGCAAGGTGACTGACTCAAAGGGCGTGTCTTCTAATCCTAAGCCATCTAAGCCTAAGCCTGCGGGAGACAGAGTTTTGTTTCATATGGTGGGACATGATGGACCTATGAGCTATAAGTGGGGCTATGATACTGGCATAGGGTAACTTTCGGGTGCTTGATTTAATATGTTCTAATTTTTTTTTCTGGTGGTGGTGTGTGCTTATTTTCGTGTTTTTTCTTTTATGTGTTTGGTGTTTTAACTAAAAATTACACTAGTTTATCATCATACATACATCAAAACATTTTAGTTGAAAGTCAAAGTTCTGCAATACAAAAAAAAAACCTATACCGCATCGTTGGAAACATCTCATATCTCAGACAAATAATATTAACACCCAGTAAATATAAATATATTTTATTAATATTTTGGAAAGCAGTTGTGATAAAAACTGTTTTAAAACTGACCACCAGGTATATTTTGAACCAAAAAAACCTAAACACATTGTTCTACATTTTTTCGTCAACTTGTTATTTGTCAAGTTTCACACGCAAATCAAATTCAGACGGATATGAACCAATGGCAGAGGAAATTGAACCCAAAGACATTTCAAAGACATAATACGTATGAATAATCGCATTTTACACTCAATTAATCCCTATAAATTATTTTTCAAACGTGTATATCTGTCTGAACTGTTTTGTTTCAACACATTTAATTTAAAATCGCTCAAGCGAATCGTGGGTACATTTCATAATTTCGCTTTTTTTATTGTATTTTGTTATACTCTTGAAAATTTTAAAGAGAAACAATATAAATGTTATTTTGTATTATACTGGAGAATTTTGATGATATTAATAAGATTTCAAGATTCTTAAAGTTGAGAAATTTATCTCGATGCATTTTGAACCCATTGGCTTCTTATATAAAAAATATAGATATTTGAAAAGACATTGAGGATTTATCTACATGCATGTTGAACCCAACTGTTTTTTTTAATAAAAAAACCAAACAGATGTTTTGAAATAGCCATTGAGACATTCACCTTTATAAGTTTTGAACCCTATGGCTTTTCATTCAAAAAGACTGAATTTGAAGATAAATAGTAATTTGGAATATACTCTATGACTTTTGAACCCTGTGGCTTTTCACGTTAATAAAGAGAAGATATTTTTTGTACATACTAACTTTTCGTCAAAGTAGAAAAGAAATTCTATGAAACTTACCTGAAGAAAGTTTGAACCCTGTGGCTTTTGAAATATAAAGACATTTATTTGTTTTAAGGCCTTGTATTAGAAAGATTTCTGCTAAAATGAACCAACCAAAATAGTAGAAATACTTTTAAAAAATGTACCATCTTTGTATCAGTCTGTAGTCATAATAAATTAACTTCTGGTAAAACAGAGAATTTAGTACCTCTGTAAGTTTTGAACCTAATGGCTTTTGAAAAGAAAAATATACTTTTGAACCCTGTGGCATTTCACATAAAAAAATGAAAATAGACAGAAGTGAAATGAAAATAAAATAAAGTATAAGAAATGTAACTGAATAAATTTTGAACCTCTGAATAAAAAAAGAACATTTATTAGTATTTTTAAGAGCTTGTTTTAGTAGCTTTATTCAAAGAAGATTTCTCCTAAAATGAACCGACCAAAAAAAATTTTGTACCATTATTTTATCAGCTTGTACTAATACTAAATTTCTTTTTTTTAGGCCAAACAGGCAATTCAGATTTGAAGAGCGAGACAGAGATGGAGTAGTTAAGGGTCAATTCGGCTATTATGACAAAGACGGTAAATTTAGGATGACCAACTACAACGCGCATCCAACGCTTGGTTTCCACCAAGAAGCAGCTCCAGAGAGTGACGACAACAAATAATACTCAAAAACGTTTTTCAAAATTTCGAAAAAACATCCTAAAACAGTATTTCATGTACTTAACTTCAGTGCCACGATTTTTTTTACTATTTTTTTATATACCAGTAGTTTTTGTTAGATTTTTTTTTATTCTTATTGTTGTTACTTCTCTATGTAAATATTTATTTTAGTTTGTAATGTTTTCTTTTATTAATAGGAAACACGATATGTGAATACCAAATAGAATCTTTCGAGAGTTTTGTTAATTTTTTTTATAGATTATATCAAAGAATGAAATCTATTAAACTATAAACCATAGTGATATAATTATGTAATTAAAACTTTATATACATATTTAAAAAAAAACTTATTTTATTTATAACGTTTTAATATGTTTAATAAAATACATAATACCAATTTTTATGGGCTTTTTTTTTCAATTTTCTGGTCATTAAATTTATTTTATTTTCAAGCATGAACTGTATGAACTGTATGAAAAATAATTTATTTTATTTTCAAGCATTCCTGTGTGAACTATAGCGGGTCATTTGCACTACTGAGAAAAGTTTTCAAAGAAACAAAATGTTATTTCTCCGAATATCTTGAAAGTAAATATATCTTTTTGTTGTTACTTTTTTGCAAAATAATAAAAAATAAAACATATTTTATGAAATAAAATTTATATAAAGTAAAAAATCTGGATTTAATATACCTTGACATACTGAAGGTATTGTTAATAATACTCGGTATAAAAATGAATGTTTACTTATCGGAAAAAATACAAAAAGCGTGAAAAATTACTATTATGTTCCGCTAGAATTATTTTCTTACAAATAAAGGTGAAAAAATAAAACAAACAAACGTTAACGTGTTAACAATTTATTTATGTCTCCATTGTATCATTATTTACACAGCTAACCAAAAAATCTTCGTATGTCCATTTAGGAAATACTCTTTTGTACAGGTTTAACATGACGGTGTCTTGGGATTTCAACTGACCATCAAATCCGCATTTCATATGACCATGTGTGCCTAACAAACATTACATTAGATCCAAAAAAACTTCAAATAAACGGAATATGTAAAATATTCTCTGTATAAAACTAAATTTTGTAACGATACATTTGAACTACTTCTATTTAATTTTAAAACCAGCCCTTAAAAATCCCTCAAAACTTACCTAGAGGTTCCTTAATATGTCCTTTCCTTCCCATTTTCGTCCTGAGCTTGCAGGGCTTAAAATAGGTTATGTCGTCCCTATTGAAGAACATGAATCTCACCACAGCTGATTTTTTGTATATCTTGAAAGGGTGACCTACGAAACAAAAAATAAGTTAATAATTTCTCTAGAACAACTCGCTATTTTTTATATCAAACAATTTTCTGTATGTACAGGGCGACACAAATTCTAGGCAAAATCTCGGAAACTTACCTGATAAAACTATCCTTTTTATTACAAGCCTGTCTGGATTACAGGACAACAAATTTCCTGTAGCAACTAATGTGTATTTCTCTCCAATTTGTTTATAACATAAGATCGGTGCTGGCGGAAACTGAATTGGTGCATAGAACGTTGCTACTGTCGTCGAATTTGGTTGAAAAAATCGTTCAAACTACAAGAAAATATAAAAATATCGTAAAGAAATGTGTATTTTAAAGTGCTAGGATGATAAAACGATTCACTAGAACTGAACTAAGACGAAAAAACATCTAGAGATCATATATAATTTATGTATAATGGTCATATATAAATTAGATATGCCATCATATATTAATTATCTATGATATCATATACAACTAAAATTATTATAATCATATAATTTATATATGATATTTCTATATATGATAATCATATATAATTTACATAAATCATATACAGGGTGTCCCAGGCTGAGCGTGCATTAGAAGTTTCTAGATAACTACAACATCTAGATCGGATATTTTTTGCACATCATTGTTTCACAACGAGATCTATCGATTAAAAATATTTTCAATGTGATTGCACTTCCGGAAAGACCGGAAGTTGACAGCAACTTTTTTATTTTAAACGGGTACCCCCATTTTTATTATATATTTAAATTCTCTGGAAAATTTTATAAATTTTGATATTAAACACTCTATACAACATTAACCGATTTTGAGGAAAAAAATATTTAAAATTTTTAGACAAAAAAAAAATGCCTGTTAAAAAAACGCGTATAGCCTAAACGTCAAATTTAATGATTACCAACATAAAGCAACATAAAGAGAAGACATGTGGCTCTCTATTTCAAAAATTAAATTGTTTAAATATCTCATAGAACAATTTCATTATGTCATAGAAACACCCATTTAAAATAAGCCATATTGAGAATATTTTTAATCGATAAATCTCGTTAAAAAACAACCTTCAAAAATCATGAAAAAACACACCTACCTTATGTTTTTGACCGTTGGTATGCTGACTGAAGATAGGGTTCGTAATGAACCTCCTGAACCCACACTGGAAAATCACCCTTTCTTTTGATTTAATCGGAAAACCATAATCTTGGGTTCGTTTTAGCACGGCGTTGAGCACGGACATTTTGTGCTCGTGCGGGAACAGACCGAACAATATAACGGGCGATTTCGTTTTTAGAAACGACGACCACATCAATTCGGACACGTTTTTGACGTGAACTGTCACGTACCATCCAGGCTAAAAAAGTCACGGTCTTGTTAAGTTTCTCACAACAAACTGTATAGGACCCTTATTAGTAGTCATAATGCTTTTATTTTTTTAATGCTTTAATATATATAACGCATTAAAAAATACTGTAAATTAGTGATCCTAAAGATAAAACACCTCCGCTGGAAAGGTCGGGTATTTATGAAGTTTCATGTAAAGATTGTAATCAAAAATATGTTGGGCAAACTAGAAGATAGATATAAGGAGGAGGTAAGATATGGTAAAAAAGTTAATTTAAAATTAATCAAACAAATCTTAAATTACAGGCAATTAGATGCATATTATGAGAACGTCAAAATAAATAAATGTACAGAAACAGAGATAATGGTCCAAGTCAAATAAGAGTGTAAAAAATGTTTTCCAGTAGCTACCACGACGTCATTTCCATTTTGAATTTATGAATATAAAAATACTAATACTACAAATTAATTAATAATAAAATATATTGACTTACCAAAGCGCCATCTTTATTTTCTTGCTCTTTTAAAATTCGTTTTTTCGTCCTGTCGAAATTCTGGAACTGGAAAATTCTGGAATAATCGCTGGGCAAATTTTCCTTTGTGTCCCATGGTGAAGTCCTGTAAAAAACATTAAAAAAATAAACATTTTTATTTTTTTTTAATGTAAAACATACCTAAAACTCTCTAAACCCCTGTATTTTTGAAACCTTATTCTCGCTGGTGTATCTACAGGAGTGTCCACTTCATCAGGAAACATTAAATCTGATTTGGCTTCTTTTAGTTTGTTTAAATCGTCTTGTTCGGCGTTCATGTCCATTTCTTGGTCGTACTTATCATCATTAACGGCTATTTCTAAAAAAAATATTTTTTTACACGTAAAAAACTATTTTTTACATATAAAAGTTTTTTACACGTTTTTTTATATGCCCATCCCTAATATAAGTGTAAACAGCTCCTGTGTAATTTTTTCACACATACCTGACTCAGTAACTGTATCAAACTCCTTTTTTTCATCTTCCGCATCAGAATACTCAGACTTTTCTTCCGATCTAGCATCCATAAATTCATCATCTTCAGACTCTTCCTCATCACCACTGTACTCGTTATTCTGAAACTCCGCGTCGTCATCCGGTATCCAGGCTGCCTGATAATCCGACCAACCTTTGGGCACTTTTTTAACTTTTTTCGCCTAAATTCGCAACAATTCTAATAAAAAATCATTCAAAATTTAAAAAATTACATACCTCATCTCTATTTGCCATTTGAAAGTCCTCATCTGTAGGCATAGTTTGTTCTGCATCCATGGCATCTGGTACATTTTCCGAATCCAAAGATTCTTGTTTCTCTGGATCAGATATTTCTAATACTTTTGTAGTTGTTTCGACAACCATGGCATTTGGATCAGAAGCTCTATAAAAATATTTCTGCATTTATTTAACAAAAAAAATAAATATTTAAAACGCACTTATTTTTAGTGTACTTGTTTGGATCATTTGGAGCATCGATTTGAAGCATCTGATAATCACCTAGTCCAGGAATGTGAACAAGCTGGTTCACGGATAATGGGGTTCCTTTTAAGTAGCCGGTGATTTTTAGAGTACCGACAGCACCTACAAGTCTTTTTATAGTATAAAAATTCATATAAAAGACTATCTTACCTTCACTTTCAGGAACAAATTCAATTTCTTCACCATATAAATACGGTCTCCTATCTCTGTATAACACAGATTTTCTTTTTTGATCACCTATTTTCCTCAAAATATTGATTCCTTCACTGTATTTATCTAAAGTCATTAATTTCTCTTCTGGAAGATACTTAGACACAATTTTTTGTATGGCTTGTTTATATTCATTACGTTTTTTAGGGGTTACACTCTCTAAATCTGTCAATACAACGAGTGGAGTTGGTAAACCCTAGTAATATATTATTTATGTTAATTTTCTATATAAATTTTAGTAAATAAAGTCTTACTTGTGCTAGAGCAGTCGTAATAATATTATTTCCCCATTTATCTATTATATCTTCATTATCCTCAACACTAAATACCGAAGATAACAGAAATATAACAGTATCTGCAACTTTTAACGTATCAAGAACATCAAAATCATTATCTCCGGATGGTACAACAAATGAGAACCTCTTCTTGAATCTGGGTATGCTAAAACAAACTTATTAAATCTAAGAAAACAACTAAAATATAATAAAACTACCATAAATGAGTTACACCAGTTGATGTTTTACTAACGATTCCTTCCTCATCACATTGAGTTAAAATGGACAAAGCAGTGGTAGGATCAAAACCCTTATTTAGGGGTACAAGACAGGCAAAAATCGGGGCAAAATCTAGGCCTCCCAGCGATCGTTTCTTGGCTAGAACCTCGTCTCGTTTATTTTTACGAATCTGCTGAGACTGATTGCGTCTCTGGGCTCTCTCGAGTTCGTGTTTGTGTTTCTTGGACAAAGTCTTAACAGACACCTTCCCTACAACGATATAATGAAATATTTATCGGGAAAAGGACTGAAATAGGGTACCTTTATTCGATAAACTGATTGATCCTTTCGATCGATGTCTTCCATGCTTATGTTCCTTGTTGGATTGCTTGAACGGACCAGGTCTATGGGTCTGGCCTTTATCTACAGCCATTCTTTTAATATTTAGGTAAATTTCTTAATTATAGAGGCATTAAATAACACGTGCCGACTAAATTTATAAATAATAATAAATATTCTAACCTAAAATTCCCAAGATGTCTAATTTTTCCCACAGATTGAGTATTTCTTTTTGTTAACGTTTATTAATCTGTAGTCACGCAGAATAGGCAACCCGTTATTCATAGACAAAAAACGTGCAGATCTTTGGTGCCGATTTTTGGTTATGTTCGGCCGGACAACTTCAACTTGATCGAAAATTGAAACATTTTTCAATATTTATATTTATTAAACGATGTGCATTTAAAAAAATTGTTGGAAATGGCAGATAACACTCTTTTGTATAGTAAACTGAAAGAGTTTAGTAAAATCAACGAACAGTTTTCTGTTAGTTTTAAGGTAAGTTCGAGCACAATTGAAATTTTCAAATTTAACATAGTATATTTTTGCAGATTATAAACTCTAGAAAAAACTTGAGCGGAGAAGAGAGAAGTCACAGCCTTCTAGATTACATTGCCAGAGAGATTTTCACTGTACCACAGTATTTTTTATCAGTTACTGAAACTTTTAGAAGTGAATTACCTCTACTTGTAGTAAAAGCACTACATTTTGATGAAAAATGCCCGTTTAATTTTCCCAGGCATGTTATTAACAGTATTTTGTTATCGAAAATAGTCCAGATTAGGCCGGACATTATAAGGTTTGTATTTATTTCAATTCTTTAGATTTTTAAGTTAAATAATATGAGTTTTAGTCATGTACTGCAATATTTTGAAAGTTACCCTTCACCTTTCGATGAAGACACTAAATGGTCTTCTAAAAGGACAAAATTGAGCCCTACAGAAAATTTAATAAGGGATATAGACATTGTGAAGGCATGTTATTACTTGTTGAGATGTGATCCTAAATTTTTTAGACAAAAATGGATGTGGAGTATTTTTCTGAAACGATATTTGTTCCACAAAGATTATGAAGTCTCATGGTAAGTTTTACTTTGTAATAAAATACTGTATGATTGAAAAAAGATGGCGTCTATTTGGCTTAGAAATGAACATCGATGACATTTGCCATCTTTATTTCATAGCAATTGTTTACTCTGTTTTTTTTTCCAATTATATTGTTAGTTAATAATTTATTTTTGTAGGCTTGCTCATCATGTAATGGGAATAGTTTTGGGTATGAATGAAACCACATTGCAAAGTATTATACTTAAAAACATACCGGAAGAATGTAACGTCAAATTTACAGTTGAATTTAATTCAAAATCTAATTCAACGCAATCTTCTAATGACATTCCAACATTAAATCAACAACCAATAATTCACAAAAGCCCAAACACACCGAAAGATGTGGTAAATGTAGCCGGGGTCTATATATCTGCTTCAAACCGACCGAAAAAGGACTTACTACTCGAAGTTTCATCGACTTTAAATAATTTAAGAAAAATTGCTGTTGGATTGTCTTCAAATAAAGCGCTGTGCCTCCAAGGGCCGGTGGGTTCAGGTAAAACAGCCCTAATTGAACATCTGGCTGCTAAAACGGGGAAGAAATTGGGTGAAGACTTCATAAAAATTCAGTTGGGTGATCAAACCGACAGTAAAATGTTACTTGGGACTTACCGATGTACAGATATACCAGGAGAGTTTCTTTGGCAGCCTGGAGTTTTAACACAGGTATGATTCTATATATCTTTATTTTTTTTATTGCTTATTTATATATTTTATAATTTATTACTTTTTCAACACTTTAAACTACCTTTTTTCAAAACATATACTTCAAATTCTTCAATTTTATAGCTGTTAGTAAGAAGTTTCAACACAATTTTTTTCTTTTTTTACATTTTCTTTTTTTCTTTATTTTGTTGTTCATTATTTTCTTAATATTTTTTTCTCTTTGTTTTTCTCTTTATTTTTTCTTTGTTTTTGTCTATATTTATTTTTTCTTTTTCATTTTTTTGCAAAAGGTGTTTATTTTTTTTTCTGTTTTTTAATTTTTCCCTATTTTTTCTTTTCGTTCATTCTTTTCCTCTGGTGCAGCTTTTTTGGAACAACTGTATATTAATAAAAAAAAGTCTGTTTCAGGCTGTTATAGATGGTAGCTGGTTACTCATGGAAGACATAGACCTAGCTAACATGGACATAGCCTCAGTTCTTACATCTCTCTTAGAAAATAGCGCCCTATCAGTACCAGGATACAGAGATTTAGTACCAGTAAAACCAGGCTTTAAACTAATAGTAACCCAAAGGTAAATATACAAATACTTTTTTACTTTTTATCAAAAAAAAAAATTTCTTTGAATTCGTTTTTTATTCCTTTTAGGCTTATCCCTACATTGACAGGCTACCACAAAAAACATTCAGGCCCTCTAAGCCTTCTAGATAAACAGCTTTTACAAATTTTTATCGACCCACTAACTAGCGACGAATTAAAATATATTTTACACGCACATTACCCGAAATTTGACACTATTTCTGACAGACTGATAAACGTTTTTAAGTTATTTTCATCGGAGAGTATTAATATTTTACCCACTAAAAAAAGTGGAAGGTTGATTTCAACAAGGGATTTTTTTAAATGGTGTTCGAGAGCGATCATTGATTACGATGTAAAAAGCCAGGAAAGTGCGCTAAAAATTCTACAAGACGCTATGGACGTTTTTTGCTGTTGGATACCCGACGAAAAACTGTCTTTAAACCTTTCAAAAGAAATTAGTGCTCATTTGGGGATAGTTGAACAGAAAGCAGAGTATTTTTATAAAAATTACAAACCCACAATGCAACTGAGCTCAAACAGTTTGACAGCCGGAAGAGCCTCACTGTCCAGAGACCACACAATGTACAGTAGAAAAGATAGGTTATGTTTTACCCGACCTGCTTCTGTGATGTTAGAAAGAATAATGTGCTGTGTTAAACTAAAAGAGCCAGTATTGCTTGTTGGTGAAACAGGTACTGGAAAAACCTCTTCAGTGCAGTTTTTGGCAAGTTCCTTAGGAAAAAAACTGGTAGTTATCAATATGAACCAGCAATCTGATTCTGCTGACTTACTAGGGGGTTTTAAACCTGTTGATTTAAAACTTATTATTACACCTATCAAAAACGAATTCTATGAGCTTTTTTCCGACTTTTTTAAAATCGAACCCAACAAACTGTACCTGAGTAAAATCGATTTTGCTTTCAATAATCAGAGGTTTAAGGAATTGGTTAGGTTGATGCAGACCAGTACTGTAGCGGCTGTAAGACGTCTCAATGAGAAAATGAAGGAGAGTTTAGATGAGGGGAGGTTGGATAAAGAAAAAGAGCTGTTGAATAGGTGGGAGAATGTGAGGGATAAGTTGAGGAAGCTGGAGATTCAGGTGAAGCAAGCTAACGCTCTGTCTTTTGCTTTCATTGAGGGGAGTTTGGTGAAAGCTGTCCAGGAAGGGTCTTGGGTTTTGTTGGATGAGATCAATTTGGCCAATGCGGAGACTTTGGAGTGTCTTTCAGGTATGTTTTTACATTATTTTATTTATTTATTTATTTTTTTGGGTTTTCTACAATATAAGTATGAAATTTTGAAATTGATGGTATGTTTCGTCCACATCTGAGGGCATGGATCTTTTTGTAGATCTTCTGGTATTTTATCAATATTTATTATAATTTCGAAATTTTTTTGTCAACATTATTAATATACCGGGTGCGTCTCTAAAGTGACTCATAACTTTTTAATTTTTTAGATAAAAAAACGAAATTTGGTATATTAGTATATGACATAAATTGGGATTGATTGACACATTCAATTGTTTTTGGTCACTTCCTGTTTCACCGGAAATGACTACAACTTTTGATTTTTAAGTAGCACCCTCGGTATATTTTTACTTTATTCAATAGAAAATGACACTCTGAATAGAATGACATATCATATGTCAACTTTTGACATTTTAGCTTAAAAAAGAGTGCCATGACTGTGTTAAGAACACTAATTTTTAATCAAGGAGCCTTGGGAAAATAAATTTGATCTTCTAATGTTTTTCGTGCTTTGTCCTGGTCGGTTATAATATGCCCAAATCGTATTTTTAATAATATATCAATCTGAAAAAAATGAGAAAGTTATAGGGGTGAGCCACTTTTGTAAAACACCCTGTATATATTGAATTTTTTTTCTTAAAAATTACAGTTATACATTTCAGTTTATTTTTAGTACTTTTTATAATTATTAATAATAATAACGATTTCTACCAAGCAAAATATATTTTTTTAAAATTGTATAAGTTGTGTACATACAGTATGTCCCCGGATTGTCTTTACAAGAGGAAAAATTAACTTTTTTATTATGCCTTCTGTGCATTTTTCTCAAAACGTTATTAATAAAAAACAACCGTTTTTCCTGTTGTAAAGATAATCTGGGGACATACTGTATACTGATTTTTCTAGGTCTTTTGGAGGGAAATGAAGGTTCCTTATGCCTCGTTGAACGAGGCGATAAAAAACCGATTCAAAGACACCCAAATTTCACATTATTCGCTTGTATGAACCCAGCTACTAACGTCGGTAAAAAAGACCTACCCATGGGACTTCGCAACAGGTTTACAGAGTTCTACGTGGACGAATTGACAGAAAAATCAGATTTAATGCTCCTGGTTAACAGTTACCTTCAAGCACTGGCCTTGAAAGAAAACGAAATATCTAGGATAGTCCAGTTTTATTTGCATATAAGGGCTGAGATGCAGACGACCCTTTGTGACGGTCTAGGACACAAACCTCATTTTTCACTCAGATCATTATGCAGGGCTTTGATCATAGCTTCGAAAAATCCTTGTGGGAATTTTAAAAGAAGCTTGTATGAGGCTTTTTGTTTGAGTTTTTTGACTCAACTCGACTCAGACTCATACAGAACAGTTGAAACAATGATTGCCAAGTAATTTTTTTTATTTAAAAAAAATATTTTTTTTTAAAATGTTTTTTTTTCTAGGTATATGATTGGTGATTTTAAAGCCTTGAAGGCTGTTTTAAGACAACCTATACCCGAGCCTGTTGAAAAAGGTTCTAAATATTTGCAATTTGAAGGTTATTGGATCAAAAAAGGTTGTCTAGAGGCCAATGTTCCTGACGACTATATTTTGACAGAATCTGTCAGGAAGAATTTAAAGGATTTGGCTAGGATTGTGTCTATTGGAAAATTGCCTGTGCTTTTGCAGGTAAGTTCTAGAATTTTCTGTCAGAAATATCACTCTGTATATTATTGCATTTTTGTCACGTTTAAGTGTTTAATGTTTAGGTTTAATATTGTATAGGTACCTAAAGTATGGACTAGAGCCTATTTTAGGTAAATATTTGCAACCTAACTGCTACAGGGTGGCTCAAAAATGTGTGAGTGGATAGGGATGATTTTTTTTGCAAAGGAACATCCTGTGTATAATTTTTTTGTTAATGGGGAATTAAACAATTTAAAGTGTTTTAAAATTTAAACACTTTTGCTGATATTTATGGTATTATTACATACAATATTTTTCATTTTATGGATTTTATGGAAAGCACTGTTCATTAAAATGTTCTATCCTAGAAAAAATCATTAGCTGGCTTTGGAAAAAAATTACTGTTGAAAAAAAAAATGTAATATAATACCGCGAATACCTGCTAAACCGTTAAACATTTTAAAATACTTTAAATACAAAAAAGTTCATTTTTTAATTCTACATCGCACAAAATAATAATATACAGGGTGTTCTGATAAAAAAAATGAAGAAAAACTATGTTATATTTTAGAAAGTTTGGAGTAGAATTTTGAACACCCAGTATGATTTAAGACTGCGATATTTATAGTAATGTAAGGACAGACCAACTGTAGTCAAGTTTTGATTTCAACACATTTTTTCTATTTTTAATAATTTTTTAAAGGTTCAAAAATATATATTTTTTATTTACCTGTGAAAATATCAAAACATATTTAATAATATCTTACGAATTCGTAAAGTGATCAGAAAGGAAGCCAAAAATGCATTAATATACAGGGTGTTCCATTTACAAAAATCATCCCGATCCGTCACATATTTTTTAACCACCCTGTAGAACTTAAAATATTTTCCTGAAATACATCCTGTTGCAAGGCCCTGTATAATAAGTAACTTTGATTCTCTTGTAAATCTATGAAAATATTTTTACAAATGTATTCCACTATCGTCAGCATATTTTACAAGATTGATCTAATATAGACCTTTTTCAAAACACCCAGTACAATAATTAACTATTTCATTACAGTACTGACCCACTTGAAAAAAATATTTTTGTTCTACACTGTATATTTTTCTACAGGGCGACACGTCCGTAGGCAAAACCAGTCTAATCATGTACCTGGCCAAATCCAGCGGCAACAAGTGCGTCAGAATCAACAACCACGAACACACGGACCTGCAAGAATACATCGGCTCCTACGTTGCCAATTCTACCGGCAAATTGGTCTTCAGAGAGGGCGTGCTAGTCGAGGCCATGAGAAAAGGCCACTGGATCATACTCGACGAGCTGAATCTAGCTCCGACAGACGTCCTGGAAGCCCTCAACAGGGTCCTGGACGATAATAGGGAATTGTTCATTCCCGAAACGCAGGAAACTGTAAAGGCCGATGAGAATTTTATGCTGTTCGCTACCCAGAACCCTCCAGGGACTTACGGTGGAAGGAAGACGTTGTCTAGGGCTTTCAGGAATAGATTTGTGGAGTTGCATTTCAATGAGATACCGCCCACTGAATTGGAGGTTATATTGCATAAAAGATGTGCTATGCCGCCTAGTTATGCCAAGAGGATGATCAGTGTTATGACTGATTTACAGGTAAAGTAGAGGATATTTGAATTAAAAGAGTAAGAAAGGAGTATACCGTGTGTTGCATTTTCGACCTGAAGTTAGGAGAAATCTCGTGCCAGTTTTAAAAACGATGAATAAGTTTTCTCCATTTTATTTTACAGAAAAATGCATTTGAAACTTTTTAAAGTACTTCTTAAAATAGATATAGATATAGAGATACAAAAATACTAAATTAGGTGAATATTTAATACAGGGTGGTCCGAACTGTATTCCGGAAACTTCGGCACCATATTCTGCAGATAAAAATAAAAATGCTTAGTTTCGGAAATACAGGGTGGAGAAGTTTCATTTTTATTTCGATTTTTTCCAAATAATTTTTGAAGCAACGTCAATATTTGGATGAAAATTGATATCTGGGAGTTTTTTGAGATGAGAAATTGACATGAGAACAACCTGTATAAAACTACTCTGTAAAAAATATACATTTACGACGTTTTTTACGTAAAAAAGATCTCTTGGTAAAAATCGCTAAAATCGAAAATATTCAATTCATGTCATTATTGACAAAAATAAACATGTTGAGTAGATAGTTATTTGACTGAAATTATAAATTTGGGAACTTTTTATTACTTATAAACTTTTCTTCGAAAAAATGATGATAGCACAGTTTCTGTTGGACTTTTGGCACAAAAATATTTCAAATTTATGATTTCAGTCAATATCTATTTAGTCAATATATTTAATTGATGTCAGTGATGACAGGTATTGATAATTTCGATTCCAAATATCTCGAGAACCATTACTTGTAGCGATTTTTACCAGGAGATTTTATTTACAGAAAAAAAAACGTCGTAAATGTATATTTTTTTATTCAGTAGTTTTATACAGGTACGGACGGGAAAAGTTATTAGTATTCAAACCAGGTAAAAAAATACGTAGGTGGCGCCCTCTACAGTACATTTTATTCAATTAACCTGAAGATTCACATAGGGATAGAAAAAAACTGTCCCTAAGTGTGTAAATCTATATGCGATACATTTGAACTACTCTTAGGTTCGAAGACGTACATCGGCTGCTTTTGCCGGCAAACAGGGTTTTATCACGTTGAGAGACCTCTTTCGATGGGGTGAAAGATACAGGTTGGCCCAAAATACCGATAAACTACACGATTGGAACCAGCACCTTACTGACGAAGGGTACCTAGTTCTGGCTGGGAAAGTTAGAAAAGATGACGAAAAAAATGAAATTGTAGCGGCCTTACAGAAACACTGGCAAAGAAAAGTTGTTATTGACAATTTGTTTACATGTAAGTGTACAATTTGTTTACATGTATATACAGGGTGGTCCGAATTGTATTCGGGAAACATGACTACATCCTCGCTAAAATTACTAGTTTTTTCCTAACTTAGTCGCAGCTAAAATCTGCTGTTTTTTAATGTAAAAAAATATTTTTCAGCCTTTTTTTAAACTTTGACTTATTTTACATTAATTTTTAGTACACGAACATACATCTTCTGTAACAAAACACGTTCTTCGAAAGCTAGAAACCAACAGCATCAAATATCCCCACATAGTCTGGACGCTAAACATGCGAAAATTGGCCGTCCTGGTAGCCAAAGCTATAGAATTCAACGAACCAGTTTTACTAATCGGCGAAACGGGAGGTGGAAAAACGACGATATGTCAGTTGATAGCCGAAAATAACGGGCAGGAACTTGTCTCTATCAACTGTCACATGAACACGGAAAGCAGCGATTTCATTGGCGGTTTGAGACCTGTCAGGGAACATTCTCAAGAGGTAAGGAACGGCGAAACAATGGCTCTCAAAAGTTGTTATTTAGGCTTGTGTTTATATTTATTAATATTTAAAAAAATCTGAAACGCTACTGATCTCCCGGAAGTCAAGTCATCCATTTTGAGACACCGTCGCCGTCTTTCCAAGTTTGTTGATATACTGTTTTCTTAGATTTTTTTTATTTAGTGTGGAAATTCATTATTTGCGCTTATTATATATTTAATTTTATTGATTTTTTGATATTTTTTTTATAGAATCGTCTTTTTGAATGGATAGATGGTCCACTGATTAACGCCATGAGACAAGGAAGTGTATTTTTGGCTGATGAAATTTCTCTTGCCGATGACAGTGTATTGGAAAGGCTAAATTCTTTATTAGGTAAGTTTAAATACAGTTAATTTGTTTCTAACTTTCCAACAACACAGTGGTACAATACAAGATGTCAAATTAATGTCGAAACAAGGAACAATTACGCGAGAAAAACTATATCAAGCCAAGAACCGAGTCATAGTAAATAAATAAATTTAAAAACATTATGACCAAAAATTTGGGTCCTGTATGTTTCTACTGTTTAATACTAAAGCAAAGTATTAAGTACCCGTTTTTTTTTTGCTTTTGTAGAACCCGAAAGAACATTATTGTTGGCCGAAAAAGGCATCGATATCAACAATTTCAACAACTCAGAATCGATAACGGCTCATCCAAGCTTTTGTTTCATCGGTACAATGAACCCGGGCGGAGATTTCGGTAAAAAAGAACTGTCGCCAGCCTTGAGGAACAGGTTCACAGAAATATGGTGCGATTCCCATAATAGTGATGAAGATTTAAAGAAAATCATCGAAAAAAATTTGGATCTTCAAGATCAATTCGATTTTGGTTCAAAAATAACCCGTTTTATTGAGTGGTTCAGAGGAACCGAGATTGGAAAAAGGTACTTATACATTTATTTAAAAAAATATACTGCATGATAAAAAAAACGGCGTCAAATGCGTATAGTTTTGGGGACGTCATTTAAATAAATTACAACCTTCTTAAGACCGACTAGCAGTAAGCGTCATTAAAAAATAAAGTACCAGCCAAATAAATGACGCCTAGGGTTTGATCTCGCCAAAATTACCATCATTCCCCAGCCATCTTTGACGCTGTTTTTTTTCGATCGTATGGTACTTTTTATTCAAAGATTAACCACGCATTATTTTAATTTTCAGATACACGGTGAGCATAAGAGACATTCTGACGTGGGTGAATTTTATAAACACAGTGTCCCAAAAAATCAGTCCTTTAGAGGCGTACTTCCACGGTGCCTACCTGGTTTTTCTTGACAGTTTAGGCTCGGGCACTACAAGCACCGAATCTTTGAACGTGCTTCAAAAATTCAAACAGAAATGCGGTGAATTTTTAAAAAAACAAATTGAATCTAACAAAAATAGAATATTGCCAGAAAACCATGAAATTACATTGAGCGATACGGAGTTTGGTATAAAACCATTTTGTATTGGTTTGGGTGGTGAAAAAATACAAATGGAGGAATTTTCCTTTGACGCACCCACTACAATGGAGAATACTTTGAGTCTTCTAAGGGGAATGCAACTGAATAAGGCCATATTGCTTGAGGGTAGTCCAGGAGTGGGTAAAACGAGCTTGGTAACAGCCCTGGCTAAATATACACGTCATAAAATATTCCGGATAAATCTGTCAGATCAAACAGTTGAGTATTTGTGTGTATTCTTTTATAGGACATTCTGTATATATGTAATTTTTTTCTAGGATGTTTCTGATTTGTTTGGAGCCGATTTGCCGGTAGAGGGAGGCACGGGAGGTCAATTTTCTTGGAGGGACGGTCCTTTCTTACAGGCGTTAAAAGAAGGTTGTTGGATATTGTTGGACGAACTTAACCTAGCTTCTCAGTCAGTTTTGGAAGGTTTAAACGCTTGTTTGGACCATAGAGGGGAAATATTTATTCCCGAGTTGGGAAAAACCTTCCATGTGAAAACAGGTAAAATTACTCTTCAAATTTATTGAATAAAAAAGAATAATTACGGAGTATACAGGGTCGTTGATTAAATAAAGTTTTATACAGGGTGTCCCAGAAATAAGTGCAAGGATTTTAAGGGTTGGTAGATCTGGTAAAAAAACATATTTTCTCTTTAACATTTTTAAAATAAAACTTTGAGAATTGGAAAAAATAATGGCAACATTTTCAGAGCCGCCGGCAGTAAACGATTATCAGCCGCAAATACCAAGCAATTACCAGCTTGTTTGATGCCCAGTGTTGACACATCGACTATAATTATTAAAAACCACTTGGAAAATTCAGATTAAAAGTAAAAAACTTACCTAACAAAAAAAACTCGTGGGCGTGTTTCTGGGATCGAAATACTTGCACTTATTTTTCGGACACCCTGTATATGATTTAGGCGAATAAAGCAAATTTACTTCTTCACGTATCTTAGTGGATCTAAAGATATAACACAAAACATTTTTTTTATAGGAACTCGATTTTTTGCCTGCCAAAATCCGGTAAAACAAGGTGGGTCAAGACGAGGCTTGCCCAAGTCATTTTTAAATAGGTTTATTCAAGTATACGTCACACCATTTAGCTCCAAAGACATGGAAATTATCCTAACCAAACAATTCCCTAACATTCCCAAGAATATAATCCAAAAAATGATTGAGTTCAACTACAAACTTTCTGGCGAATTAAGCAAATATTCTTTCGGTACAAAAGGAGCACCGTGGGAATGTAATTTAAGAGACTTAACCAGATGGTGCGAAGCGATTTTGTACCATTACAATCATAATAGTACTTCAAATACAAAGTACTTCAGTCCGGAAAGTACAATCCAGTTGATATACATCGACAGAATGAGGTCTGAATCAGACAAAACGAGAGTTCGTGAAATTTTTGTTGAAGTTTTTGGTTGTGACATTAAAGGATCCCAACCTGTCAGTTATGTCAACAGGGGAAGGGTGTATTTCGGTGACAGCAGCATTGACAGGTCTAAAACTGGTCCTAATGAGCACGTGCTTGAAGATAGGGAATATTTGATTCTGAGAAATCAGCTGGGTGTGTTGAGAAGTCTCAGTTACTGTGTCAATCAAAATTGGCTAGCCATTTTGGTAAGTTTGTGAATATTTTATTCCTATAGTCTGTCCCAAAGACATCTAACACAACACTATAAGAATAACAAGGAAAAATTATAGGGGTAGGCCACTTTTTAAAAACACCCTGTATAGAGGTAAAATAAAATTCTGAGTAACTTGTTTCACTTACTTTCTCGCCTTTTTATTGACTCATCCTGTGGATTATTTGGAGGGTCTTAATCTGCAAGCCTCGACTTATTGTTGTTAAAATTAACGTCATACTTGTAGGTGGGAAGTTCAGGCGTCGGAAAAAGCAGTGTGGTGAAGACTTTAGCGAATTTAGCAGGGAAAACTTTGAGGACACTGCCTGTGACGTCAGCGATGGATACTACAGACATTTTGGGCGGTTTTGAACAGGTAAGTGTTATGTTTTTTTATTGTTTTTAGATGTATTTTGGACTTGGATTTTGTGAATTTTGGATTTTGACTTATGCTCTTATAGGTTTGGAATATTGAAATAAAAATCAAATAAAAAATCGTTCTATACATAATTTATTTCAGTATTTTCCATAAATTATAACAGTTTGTTTTTCAACATAACAATCTCTTTATTTTTATTTTATATCTTCGAATATTTTTATTATACCTTCAGTTAAATCAAAATTCGTTCTCTTTAAATTGACATATATGGACAGATTATATTATTACTTTTTATTATTACTATTTTTTTTACAATATATACACACACATTTTTACAGATATTGATATTTAGGCACATTATTTAGTTTAGTTTTTATATGTTACGTCTATAGTTTTAACAGTTTTATTTTTTTTTTCATTAATATTAATGGTGCGAAATGTACGTTGATCCTTTTTTCTAAAAGTGCTGTTATAAAATTTTCAATATTGACATCAGCAGACTGAAAAAAGCTCTTTAAAATTATTTTTCAACTACTTTTAACTATATAAAATTCTAGTTCTATTTAGTAACTGTTTTTAAAAGTTTTTTCTTTTAACTTCTTTTGGCATTGTGGTTAGTTGATTATTTTTAGTTTTTTTAAATTAAAATTATTCTAAAAATTATTTTGACTCTACGAAACTTAAGTTAATGTGTTTTGATTAATATATTTATACAGCATGTTTTTTAAATAAGTGCTAATATTTTCAGGGTTGTATAGATCTCCATTAAAGAATTATATTTTCTTATTTTTATTGTTTATAAGTAAAAAAATCTCATACACATCTTATAGACCTATTGTGTTTCTCTTTCTTGAGTTATAACTTATCATACAGTCTCAGGACCTTGATAGAAGCCAGTATCTGAGACGGATTTACAGATTTTTTTTTAAAATGTATATGATATGAAAATAATAAAAATATCAGTTAAAATATTCGCACTTATTTAAAAAAACGCACTGTATAGTCGTCTGCTGATGTCACGTGTTATTTAATAAATTCCTTTTCTCTATTAATTTCGATTCTATCTAAATATAATTTCTAGTAATAAATAGAAATGAAGATTTTATTTTGGTCTTGCACTCTACGCTCTAGTGATATATTTTTTATCTGTATATAACCTAACAATTATAATATCAATTCCTTTTACAAAATTAATGGAAGTAAAATTAAAACATAAAATGTGTTGCTTTGAGTCGTTCAATTCCTATAAATTTAGTGAAATTTTCGTTACTATATTTTGAGACAAGAAACACCAGAATTTAAAACATTTATTTTGTTAATTTGTTGTAATAAATAGTTTTTTCTAGTCCTATGACATCAAAACATTCATTAAGTATGTTTATTATATTATATAGGTATTATTTCTTATTTTATAAGATAATAAGTACATTGAGAGTATTTTAGAAATTTTTTTCTTGTGTCAATCCTCGAGAAATAATTTTGTTATTATATATGTTTTAAATTCTAGTGGATCTGTCTCAGTCGTCTCGTTATTCTTCACTTTCCGTTGGCGATCTGTCCAGCTTGGGACTGGGAAAGCATCTGGTCTCGAGGCCACCGTTTAAAGTGTCCAGCGGCAATACTGAATCTGTGGGACTGTCCGGGGACCACAGACTCAAATCGGCGTTTCCCTGGAAATTATAAAAATAACGTATATATTTTTCTGATACAATTACTACGATACACTTAGTTTGGTATTACACAGAATTGTATAAAAAACGTAAAAAAACTATCAATATTTTAATTATTAACAATTGAAATTATTAGTGATTAATTTTAATTGAATTTACTTAATTCATAGCATTCTATCGCAAGTTTCTACCCTTTTTAACCACGCCTACAAATCATGACGCGCCCCTTCAAAGAGTACGCATCCTAAATAACGTGACTCCGCCCCTTTATACTCTCATCACGCCCACCGAGATCTAGTCACGCCCATTGCTGCTAGAAACAACTTTAAGGCGTGTTTTCACCTGAAACAGTATGACTGAATAAATATTACTGAACGAATAATGAACGTGAGAATATATTTTCAGTGATACCGAACAATATTTTTATATTTTCAGTGAAAGTGAAAACTAGATTTATTTCAGTGAGACAGAAAAGCGAGAAACCATCTTTAATGAGGAAAGTTAGAGCATTCCACGCCCAAAATTACTTGACTCCGCCTCTTCATAATAAAACCACGCCCACCGAAACTGACTACTGACACCGAGAAAATGACACGAAAATGAGCATGCGCATAGGGTACACCACTTACATATAATATTTAATTACCATTGCACTGTCGGGATGCGCTGGCATGGGCGGCTTCAGGCAGGCGATTTCCGGAACGGTAGTGCGACGGGGAGGATCGGGGGGCGTGGGCACGGGGGGAGGTCCTACCCACACGGGTACCCAGCCGCAGCAAGCGTCGAGGGCGGCCTTGCGCAGGCCTCGATGCAGGACGAGGAAGAGGGTGGGGTTTACGATGGCGTGCACGTACGATATGTGGAGGGTGATCTGAAAAAAATAGAGAAAAATTGGATTTTTAATTTTAAAGTTAAATAATTTTTAGGGTTCCGTATTCCGTACCTAAAGGGTAAAAACGGGAACCCTATTACTAAGACTTCGCTGTCCGTCCGTCACAAAGGTCTATCTTATGAACCGTTATAGCTAGACAGTTGAAATTTTTACAGATAATGTATCTATGTTGCCGCTATAAGAACAAGGCGACTTTTTTCTTAATCGTTTTTTTTTATTTTTACATATTTATTTTTACTTTTTACATATTTATTATTGATTAATACAATTTTTAGTAATGTGTTTCTTCATTTTTTTTTAAATTACTTATACGCGCATTCAGAATTTTAGCTAAATCGGAAAAAAAGTTTATAATAATATAGTGCCTAATATTGTATAGATAATGAATGGTAGGGAACCCTTCGTGCGCGAGTCCGACTCGCACTTGACCATTTTTTTTGGTTCATCACAATAGCCTTATTTTTGTTGGAGATGTTCGCTTTTGACACTAACATTTTTTCGTAATTTTTACTTTGCATAAAATCGATTTTAAAAATAACAAAATATCATACCAAGTAAACACAGAAAAACGCAAGAAATACGTAGATTTTTTTACAAGAAAGGCTTTTATTCAAATTTATCTGTGACTAAGCCAGTAGACTCGTTCGAAATATATAAAATATTAAACGATACGTGCGGAAGATGCGAGAGTCAAAAAATCGTACGGGACTCAAGTTATTACGCCTTTTTGGCGTCTCAGGCGTATGTTTTATTTCCTCCCCTGGCTCTATAAATTAATAATACGCCTCGAAACGTTGTCTCGGCATGCTTTCAGAAACATTCCGGTGAAATATGTGACGCGAAACAAGTTTGTACAGAGGAAACGGGCCACTTTGTAGCATTTTTGTGGAAATATTGTTCGAAAATTTTAGTACAAAACAAGAGCGAGATGGATTTAAAATATAATTATCAGGGCAGTATATTTTTTTATGCATTAGACATTTTATAATATTTTTTTCCATAGAAACTGTTAAAATTGGTGTCGCTGTGGAAAAAAATATTGTTTTATATACACGACGATAAAATTGCATTATCGTCTCCCGAGATTTTAAGTATCCAAGTTTATTTAATTAACTTCTTGTATAAAAAATAACTATTACTTTATAGTTTTTTTATAAAAAATACAAAAATAAAAACCTCGCCAAAATTATTATCGATTGTCATTCCCCAACAATCTTTGACGGCGTTTTTTTCGATCACACGATTTATTTTGATATTAGACATGCTGAAGCGTGTCCACATTTTTTTAGATCACTGAATTACTAAAAACAATAGATGAATGTTTAGAGTCAACATTTTGTAATCACTTGTGGTTTTCGAAAGTGTAAAAAATATATTCACAAACAAAAATTCTCGGCACGTTTGTTTGGAGCTATTTCTGGTCGTTTTCTACGTCAAATAGAATTCCGAAGTTAGTGGAAAACAGAAACTTTACGGTCCCGAGCCCACAAAGTTAAATTGTTCTCGATAGCAAAAGCTTCGGTCCACCTATTCAATATCAGGCTTATTTTATTTGAGTTTTCTTTTTGCAGTTGGGCAAAGTCTAAAAGTCAAGGTGTTTTAAAGAAAACCCGTACGTTTTTCGAGTTTCTTTTTGCGGGCCGGGAAATGCCTTTTCCCTGTTCTAGTAAGTGCAATAATAGTTATCCTATGATTCCGAATTATTCTGGAAAGAGAAGTATCCCATCAGAAACGTAAAATGTAAAAAATGCCAAGTCTCCCAACGCTCTTCTTCACCTATCACGCTGTCCTTCACCTATTCAATAACTTTTGTTATAAATTGTTATCTGTGATCAATTTCCTCTCAACATTTATAGTGACCGTATCAATTTTAAACATTTTCATCAAATAAATAACTGCAATTAACATTTTACCAACACAATAATTTTTTTTATTAAAGTCTTTAATTTTGAAGTTAAAAAATAAAATATACAGAAACAGGTTAATAAAATAATCAAACCAGTTTAAAAAAAAAGAAATAAATTTAGATTATATGATACATCAGAAGTGGGATACATGAGAAGTGGTACTAACATCAGAAATGGGATTATTTACCATTTTTAAAAAAATAAATTGAAAATATTAAAGTTATTTAACTATGAATTTTAAAAAACGCATACCGGACGAGATGTATTTAAAAAACCGCATCATCCACCGACTAAGAGAGCGAACGGGAGACGTAATCGCAGCCGGAAAGTTTGCTGACCCCGGCTTGCGTGCGGCGGCGTTCAAGATATAACATCATTGCATCCTCGCGCTGGCGAGATATTTTTATTTTTAGCGTTATATAAAGCTCGACCAATAGGCACACATTAAAAAATTAAAATTGAATTTAATTATTTGAATAAATTTACTGAGAACTAGGTCTATAATTTTTTCTTCAAATATTTATTTTTATGTCGTGTCTCTGTTTCTGTCAATCGGAGCAAATAAACTTAAGACTGTCTAGCGTGTCCCTTACCTCGTGTCCTAAAGGATTGCTTCCTACGATCGGGTGATTGATGAGCGTGACGAAGAATAGGGGGCCCCAAAATAGCACATAGGCCGCCGTTATGATGAGGAACATTTTGACCCTCTGTACCCCATCGCGTTCCATTTTTCGCAGATACTCCCGCATTCGTCTGTGCTCCTCGACGGCGCCGTTGCGTTCCTAGAAATCAGAGAGAAAAATATCATATCGAGACATACAGGGTAGTTCTATTTTTCAATGACAATAATAATATGACAAATCTACGGTAATCGCAAAACAATTTTCGATGCACGTGATCAACTTTGAGCGACAAGCGATGGCGACAGCGCTGCCAGATTGTGATGGATTTATGAGATGAATCTTAATGTAAAATTGGAAAACAATATATTTATATCATGTTTTAAAGATTTTTACGTTTTAATTATTTAATTAATTTAGAATTTTTTTTTGTTAAAAAAGACTATGAAAATAGGCAAAAAACGAGAATTACTCACAAAGATTCAACAACAACACGATATTATACAAAATAATGACTGACATTATGATAATTGTCAAATAATAAACGACAACGTTGCTGAACACGGCGCAATGTGACCAACATAGCGATAATAAAATTCGGTTTAAAATAATTTTTGCAGCTTTAATCTAAATAAAATATCTGTTACAATCATTTGCTCTATAAAGTAAAATGAAGAGCCGCTGGGTATCTTAAATTATACAACAAATTTAAACATTTTTGTCAAAATTTCATTTAGTCGTGATGGCGTGCGTTAGTGATGACGTGCAGAAAAATATTTTGCGACTACTGTACTATGAATTTCTTCTACAGATCTGTTAAAATTATGCTAATTAATACACAGCCTAGTAGTTTTCTGTTTATATCTGCTGTGTATATCTTGGATACAGTAATGTTTATCTGTTTATATTATTTAGTAATGAGAATTTTACCCAACAACTATAAAACGTCTAGAGTAAAAAACAAAATTCGCATCAAGCCGAATTCTCTCTATTTTTTCATGTTTACGATTTTTTTTTCTGTATCCCATAAACCTACCCTATAAAAGGACTAAGGGCTGTCGTTAAACCTACGCGTTATGTGGTCGAAAAGACCTTCAAGGTATCGCCTTCTTAATGGCTGCCTTCCCCAACGTTAGACCATCCTTCAGGGCTATTTTTGAGCGAAAAACTTTGTAAATTTCGCACAGTAGCGGCGCGTGGGGGAGGGGGGGACAGAAGGTTCTTTCCCGGCGTGACGCCAATCTTAAGTATAATAAAATCGGAAGGCCCGAAACTTTCCACCATTAATAACTCGAAGCCGGGACCTTTAGAAATATCAAACCGTTACGGAAAGTTCTGTTTACGGCGTTTTACATCTATGCAGGGCAGGGAATTTTCGATAAATTTTTATTTATTATGAGCAAAAATCACTAGCAAATGTATACAGGGGGTTTCTTATATAAGTGCAAGTGTTTTAACGGGTGGTGGATTTGAACGATATAAATATATTTTCTGTTTATTATTTTTAAAACAAGTTGAAAAATACTAACATCAGAAGTGGGATTATTTACCATTTTTAAAAACTAAATTGAAAATATCCAAGTTATTTAACTGTGAAATTTAGAAAAAATAATGTTTATATTTTGAACAATAATTTTTATACATTGAAAAATTAGTTGATTTGACAAGCAACAAAATAAAAATTGTAAACTTTCCAGAAGAAAAAGAAAAACTCATCAGTACTAATCACTATTCCTAAAATCCTCTAACAGCATTGCCAACTATTTCATTTATTCTTGATCACTCCGTATTTTAGAGAAACAAGGCGCCATATTTAAATTAAGTTACTATTCTCACGCCCTTAGACAGAAATTACGCCTATAAATATTAATAAACCCAAAACTTATTTTAACAATAGAATAGGGTTATGAATAATATATTCAGATATTCAGTTTGAAGTTTATAATTTCAAATTTATTCCCTAAAATTTTGAATTCCTTCTGACGAGTTATATAACGAATAATGAGTTACATAAATAATAAAATTTCTAAAATAAGAATAGAATATCTGTATATTTATATTGCCCTTTATCACATAGTAAGGATGGGCTTGTAGCGGGGACGCATATATTTGCATCTAATTTGCAAATAGATTTCAAACTGATGCTGGGAGATGTATAGCTCGACAAGTAAATTTGTTACAAGGGGGTATAACGTACATGTAAGATTTGTTGCGAAGTTTACCAGCCTTAATAGATTGTGGAAGTTTAGACAGAATTCTCCAGCTTAGATACTTGAAGTAAACTTATCAGTAACTAGCAAAATTTACAAAGTATATTCGTTAGTTTTTAATATTATTTCATTCAATTATTTATCTACAATAAATAAGCTATACAGGGTGTTTCAATAAACATGTGCCATCTCCCGTGGGGAGATTCCTCTCGTAAAAATAAGATTTATTTTTCATATTAACATAGGTCCGATTCTGCTTTGTTTCGTAGCTACAGGGTGTTAAGTCTTAATAATCTTTCGATTTAATACAATTTCCTTCCAAGTGCTTTTAGCGATTTTAATGAAATTTTGAAGGTAAAAGTTACTATAGATGCGACATATTTTAAAGCAAAAAATGTGTCGCCATATTCACCAGGGACGTGCATATGGGTTATCACTGGAATATTTTTCATGTGCCACTGACTTTTTTCATTTGATATCAAAATTGCGTAGGCCATTTAATGCCAATTAAAAGTTATCTCTTGATTGTTTGTCGAATTCAGCCTCCTTGATGAGATAAACGCAATTTTATTAATGACAATTAATAAAATAGAAATAAAAGTAAAATTATTAAATTATATATTTTACCCAATTTATTATTTAATATTATTACTATTAGTCCAACCTACAGCAATTTCAAATAAAAAATAATGGTATTTAAGATAATTACAAAACGCGTACTTTTAAAATTTTTTATATAACATCCTGTAAAACTCTAAAACTACGTATTTCCATACTCATTTTTATAGGGACGGGAAGACTTTAACACCCTGTAGCTACGAAACAAAGCAGAATCGGACCCATGTTGATACGAAAAATAAATTTTATTTTTACGTGAGATATCTCCCCACGAGAGAAGGCACATTTTTTTTGAAACGCCCTGTATATTGAGAGATCAGTCCTTAATATCATTTATTACATTCAGTTCGGCGATAAAGAACTTCTTTATAGGATAAAATTAGATTTCGAAAAAAAAAGTTAATGGTATTACTAGAAAAAAAAACGGTACGGTGCGAAGAAGATGGGAAATTATTCTTTGTTACTTGTTTTAAGTCTTTTTCTTATTTTCCGCCTTGACATTTCATTTATCGCACTCCCCCCAATCGATATATCATCCCCCCAGGAATGCGGTGGCGGAGTTGGGGAATGAAATAATTCACCTTTTCTTTGTAAACAGAGGTGTTTTCTTTATCGAAAAACTTCTGTGGGTTTGCGCGTTAGTTTGTGTTCGATTTAAGTCTATATTTGTCAACGTTTCTTCTACGATATGGATTATATAACGTTTTGTTTGGCGTTTAGGTCCCTGTCTCGGTCGATCAAGTTTTTTGATATGCTCCTTCCTTAATCTTTACAAAGACGTGTGTATCGGGGAAACACAAATTGTGAAAAATATACTCAATCTGATCAATAGCTGTTTTTTGATAAACTATTTCTTCCTTTTTAACTATCTTTACCTATTCATATCACCCCCAAATCATTTTAACACACTTACTTACCCTTTCACTGTTACAATTAACGTGATTCGCTCCTCCGGTAATATTAACCAACGTAGTAACCAATCCCGTGACTCTGACAGCTTCCACATTAGCCTTCGTCAAGTCCCGGTGCAATTTTCGCAGGTGAAACAGCGTCAAAAAGACGCAAACTAAATTGACAGCTATCCAGAGGGCGTTGAGGATGTAATGCCTCAAAGGGCCGTAGATTAGAGGGCAGGATGGGTGTTTGTGGCCGGCTTCACCTTGAGCTGCTAAAGCGCCTAGAAACAAAGAAAGGATAACTGTAATTTTAAGCCTGGATGCGCACAGAAAGAGCTTCATTGTTTTCGTCAAAAACGTTATTCTCGTAAAATAGTCTGATCTGGAGTTACATCAAGATCCTGGATCTACATCCAGGTTCCAGTTCTGCCGAATCTATATCATTATAACCTCTAATTTTAATTTAACTAAATTTTGTTTTGCCTGAAGCAATCTGCGTTTAAAAGATTTGTAGTCCGTTAGGGAAATCTGATGTTAGCTGTTTAATTTATTTTATAGAAGCAATCAGGCAAAGCATTACAAACTTTACATTAAAATAGAAGAGTAGTAAAAGATAATCGAGACACAAAATTACAGTTGGTTAGGTTCTTAGATGGTTAAGATACTCTCCATCTATTTTTCTCCATCAAGATTTCTTCTAGTGTTGCTGTAAACAGCCTACTATAAATAAAGCCTCTAAAATAGGTCAAAGCATTTAGTAGAGTTCGTTTGGAAAATAAAATTCAAAGTTACATAGCTCCGGAGTTATAATTGCTCTAATCGTTGCGATATTTCAATTGTTATTGACGCGGCTCTATCCTCATAGAGCCAGTCGAGAGCTCTGGTTGACCTATTAGGGTATCAATTACCCTTAAAAGCTCGCTCTATCCTCCTTCTCCGTCGCATCTCTACGCTCTATATCGGCAACAAATTGAGTGGTTTAGTGAAGTGGTTCGAGGGAATATCGAGATATTTCGTTGCATTACGTAATTTTGTTAGAGTCTATTAAATTTGGATGGAATTATCTTTTAAATTTTCTTTTTAAACTGAGAAATGTTTTAGAGAAAAATATTCTAATGTCCAATATCGTCGTTGTTGATAAAGATTTCTTGATGGAAAAAAGTTTTATACCGTTTTATGTTACCATAGAAACGCGTGTGGATTTTCAAGAAATTCAAAGATTTTAAGAAATTCAAAACATTCAACAATTCAATCCGCAGGTACCATTTAAAAATCAAAAGTAGTAGTCATTTCCGGTGAAACAGGAAGTGACCGAAAACAATTGAATACGTCAATTAATACTAACTTATGTACCAACATACCAAATCTATTTTTTTTTCTAAAAAAATGAAAAAGTTATAGGGGTGAGCCGCTTTTGAGACGTACCCGGTATAAAAATTTTATTCATATCTTCCTCAACAACGACGATATTGGACTTCATCGTCCCAACGTGCCACCCTGTATATATTTACCTGAAAGAAACGTTGGTCCTAGATTGATAGTGATCGACGCGAACCATATCATGAAAGTACCGAACAGTACGCACTGAGGCGAATCCATCAACAACGGTGCCTCAGTTATAGTACTTTCAGCGTCCTCGTCATCAGGGAAAACAGGAGAATCGTTCAGTACAGTTGTCAACATGTTGACAGTTGCCACTGTGACTAGTAGCAGGAACGCTGTTTCTACCAATGAGCACTTGTGCACAGGTTGACAGTGAAGGATTGAGGTTCCTAGGGGTAGAAGTAGGGCTGCCCTAGCGCAATCTACTACGCCTTGGTGGAACAGGAGCCCTTGAGACCACCTAGAAAAAAAGAAAGAAGAGATATTGTTAGAAGTAACGAATTAAGAGTCTATTGTGTGTGGCCGAAGGAAATATATATTATATTTCAGAAATCTGCCTAAGGTTTAGCCCGATCCTGTCGTGTTGAGCCACACCCAAAATTCCAAACATACGTGCTTGGATTAAGGCTTGATTAAGGTTTGCAGAGTTTCAGCACTTGCCATAAAATAGCGAGCAATTTGTTACACAACCATATAAATTATATATCATTAGATAAAACGTTAAATGCCGAACGCATTTTGCGACTTTTTCGGAGTAGTGAAAAGGACTCCTAAGTCTGTGAATTCTATTATATTAATTCGTAAATATTGCTTCTTCGCAAAAAAAAGAAAGTTTTTGTCGACTTCTGTATATTTTAAGACTTTTAATCATCATGTTTATTCGTTATAATAAGAATTAAGATTTATTCGTTAAATTTTCTTAACGAATAAATACCTACAATACCTAAATATATTCGTAAATCTAGCTTATTCGTCAAAAAATGCAATTTTGTCCTTCAGGATATTCATTAAGAATTTTAGTAATCTTGTTAATTCGTTATAACTCTATTAATTCGTTAATGTTTATTCGTTAAATTTTAGTACATTTAAGAGTTTTTGCGTTTTTATATTTATTATTGACATAATAAGATTTTTCATATATTTTTTAAATTTCTATTTACACATAATTTTTTTTTATTTTTATTTATACAGGGTGAATCTTATAAGTGAAATAAGTGGAAATATTTATTTTTAGGAGTAGTATATTTCAACCCGAGAAACGCGTCTATGAGTTTTTTTGCGATTTTTTTTGGAAAATTTGGAATTTTTTGAAAAAGTTTTTGGATTTTTTAAAAATTTTTAGTTAAAAATATAATACCTTCATAATATGGTAACATAGATAGTAGATTAAATTTACAAGAAAGAAAATCTAGAAAAGATCCAGTGGTTCTGTTAACGTAATATAATGTCATAATTAATTTGTTATTTTTAAAACTATGGTCAGGACTTTTTTAATTCTTATCGTGTCAATTAAACGAACTTTATATTTATATTCGTTCAGCATCCTACCTGCATAAACCCCGCATTAGCTCATGACGCGCTCATTTCCAGGGCAGATTTTCGCTGTTCCTGTCCACCTTTTTTTGAACTTTTAACGACAACAATTTGCCGGCTTATGGCGCATCGCGCGATTATATATCTCTCCGCTCTGCATTAAAACAGAAGCGTCCCACAAAATTAGAGCTGTCCTCTGCAGAAACCCAAGCGCCTGCATAATTAGTCTGAGCCAGGCTTATAATTAATTACAGTATTATTAATCTGGGAATCTGCTCTATATTCGATTAGGTATAAATAGAGAGATGGTTAGATTGAAGTTGTTTGCGTACAACTAGGAGGATGTAATGGGGATTATATCGAAATCTATGGTTATACAGAGTGCTCCGAAATATATTCCGGAAACTTCGCCAGTATATTCTGCAGATAAATATAAGTAAAAAAGTTCGTATGTCGTAAAAAAAGTTTCTAAAAGTTTCATTTTTATTTCGATTTTTTCCAAATAATTTCTGAAGTAACGTGAATATCTGGATGAAAATTGGTGTCTGAGGGTTTTTTGACATGAGAAATTCGATTTTGATGTCAATATGACTCCTAAGTTTTGAAGAGTAATAACTTTTTGTCCGTACCTAGTTAGATTTTCTAAGATTTTAATAATGCTGTTAATTCGTTATAATTCATTAATTCATCTAGATTTATTCGTTAAATCTGTACGAATTCGGTTTTTGTTTTTGTACTGAATTTATTGTATAAATATGGGTTTTTATACTTGCATTAAATATGTTAATTCGTAACAAAAGACAGGCACTGTAAGAAAATTTAACTTTTAATTCTTATGTGCCAATGTAATCAATATTTCATGTAGTTGGGTTACAATAATGTTCCCTGTATTTTTTCTGTTCAATTAAATTTAATTTTATCTTGTTTGTAGTACCAATTTCCAATTTATTAAACGAGTTACGTTGTTAACAATTGAAAATTTAATTTAAACGAAATAAACAAAGAAAAATACGTTTTACAATGTTTTATTCTAGTATTTTTAAAACAAAAAGTTTAATAATAGGGAGCCAAACCTTTTTACAACCTACTGGAATTATTGTTATATAGGATGTCTCTTAGCGCAAGAATTTTAGTACGTATATTAAAGGAGCATCAATTTTATTTTTTGAAGTTTCAATAAATAATCTTAACGAATTAAAATTTAATTTAATTACTGATTATCTAATTTTTTTTCAACTTACTGATATTCTTACACTATTTCAAAAGAAGCTTTCTATATAGGTATAGAAGAATAATTTCCTTGTTAGCTTAATCCAACGGCTCAAGGTGATTTAGTCTAATCCCTGTTAGAGTTTCGATCTTAGAATTTTAATCAAACGCAGCTAAAAAGGGCCCCATTCATTCCTCTTCGTAGAAAGGCGTTTTCATTTATTTACTCGGTTTAAATTAAGCTTTCCACTGTTTGTAACAATGTAACTCATCAATCTTTAATTTAAACTCCCTCAAGAAATATTTGTTAAAAGGTAATTTCACTCTACACCTTAGAAATATATATTTTTACAAGATTTTGTTTATTGTATTATAATGTAATGAACAAAAATCTCGAGACAGTAGTTAAAATTTTTCTCCGAAGTTTGTATACTATTTTATTTAGATCTAGAACCATTAATGAAAAGTAGTTGCAATGTTTCATTTTGGAACTGTAACAATGTAGTAAATATGTCAAAATATTTATTTTTTCACGTACTAGTGACATTTGAAGACGAATGAAGGAAATAAGCTATAGTTCATCGCTTATAATTAATAATTGCTTGTAAAATTAATAAAACTTGTATCATACATCTAACAGTTATGAATGAACAATGAACACAAAATCATGTATTATTATAGAGTGTTTACAGTAAAAATTATGTTTTATATAATATTTTTAAAAGTCTAAAATTAAGAATTAGTTTTTTGTCACAAAATATACGAATTTCGCTGATTCTTTTATCATACATTTGTTCTCAAATCTCGGGACATTATTGGGATGCTCCATATATTAAATTAGTCTCCTATATTCGGTATCCCGAGGGACAAAATCGGGCAAACTACCTCAAAACCATCCAATAAATTAACCAAATAGGTGAAAACTGGCGTTTAAACGGTATCACGTCCCACGGAGCCTTTAACTTTGTTAATTATTAGTAAATATGTTCCCTAACGACTAATAGCTGTGCAAAGACAAATAGGTTAACCCGGGAACACCTCAAACCAAACAAAGATTAATAATCTTGATCAAATTTGCTAGGGTCAAGCGATTTAGCAATGCGTTTAATATGCATAGTTTGGGACAGAGTTTTATAGCAATTTAGACAGATAGTAATACTTTTTAAGAATATACGTATCTTTTAAAGTAAAAAAAATCTTGTAAAACTGATATTATTTTACTTTCTTACTACAAATATGGACATATACACTTCAGTTTAATCAAGAACTCTATAATTTAAGGTTGCTTTGATCCACAGGATTAGTTATCGTCCATGTACAGGCGTTCCCGGCTCCTTTAACTTGATAAATCATGTCGGAGAGCAGTCGAAATAAACTCTGCAGCTGAAATTGCGAAGCCCAAACTAGTCAAAGACATCGACATCAATTTTAAGACCAAGCCAGCCCAGCTATAAATCATAGGCGGACTCGGGCTTCGATTCTAAGTCATTTCAACCGGTAAAATCGACGTTAAAAGTCGAAATTGATACAATCTTCTTCTTGTAGACTTATATAGAACACTAGCTGAGCCAATATTTATTAAAATTGTTGAAAAAGTAATAAATTAAAAATTAATAAATAATTTAATTCACTTCTCACACAAAAAAAATAAATCCGGCATAATCAATTAAAGATCATGCTAGGCAAACTATAAATCATAGACCGTCTTGCGATGTTTCCGACATGCCGTACAATGTGTGTCGGGCTTTATCTTTCCAGTAATTAACAGTAAGTGGTCCAGTACCGCCTTTACTCAAGGCATATTAATGGCCTTAGCCCAGGAGGTGTTTTATTTCAAAATAAAACCCTGTGTAAAATAAAACAAATGTCGCTGAAAGTGGTCTTTATTGAGTTTTATCTCTAATTTTCTTTATACTATACGAAGCTGATGCACCAGGTCTTGTAAAATTGTTTCTATTACTTTTCTTCGGGGCATTTTTATTCTAATATATTTATCTGATGGTAATTATCAAGAAGCACATGTCGTTTTTTTTGCTAAAAGTGGTTTTTATTCAGTTTTATCTCGTCTTATTGTAGTAATTTCCGGTGAAATAGGCCAACAAAGCCTTCCAAGCCTATTTTCACTTTCTTCAAGCTTGATTAACATTTTTCCGTCTACAAGAAGTCTTAACTCAACCTAATCTTCCTCAAATTACTCCTTTTCGTGCCTAATTGGTCATTAAATATAAATAAAAGCCCTCTAAAATATACATTAAGGCTTTTTAATCGTTTATATAGTCCTTTTCTGTACATTTTCGCGGCTCTTCTGTATCAGAATTATTCCTTTGTGTTGTCATGTAGTTCGCTATGCGGTCGGTTTAGCGTTGACGGGCTCAAGCACAGTGACCGGCTTTGTTATGAAAGCTAATCGAATCAAGCCAGATTAGCCAGCGGGTTTGCTATCAAAACGTTATCTTTAGCGGCTAAGCTAGATTGGACGCTACCGGGATGTTACGGAGATGCTTTGAATTATTCAATTCGTGCTACAGGTTGACATTGACGTATAACAGTGTGATTATAAGGAATAATAACAAATTAAACGTGTATTTTTACGACAAATTTAAATTGGTTGTCTATTGTTCATGCCTAATGTCATGAATTATAATAAGATACAGAACAATCAACAATGATTGGAATTTTGGAAAATACTGTGTTAATTAGAGGATTAGTGATTGCTAC